ATGTTGAGGCCTTGGGAGATGGGTGAATGTAAAGTTAGTAACATATTCTACCTCTGCTCATTTATCTCTCCAGTGATATAGGCTTTCTTTCTTCGGTGTCGGTTGTTGTGATGATGTTGTTTTTTTTTTCTTTTTTTTTTTTTTTTTTTTTTCTTTTTTTTTTTGTTTTTTTATGATGCTTCTGCTTACTAAGTTATTTTATTATACATCAATAGTGTCAAGATGTAGCAAAATTATTCTTAGAATGTAAGTTGAGAGTAATATGAACATGGATTAGTTGTTCTCTGTGCAAAAAATATGTGTAGTTACAAATATTATTAAATTCAAATGAAATGAATTCGTGGGGTGGGTGCAGTGATTGATACCTGCGTGCGTGGTTGCCTCTTGTTGCTTTGGCACATTTTTTATTTATTTATTTTCTTTTGTGTGTTGTTTTATTTTGCGCGCGTTTTGTGCGACAGCAGTGAGGCGTAAGCAATCACTTGCCATTTCATTTGTTCATTCATCCAATACAACACACTGCGCAACATATATAAAAAAAAATATATAAAAAATGACATCTCTATCTCTGTATACTATAATAATACTTCTCACAATGCTCATATTCATTCCCCCTCAAGCTGTCAGCAGTAAGAAAATCAGTGCTGCTCTCGATATTCAGCTTCCGGGACATGCAGCGCTTCGCACACACAAGTGGATTTGTGCACCAATAGACAAATCACCATCAAAAATGGACACATCAATACCTGGAGTGTATATTTTCTTCCAGTCCTTCCAACAAAATGGAATAGCACATCTTGTTCCAGCATATATTGGGAGCTCAACTTATAGCATATACAGTACGTTTCATAAGTTATGGCCACCCCCTGAGCAAACAGATAGGTGATTGATATCTCTTCAATATTAAGAGATACCAAATGATATCTTATCTCTCTAAATAATAGACTCAATTATCTACTAATCTTGATTGAATTACTTATTGCTAGTTATATTTATTTACAAATAATTGAATGAGAGTGTTGAAATGATAAGTAGTGAACATGGCCATTATTTATGCAACGAAAATTGATCGAAGGTATCGGAACGATGAACTAGAATAATGACAAAGGAGGTTGTCAATATTTGGTCCACCATCCATTCGCTGTTATAATGTCCTCCATTCGTTGTGGCAAGGAGGCGTATAGGTTCTCAACAATGCTGTCATCCATTAGCTCCCATTGTTCATTGGCAAGGTCGGAAAGGACCACTCCAGGGTTCTTTGCCAGCTCTCTCTTGACTCTCTTCTTCAAGATCGCCCAAAGATTCTCTATAATGTTGATGTCTGGTGAATATGGGGGAATGAATAGGGTGGGTATCCTCTTCCTTCTCAAGTGGCTGGTGACATTTGTTGCTCTATGAATTGGACAGTTGTCCATCGCCAGTGTAAAGTCTGGGAGTTGGCCATGATAATATCGGATGGATCGAGAGTATGCATCATCAAGAATCTCCGTGTATTGAGTGTTTTCTAAATTGCCTTCAATCTCAGAGAGATATCCGACACCAGCACTCGTGACACATCCCCAGAAATTGACCTTGGTTCCGGGAAGTCTCCTGATGCCATGAACTCGACTGAATGTACGATAGGATAAAGACACACCAAAGAAAAAAAATTTTTAAAGATAATACTATAGGATGGTGCCTATTCCCTCTCCAACCAAAGGAGGTGGGAGATCTTAGGTACGATGCAGTGGATATAGAGAGCAAGCTACTCTCAATATGTATGACCATAATCAACAGTCCTCTACATGGTGGAGTCGAGGTCTTCAAATTCGATACGAACCCCGTCAGCCTCCTTGATTCATTTGAAAAATGGTTTATGCAATATGACGAATCACCTCAAACTACGGATGCGACACCAATTACTTTTAAAGCAGCTCCCATATTTAGTAGTTCTGTCACCAGCCACACTACTGCTGTTGGCATTGATTCCATCACGCAACTTAAGAAATCTCTGGGACACCAGTCACATGAAGACGTAGAGATGAAGGAGACTAAAGAGTTAGATGAATATGACGATGCCGATGACGAGAATGATGATGACGATGACGAGAATGATGATGAAGATGACGAGAATGATGATGACGATGACAATAATAATAATAACGCCAACAACGAGGAGCACCCCCCAGGATGTATGGGCATGAAAGTAACCGCTGCGTGCGCCAGATGCAAGGAGATGATCAAATGCAGTTGTCTGGAAAATATGAGCGAACTACTATACGACCGGGGCACACAAAGGTTTCTTGGAAACAGTTTCACAAATAGACTGAAGGCAGCAAGGGCTATGATTGTACCCAAGAAGCCAAATAAATTTAAAAGTAGGTGTGGATAATTGCACACCAATCATTGACAAATCTGCCAAACAGTATCCTCTTGATTGAACCGATTCGGAACAATTAACCTTTTGTCCTTGCGTTCAGGCAGACGGACGTTGATAAATAAACCTCTTATATATAAGAGCATCTAGTTAGTACCTAGTACAAAAGTGGTATACGTATAGGCTTCGATTCTGTATTCTCTAGACCCGATGTGATGCTGTGGCATTTTCATCTTTATCATGCATGTATATATGGATGTTCTCAAAGGACAYTATATTATTTATTGTTCTTGTTTAACRCTTTAGATAGTGTCATTGCTAACTGGAGATTGGTCATTCGTGGTGTGTCAGCTTGTATACCCATGGCGGTAAGATATCGAACCAACGTGCCTTTTGCAAGTCTGGACATCTGMACTATAGATTTCTCTTTCAGMARGTCTCTGAGKTRRAGTTGGTTGGAGGTGAAGTTCTTCCCAYGTGGCWTTGACTTACTAAAGCACCAAAAAGATCCGATCGCATTTCCATCATTGGGTTTCTCTGTGATTGGTACCAACAGTGCAGTGTCRTTGTCAATCAGTCTCCAAATCACTCGATAGTCAGGAGAATCGAAAATGTCAAGGCYTCCATGTGTAAATATTTGCAGGGTTATKGTTCGTATTGACTTGAGAAGAYGCAAGAGAAKGWGTGGCACAGCATCTTTTAGTTTGTTGAGGCGACCTCTTGGCTGAATGGAGATGATCAAATGTGAAAGASTGCTCATATTTGTCAGAGTCTGGACATTTTKCTGGTGATCCAAAAATGATCCGGTTAGGARAAATGTATCAATTCTGTCAMTTTCTACWTCGCCGTTGGTTATGTAATGACCAATACGAAGCTCATTGAGATAYTTGTGATCAACCAWGCCAAAATTYTCTGGAGAGAATCTAGAACATTGAATCGACAGTRACGAAACGGATGGAATATGTTCGGATGAAAGAGATTGGTTGAAGAGAGGTCCAAATATTAAATGCGTTACRTGTTGTAATAAGATTCCATTAAGAGGTTGATTGAAGCTTTCCAMCGATAGGTGTGTCACTGACTGTGGTATGTGTCCACTTTGAAGAGGTTGATTGAARYTYTCCAACGATAGGTKTGTTACTGACWGTGGTATGTGTCCACTTTGAAGAGGTTGATTGAAGCTAAAAAACGATAGGTGTGTCACTGACTGTGGTATGTGTCCACTTTGAAGRGGTTGATTRAAATSYTSCRACGATAGGTGTGTCACTGACTGTGGTATGTGTCCACTTTGAAGAGGTTGATTGAAGCTAAAAAGCGATAGGTGTGTCACTGACTGTGGTATGTGTCCACTTTGAAGAGGTTGATTGAAGCTAAAAAACGATAGGTGTGTCACTGACTGTGGTATGTGTCCACTTTGAAGAGGTTGATTGAAACGGTCCAGCGATAGGTGTGTCACTGACTGTGRTATGTGTCCACTTTGAAGAGGTTGATTGAAAAGTACAAACGATAGATGTGTCACTGACTGTGGTATGTGTCCACTTTGAAGAGGTTGATTGTATAACCTAAGCGATAGTTGTGTCACTGACTGTGGTATGTGTCCACTTTGAAGAGGTTGATTGAARTYTYYCAAWGATAGGTGTGTCACTGACWGTGGTATGTGTCCACTTTGAAGAGGTTGATTGAAGCTAAAAAACGATAGGTGTGTCACTGACWGTGGTATGTGTCCACTTTGAAKAGGTTGATTGAAAYGGTMCARCGATAGGTGTGTCACTGACWGTGGTATGTGTCCACTTTGAAGAGGTTGATTGAGGCTTAAAAACGATAGGTGTGTCACTGAACRTGGTATTGTTTCGAATTGRAGAGGTTTGTTGTATTTGGCCAGCTTCAGATTTGTAACTRACAAGGGAATTTGAAGCTCTCCCTCGGTGACTCCCTTGGTGAGAAAGACTGTATCATCCAAGAATGMTTGTGTCGGATACCAACATGATGATACTCGTTTAATKGTTCTTAACTTCTTGTCAACGAGYGGAGATCCAAAGTGATGTCTTAATGACGGCGAAATGTTTTGCAACAAGAATATCTTTTTGCAAACTARGAGAAGACATAGTATATCAATATATTCAAGATRTGATGTAATTATTCGTAGGATATATACGGGTAGTGATGGGAGCATTATTGYCTCTGYAGTATATATGCCGTTTTGTGCTCGTCTAACWAATGAGAAAGGKKTGTGGAGCGAGAGTGATTTTGGGTGACCATTTGGTTGTTGTGATTTTWRTATATTATGATTTCTTTTTATTTATTTGGCGGGGGACAGGGAAGGGGGTAAGGATTCGCCTCCTCTGTTGTGATGCTGTCTGTAAACGTATATTTAATACTTCCTTTCTTTCTTTTTATAATACATATAATCTCAATCTCTAAGAAGAATGACTTCTCTCTGTCTATTCTCGCGGACTACYACCCCACTTATTCTTTTGGTCATACTCCTCACTYGTGCCTCAGCCACCAACAAATACAACTCAGCCCTTAATATACAATCTTTCAATGATTTAGATCAAGAAATATTTGGATGGCAGTGCGAGAAGACCACAGAATCACCTCCTAAGACACAGATAGCTGGAGTGTACATCTTCTTTCAGGCCCTGCTCAACGACGCAAAGATGTATCTCGTTCCCTCCTACATTGGCATGTCAACGTTTGATGTTTCCTCACGTATAAATGCGCACATTGGCAACCCGGAGAAGAGATTTAGCAAGTCTTTGATCTGGTGCTACTTCGAATTGGAAACTAAAGGAAGCTCAAGAGCGTCTGGAAACTACAGATACGATGCGTTTGATGTGGAGAACAAGTCTAGTTTGATCAATCATCTACTTGTGACTCACTTTTTTTGTTTTGGACGTGATGATAAGGATAAGGACGCTGGATAGCAAGAGACTGATATAGATCTTCCTGGTCGCTTCGTTCAATACATCGAGCTCGAAGCCTGCATCGACGAATCCATTCAAGGTTTTGATACAGAGATCAAATTATAATCGTCTGGCATGTTGTTGGCCAAAGGGAGATTGAGTAGACCATACTTTCTCTGACTCTGCTGCATCAGGAGCCGGTCAGTGAGCTGAACGCGATAGTTTTCTTTCCAGTCGCAAGTTGATCTCTAAAGTGAAGCTCTGCTTGCTTGACGGGGGGTGTATATGCTGGGGTCGCTCATAACTTTGTGTTCCTCCATCGCCTTCTTGATGATTGGTATGATCTTGATGATCTTCATCATTGGCCCCACTTTGATGCGAAATTCTTTGAGGTAGCCCTCTGTGAGGTCGCAGAACACTTGGGTGTCCACTCCTGCTTCTATCAACACCTTGGTCGTTGACTCATCAAGGTGGGCCAGTGCCCACTCGTAGTAGTCGGCGTCTGACCAATGTTAAAATGTGCCACAGTCATAGTCTCCATCCAATGTTCGCTTGTTTACTCCCAACATTATGTATGTATGTGTATTGTAAATAATGCGAGAATAAACCAAATGCAATTTATCCCCCCCGCAATTTGAAGTGGGAACAATCTTTGTCTAAAATGTTCCCGCACAATGAGGATGTAGGAACAATCTGGGTTTAAAATGTGCCCGCATAAAGATTAGTCCCTTTTAATGGTCTTATATCCAGTGATCAATGATTCGTATGCGTTCTTCATGAACTTGAATGCTTCTTGTATGCGAGCTAGTTGCTTGGCTGTTGTGCCTTGTGTGTTCTTATCCGGGTGCAGGAACAGCGAGTATTTCTTGTAGGTCTTTGAAAGGGCACTAAGTTCATTGGCTGATCTGTGGTCGAAAGTTGGTAAGGAAAAGACTCTTAGTGCGTTGTTGTCCTTTAACCTGAGCATATTGTGGATTCTCTGGATGAGAATGTCCTTTTCTGGGGTGGTGTGATTGATTATATTAGATGGCTATATGGGCCTTGGGCCTTGTAGAGATTTGTCGCACTGAGTACATACCCGACATGGAACGTTCCCCATATGCGCAGATCGGATCATTGTCCGGTTCGTCGTCGTCATCATCATCTTTATCAGCATCGTCCTCGCCATGTTCCGGTTCGTCGTCTGTGTTGTCACTCTCCATGGAGTCTTGATCAATTGGTGATGAGGGGTTACAACTACTGTCGCTGCTCCCCTCGTTTGGCGATGGGGCAGGTTGTTGTTGTTGTTGTTGTTGTTGTTGTTGTTGTTGTTGTTGTTGTTGTTGTTGTTGCAAGGGCTCTGTGTGTTGATTCGGAGTAGGTTGCGTTGATCTACCATGGCAAGTATTACAAAGCTTGATGAACATACGGACCCTAACGTTGATGTCTGCGTAATAAGTGAGTGTGGGTATATATACCGAAGAGGATGCCGATCATCGAGATGTCGCACATACTGTTAATGGTGTAGAGATGAGATATTGATGTGACAGTGGCCAGGACACCTCGGTGAAGGTGAACGCCCTGTCCCATGTGATGGGTTCTGATGATGTCATCCACATCATCTTCTCTTGGAACAAAGGTCTTGTTGAGCTTGTTCCATACAACCTGCTTACTGTTCAATGGTCTCAGCTCGTAGTTAACAACATTCTTCATGAAGTATTGTGTGCATTTGTGTCCTGTGCCATCGAAATAACGATACAAGGAATCACTATCCATTCTCTAATAAGGCTTTGCTGTTGAAGCAATAAATATTTATATGTGATGTGACTTATATGTGATGAAATTTATATGTGATGAAATTTTATATGTGATGAGATTTATATGTGATGGAATTTATATGTGATGAAATTTATATGTGATGAATTTTTATATGTGATGAAATTTTATATGTGATAAGATTTATATGTGATGGAATTTATATGTGATGGAATTTATATGTGATGAGATTTATAATGTGATGTCTCAATTGACCATTCTCACTGACCCTCTTCCACAATAGGTTAGTCACTGACCTATCGTCCCTTATTAAATTTTCCCAATTATTTCAAACTTGTGTTGATCATATATCCAACCAACTTATGCTTTCTTGTCCATTTTGAATTCGTATCACAATTGAAAGCATGGATCTTCAACTCGAAGTTGATACATGTCGTCTCATAAATATTGTCCTCTTTGGATTCTCCATTGATAAAGATGATTAGGTTCGAAAATCTCCAAACCATTGAGGTCATTATAAGGATTGAAGATAGGACCGGGCCTCCGACATCTGATCCCGCTCAACCATTCTTTCACGCCACTTAAAGTCGTTCGTATGCTTTGTGTTGAGATCATCGCACCACTTGTACCAAGTAATATGTCCAGAACCGCAATAAGGCTCCCTTTTAAAACCTTTTGATAGAGGTTGATTATAGAATGATGGTAGTCCCAAACATATCTTCCTTCCAATCCTGATTGGGTCGGTCACTAGTAACAAATTTAGTTAGTGGAGGTCCAACATATGACAAAGATTAATCAAAATAAATGATATGTACCTTTTTCCAATGGAACAATTATCACTCGTAAATGACTATCCAAATTCAACAATGTGTCTCACTGATTCTAGTATCATTCTTATCATCTTTCATGACAAAATAGAACATTGCCATACCATTGTTTGATAACTGATTCACAAACAATGGCCTGATATCACTAACCTTGGTCTGCCCGTCTCCTTGATAGGATACTTTGCCAGTGGGAAGCGTGATGATCACCATATTGTAGTTGCTTTTATATAATTGATAATGTATGTAGATGTAGAGTGAATGAACAGACAGTCTATTTTGTCCACACATAGTAATTCACAAGCATCAAGGGCCCAAACTACAAAGTGACCAAATCTGAATCGAAAAATAATATCTGAAACCTGTCCAATTGTTACAATATCCATTAATGGATATCGATAACTGACCTTTAGTCTTTATTCTTAAGGAATGCCAATGATAACTTGCTCCGACTCTTTGGTAATGGTTGTGTATCGTTCATTGTTGTATTTGCCCCATTCGGATTGTCAAAGGCATCCATGATGGCAAACAGTCCTCCCCTAGGACCACGTTTCAACTCCCTATGTCTATCTGTATTCTTTGAGTGTACATGTACTGAACTGTCCGATCCATCCCACAGTGGAGCGGCAACTTGTGCTCCTAATGTCCTATTCATTGCGCTCTATAATGATGATTGATGTTAGTTCATTCCACTCACCACTCTATCAATCCAATCAATCCAATCAATCAATCAATAATAACATACTTGGTGATGTACACGGTATTCCTTCATCTGGTGATACATTAGATGGTAGAGCTCATTCATCTCGTCGGCGTTGGCAAAGAATAGGTCGATTCGGATGGATGAACCAGCGTCGCCACCTTTGATCGAGATGGATGACTCGACGTCGTACATGATGATGGTGGCAGCATGCAATGGGATGCAAGCAGAGAACTGATAGCGATTGGTTACCTTTCCTTTTGGTTTGGCAAACAACAGTATATCGTTAAATAGGAATAGATGACGGGTCTCGCCAGACTCGCGATCCAGGCGCACTGACAGCTCTTTGAGCAAACGTCTTGATGAGTCGAATATAGCGAATGGCACGTTGTCCACTGATTCCTGCACCTTTACCAATCGCTCATTATCATCCGAGTGATGTTGGCATTGATTGATAAACACTGCCACCTGATTCAAGTTCTGATGTACTTCAATCAGTTCTGCATAAACAACCTCGTCGGCGGTGTTCTTTATCAGTTCCTGTGGATGGTTGGATAGATGTTTGAGTGAGTTAATGGATCGATTGATTGATGGATTGGGATGGAGACATACATTGAAGAATAATGGATACTTGCACAGTCTCTGAATTGGTTTGATTAGGAAGTCGGGTAGACCAAGTCCACGTGATAGAGGGTCGTCCATAATGTCCTTGAGTACTTGGCTAAAGTGTCCATCTGACTTTGACAACTCACTAACGAATGCTATTGACTTGGAATAGTTCTTACAATACTCGGAGTACAACCTTAGGAATGGATACTATGTTTGATTGATGGAGTGAGTGAGTGAGTGAGCGATCCAAGATGATTGATTGATGACGCCACATGGTACATACAGCTCGCTGGAATACTTCGATGGCCGCACCCACGGTCAGTTGATCACCGCCTCGACTTGCCTTGATGTCGTCGACAAGGGTGGCACTGATGTTACGAATGAACTCGATGCCAGTGACGAGGGATAATAACATTGACTTTGCATATCTCTTCTTGAGGAGCAATGGCCTAAGCCATCCAATGACATGATCCACATCGCGTAGGTAGTCTTCCTCCGTACCAGACAGCTCAGCCAACAATTGTAGTGTGTTGGCATGTCTTGTGTTGGCCGCCTCATCATCGTCTGGACGCGAGAATGGCGGGTACGGCTTCTTGATCTGGTGTGCATAAGGATTGGCACCATTGCCGCTGCCATTACTACTGCTGTTGCTACGCGACAGTCTGGCCTCCTCAACGTGCGGGTTCAGCGCGCACCACTGTACCACCTCTTGCAGTGGCGGGATGTCAAAGCTGAAGCTGCTGGGTATTGGACGATTCTGGATGCGCTGCAACTCCTGCTCCTGCTCCTGCTCCAACTCCTCTTGGCGCATCTGCTCCTGCAACCGCAATCGCTGTTGTTGTTGGAACAGACGAATGGGTGAGTTGGGGATCGATCGGCGGTCCCTCAACTGCGACACAATCGGGCTGCGCACATTGCCAAACTTAAAGTTTGGTGAGTTGGTCGCGGGCAGGCTGGCTGGTTGCCCTCCAACACTCTTTGGACTCTTCGCCACATATGATGACTGACGCTCAAGGTTGCGCGCTTCCTTCTCCTGGAAGATTCGCACCTTGGACAAGACGTCCAGCATCTCGGGTTCGGCAGGCGCATGCCGGCCAGAGGATGTAATGGTAGGGGGTGCGGTCGTAGGAGTGGACGTAGACGAGGACGAGGAGGAGGAGGAGGACAAGGACGTGGGAAGGGAGGAGAGTGGCGGCTGACTTAGACGCGGGGGTCGTGGTGGCGGAGTTGTCTTTTCGATTGAGTTGCTGAGTGGAGTGGCAGTAGTTGGCGACAATGCCGGTGAGCATTGTGATGAAGTTGATATAGCTGATGAGTTTGATTGATGTAGAGGTCTATTATTATTGCTACTACTACTTATACTATTATTATTGTTGTTGTTCTTCTTGCCATTCTCAATCATCTCGAGAGTGAACAGACTCTGAACATTGACCCAGTTGAGATAAGGTGATAGGATTGGTGAACATCTTGATGGTGTGGTTGCCTGTGACATGTGATCGGCACCAGTTGGCGAGTCTGATGTTGAGGTCGATGCCGAAGATCCTCTATTGAAGACTCCATTACTACTACTCCTCTTTAGAAATACATTGTTGCCACTGAAGCTCAATGGCAATGTTGATTGAGGTGCAATATTATTATGAGGTTTCCTCAATCTCATCGATGAGCTGAGTATCTTTGGTTGTTGGACATATGTATCTTTGTCCTTATCCTTATCCTTGTCTTTGTTGTTGATGTTATTATCATTATAATATTGTTGTATATTGTTATAAATAGTATTCTGTTTCTGCACTGTTTATGTTGTTTATTTGTGAATGTACGAGGGCAAGGGTTAGGGCAAGGGTTGAGCGAGGGTTTGATAAACTTACTGTTCATAAAGATAATGTCTAATTAGACATCCAAACTAATTAGAGTATGAGTGATGTGAAAAGGAAAGAAGATGGTAAGAGTGAGTGTAGTATGCACTTGCATGTGGAGTTGGACATCTGCCTACCCATCAATGGTGGATTGAGTGGATGGATGTGGGTGTGTGTTGGATGAATTGGACTGGAATGGACGACACCGAACTCATAGCAATGGTAGGTGATGTAACGGACCATACGATGCCATGTACATGTGGGTGGTCATATGACAGTTTATTATGCTACTGAATACACCGTTGGATATATTGACGAAAGAATTGAATTCGAGTTGACGGTTGGGAATGGGAGGAACCATCAGCGGTAAGAGAGAGGTACCTTGTGGCAGGCTGGCTTTTCGAGTAAAGGAAATAGCAATGATGATATGCATATCAATTCAATCACCACATGTATATCTTGATTACAAGATGTATGTTCACCCCCACCCGACTGACTTGGTCGTCATCTGATTGATCATTGTGTGTATGTGTGTGAGTGTGTGTGTATGTGTGTGAGAGTAGTGTGTAATGGAATGACGTGATGACGGAAGAGTAATTGACAAAGAATTGTTATGGGAATGATTGAAGTGTACTGTCAATGTACAATGACATACAGCAGTAATGTCATACATCGGTGGTGGATGGTTGATGGTTTGATGCGAGTTTGCTTATAAATGTAGATTCAAACTTCATTGTGAATGTGAACCAGGCTTGAATTGAATTGAATTGAATGATCGAGAATGAATGAATGATCGTGAGAATGAATGAACGTGAATGAATGAATGATTACTACGATCGATCGCATTGAGCATGGTGGTCGATGTATCGTTGTGTCATTGTGCTTGGATGTCCAAACCAACCACAGATCAGTTCTTCTTCTTAATTGTCAGATGTGCCAGATCGAATGATGTTCCGTCGGGATGCAGCTCAAAGGTGTGCTGGTTTGGCTTGATCACGCCACTCTCGTTGCACTCGGCCGCCTGCAGGAAGCCGCTGGGCGACAGACCGACGATCTTGACCATGGAGTTGGACTCCTCAAGGCGCACGATCTGATCAGTATGCAGCCATGCCGACATGTACTCGGCGGCGAATGGGATGAATCCCTGGCGCGTGAACATGATGTACATCGACTCGAACTCGGTAAAGAAGCGTGCCAGCAACTCGTCGCGATTGAAGCGGACGCTGCCAAGCTGGTTGAGCGAGACAGTCGGCTGCTCGTTCTCCACGTTGAGGCCAACGCCCACCACCACGTCGAACTTGCCGTTGAGATGGTTCGACTGGCAGAGGATGCCTCCGACCTTCTTGCCATCGGCGGCGTAGATGTCGTTGGGCCACTTGAGACGCACGCCAAGCTCTGGCGCGTCAATCGCACGGATCATGGCAATGCCCACTAGGTATTGGAGGAAGGGCAGCTTGGTGCCGTCCTCTTGCTTGCACTTAAACGAGAAGACCAGACAGCCGGGTGGTGATGTCCAGGGGTTGCTGCCGCGGCCGCGCGCATTAGTCTGGCGATCGGCCACCATGACGATGCCCTGGCCCGTGAAGGTGAGCTGCGACATCATGATGGTCTGGGTCGAGCTGAGCAGCGGGGCGAACAACAGGTGATGTCCAAACAGCACCGAGTCCAGCTTGTCAAAGTAGCGGTTGGTGTTGAACTGATCGGCTGGCTGCTGCACATCCCTTATCTTTGCCTGGTCTTGCTCCAGCAGAATAGCCAGATGCTTGCCATTCGCAAGGCTTTCCACCTCGTTCTCCTTCTCCACAGGTATAATCACAGGCACTGTTTGACCAGGTATCTCCTCACTTGCATACAACAACTTTGCATCATCCAATGACAATGCTTGTTTATGATACAATCTTACTACTTCAGTTTGTTGTTGTTGTTGTTGGCTCATTGCTGTTGATCTTAAGATATTAGTTGTAGTTGATGCTGTTGATGTTGTTGAGAAATGAAGACGACGATGATGATTATGAATAAACTTAGTTTGTAGTTGTTGACGAATGAATAAGGTTGTTGTTGTTGTTCTGTTGATCAACATTGGACTCAATGACTAACTTACTCACTCACATTACAATGATTGATCGAATGAACTGAATGAATGAAGTTGTTGGACACATTGATTGTGTGTTTGCATGTCGGGGTGCAACAGGTGGTCCCGAGCAGACGACATTCATTCATTCATTCAAACAAGTCATATAACTTAACTTTAACAACAACACTTTAATGTTGGGAACCAACATGTTGTCAACAACAGTATCTAGGTATGTTACAAGTACACCTCCCTTTGATGGAATAGAATTGAATGAACTTCATTGTATTTCCATGTTGATACTTGAGGAGGTATGATTGGGAATCACCCGAAATGGGCAAGATTCAAGTTTGTGCATGTGACCTTGACTATCTCTCTTTGGAATTTTCTGTCCAACCTTTGAATTCAAACTTATGTTGTTGATGAATGAAGTATCTGAGTTGACCATAGACTAGTCTATCAACTGTACATATATATCTTCATATAAGCATACATACATATACACATAACATAATATAAAGATGAATAACAAGTCAATCATTGCTATTATTGTCTTGTTGATATTGGCAACAACAACACCAGCTCTATGTGATATTTGGTCAAACTGTGGAACAGCAAATGATCACTTCCAAATCCAGAAAGTAGTCATCACTCCAGACCCTCCTGTAAAGGGTCAGTCACTCAATGTTACTGCCACTGGTCAATTGAGTATGTTTATATCATGTCATTCAAACATGCCATCTCGTCGCTTGACTCACCGACCCCAATCAATCAACAGACGAAGCAGTCACTGGTGGTAACGCACATCTGTTGATCAAGTATGGATTCATAACGATCATCAATCAGAATGAGGATATATGCTCTATTCCAAACAGTCCATATCAATGTCCAATTTCAGCTGGCGACTACCAGAGATCGGTCATTGGCAACATCCCATCAAATGTGCCATCGGGCAAGTACACTGGAAACGTCGTCTTTACCGATCAGAACAACCAAGAGATCGCCTGCATCAGCCTCGACTTGACCTTGTAGTGAGTGAGTTGTCCATCATCCGATCGATTAGGACCTCATTCAATCAAATATGCGAATACACATTCATTCATTCATTCATTCCAATGATGAAGACTACCAAATGATGGATGGAGCATGGCTACACAACATTGATTGATTGATTGATTGTACAAATGATTGATTGGCTGACCAGCCAACCATGCTATATTATTATTATATACTGTGATCAGTTGATTGAGGACCTTGGTACTTCTCAAAGTTGAGTGCCTGTCGCAGTTCATCGATGGGCGTCTCCCAGTGATCCTCGTAGCGAACATTGAGCAGGAACTTGGAGTTGCGACCACAACGCACTGCCCAGGGGATCATATGCTTGACCAGTGTGCTCTGCTCTGAGAGCTTGAGACGCAGCGGGCCAACCACAGCGCTCAGTGCGCACATTGGCAGACCAGTCTGCACCATCTCCAGCCACTTGACAGCGATCTCGCCCTGCACTGTCGTGTCAATGCCAGCCAGTACGTGCCAAAAATCGTGCACCTCTCTATATCGCTGCATGACGTAGGCCTCGTCGTCATCCTCAATCATGCGCACATGTGTCCTGTCGTCGGCCGAATAGCCGTGCTCCTGCATGAAGAGATGGTAGGCACCTCCAAACGTTGTGGGTGGCAGGAGATGCAGGTTCTGAGGGAATGTCTCGCGTCTGATCCTCGGCTTTGTTTCGAGCAACTGTCTGCCAACAGGATCATCCTGCATCTTCTGTTTAAGTGTCTTCAATGCACAACCGCCAGTGACCTCTCCCAATGTAGCAACCATATCACCTCTTCCAGGATTGACCATTGCTACAATCGATGATCCAACGCCCAACAATACCTTCTGGAACAAGTTGTTCTTTATCTTTGTCCTGCCTTGTGTCTATGTCAGTGTCAGTCAGTGTCAGTACTTTGATTGATTGATTGTTCGATCAGTCGAAATAGATTGATAGAGTGATTGGAATAGTTCCATCAATGATCAATCGAGTGTTTGGAATGATTCCATGATTGATTGAGTGGTTGAGTGATTGAGTGATCGAGTGATCATACCTTGTCCGAAGAGTCGAATGTTGATGATGTTGATGCTGAGGCATAGTGACGAACATATTGATAGCCTGATGTAGTCATCACTCTACCAATGCTGTGATTGATGCCATTGATGCCATTGACATTGTATAGACATCTATACAATCTAGGTATAGATGATGTCATCATGTTGTAATTGTAATATTATTGTTAATATCTGTTGGTTCAACAGTGAATGAGTAAACTATGTTTGATGAATCTGAAACATCCACATCATGGTCAGACGAAAAGTCAGATGATTCATAAACTTGTCATCGTCTCAAGCATACAGATACGATGCACATGTACATCTATTGTCAATAACAATCAATCATTCATTCATTCGATCAATCAATCAATCATATAATCACAACAATATATTCAATCAACAATAGATAGACATGTCTAAGGTTGGTAAAGGTTTAGTGTTGACAGAGAGTGAGGCACTGTTCGAACTCCTTATATATACACCATTCATATATGTATCAGTAAACAAATGCTTGGTCAACTTGAATAGCTTCGAGTTCTTGAGACGTGATGGTGCTCATATCTTCCTGCGTCTGTTTATATTCCTCGCTCACGACATGGCCGCAGACACATTGGTCCATCTATTCCTAGGCACCTCGCCACCATGGCTCTACAACGATCATCTAGTCATGTTGCTCACTGTTTGGACGATAATGACCATCTTTCCATACCTGCTTCAATTCCTACTTAGACAGCTCAAGGTCATCAATATATTACTACTGATCACACTGTCGGTCAATGATATCACTCAGATATATTCACTGCCAATGTACCCTTCCGAGCCCTTTACTCAACGCGGCTACACATGGCCCATACTACCGCCCAGCACACTTGGATCCCTCTTCATTACACTCATCTCCTCGCAGACCGGTGAGCTACTCAAGACATGTATTATACACTACTTTAGGCCTGCATATCCAACATCACTCACTGCTCCATCATTGTAAGTTGTTCCCTCATGTGACCCTCGACCCTCAACCCTCGCCCTAACCCTCGCCCTCGCCCTCGCCCCACTTAGACCATGGATCACGATTGGATTCTCGGCTATACTGTATCACTTCCTTGCTAATCCACATGCAGAGACTATCAACTCGGTACTCGTACATCAGTACGTCAGTCAACATAATGCACGCCTAATACTATATGGCTTGTTCTTAATTGTATTCATGATGGATGCATTCCGTCCACAACCAATATTGGACAGTGGACCAGCCCACAACAATGTCAGCAACAACTACAACGTCAACAACACCGTCAACAATGACAACTTAGGGACGTCGTCATCCACTTTGAATAAATCGGATGACAGCAGGAGCAAGGTGCATCAACAGTGACGCACTTGGAAACGATCAATCATACTCTCTTTTACTTTAGTTTATGTTCTTGTCTGATCAGAAGAACTTTACATAGTCTGTACAGGCAATCCTCTCATTGTCAATGATGTGTGAGAATTGGTACTTGATGTCTGGACCTGGTGCACACATGGACATGGACATAGACATTGCAGCAGTGGCCGGTAACAGGTGGTAGGATGTGGCGGCCGCGACAGTAGTTGGCGAGAGGAGTTGGAAATCAATTGATTTCCCTTGTGAACAACTATTGTATTGGCGATGTTTTGTTGACGCCAGACAAGCATTCAATTCCTTGACCTTGTTAAGTATGTAGTTGATCTCATTATTGATGCTCTCCACCTCCTTGATCAACTCTGTATCATTCTCCAACAAGTAGTCCTTAATGTCCAAGTCTTCTTGATTGATTGAGTAAGTGAGTCAGTAGGTAATAGAGTGTGATGGTCCCTCGGCTAAGCATTACATACCAAGTCCATCTTCATCCTCTTCAAAGATTGAGTCAAATCGCAGTCTCTTGGCTCCGTAGAGATCACTCTCGGAATGTGATCTAGATTTCTTGATGGGCGTGGCTACTTTTGACTTGTCTCGTTGTGGTTTTCTGATGGTCCACGGATCAATATCAATTGATGGCTTCAATCTCCAGAACCCATTCTGTTTATAATGGTCCGTTCCAGACTCAAACAGATTCTTACTGTGACTGAGCATGTCCTGTACCTGCTTCCTCCAATTATGTATCTCTAAATGTATCATGGAGGTTGTGTCAGCATCGCAAGGAGATTGAGTGGGTGAGAGAGAACTTACTGTCTTTGGATGGCTCACACAGAGAGTCCCAGTGATCGACCATCCAGGAGTAGACGTCGGTGCGTAGATTGAAGAATGGTCGGTCAGGGAAGCTGTTACCAAGGGTGTAGAAGACTACTCTCATGATGGTAGACCATGTTGGACATTTAAGAACGATGGATGGTGGTCCTCTTTGGCATACTATACAATTTGGATATTTACATTGCCTGGGAACACTGGCCGATTGTTTGGTTGATGCATTGGTCAGTCCCTGTTCCTGATCCGGACACTGGTCTACCATGGGGAGGGTTGGTGATGAAGGTGGAGTTTGTACATCAAAGACTACGCCTCTACTTTTGGAAAGGATTGCATCTGATTGAGTGGAAGGCCTTCGAGTTGGAGATCGGGGTGGGGAGTAGGATGGTGTGGAAGGGTTGGAAGAAGATGGAGTAACCATAATGTTGTTGTTGCTAACAACTTGTGAGTGGATTCTCTGGCCTAATGATGATGATCTATCATCTTTGATCTCAGGAACCTCGCCATCAGACTCTGAATTCCTCCTTAATGATAACAAGATCATGGCAGACTCCTTTTGAAGTTCTGTCTTTAGGATGGAGGGAGATGGGGAAGGTGGTGGAGAAGAAACAATCATGGTATATGATTTGGTGTTGTGGTTGATTGATTGTTGTTGGAGTGTAACTAGGTTACATATATATCCTAGGATCTTGTCGGCAGGTTTGCTTGGTTGTGTTGGAAGATAGGCTGGAAGTTCTGTTGATAGGATGTTTGATTGTTATAATAATATAGAGATTGAGATTGGATTAGGTAGGTAGGTAGTATATGCAATGGATATTGCTATTAGACAGTGAGTGAGAGCTCAATCATTTGCTGCCTGACTTGGTTAAAGAATGGATGATGCCGAAGGTATGTTATGTGGAAGAACTACTACAACATATATGTTATATACACTTATAAGTGGAGCATCATCTATCTCATTAAACAAATGTATCCATCGTATCGTATTAGTGTGATGTGATTGATATTGCCAGAGGAAAGGGCATTCATTGGTAACAACACCAACACGCCATTTCGTCCCTTGCCTTCATTCCGTCAATCCATTCATTCATTCACTCATCCATCCATCCATCTTGTAGCTCAACTAGTTGAGTTATTATACAAAGTTCAACTTCATATATATGTAGTGCGGATACTATTGATCACACTTGATCATAAATATAGGTGCTGTGGTAGCCTTTGTGTGTGTTGTGATGAGCCGCGAGTGCGAGTCATGTGATCGTGGGTTGTTACTGTTGGGAGGCGATAGTGGTTGGTATTGTTAATGTGGTAGTAGAGCTGGCCTGTGGAGGGGTCTCCTCATCCAGCAACTAGTAACTTGCTCAAAGTAGGTAGGTACGTAGGATGGTATATTACTGTCGTGCGACATTGAAAGAGTGGGATTCGAATGGAATGGAATGGCACATGCATGCACTTTGACTTGTGATCACCAACCAGTATTATATGTTTGAGTTGAAGATCTTAAACAGACACTTTCACGAACTTAAGGGATGCTGGCAACATGTTGCACCAAATGCAAGGAGGAGGAGGTCTAGTTGAACTCTTGCCTTTTCAGAAGGAGTAAAGAGATAGAGATAATCTTTTTGTTCACACATCATGATTGTGGCGGCAGAGTGACGGGTCTCTTTGTGATCATGAAGGTTGGTTGAAGCATGTAGGGTCTCATTCGATTGCACATCAAATCGGCTATTTGCCAAAAGGTAATCACCTAGATCTCAATAGGGTCAAAGGGGGGGTGATCAAGTTAATCCTGATAGCACTCCACAAAAATAAATATCTATCTATCGGTGAGTGACTTGAATCGAGTGATACAAGGGCATTGTCGGGGTCTTGATGATGTATTGTTAGGCTCTTACCAGACGATTTGACCCATAAATCTGTGATCATCTTGTTCTTGTTCGTGTTGATGTGTTGTTGTACAACTTGTCAGTCAAAGGACTTGATCACTTCAGCTCACTCACTCAATCAATCAGTTCCCAACGTTAGAGTACTCGTTCTCCATTTCGATAACATTTGTTTGATTAAATTATGAAGTAGATAGTAATACATACATACTTACTTACTAATTATACGTATATTATACCTCAAAGTAATATACAAAAATCAATCAATATACTTTACTTTAATTCAATCAGAAAGTAATGACCCAACCCGACTACTTCTCAAAAGACGTTGATCACAGATACACACACACACACACACACAATCAAACACACAATCACACACTTTTGATCGTTCACTGTCAATAACTCGGTTCTCAATCACACACTCACTCACACTCACACACATTGCAAGGACCATTGACCATGGCAGGTTGTCAATACCATTTGATGTGGCAGGGGTAGGGGGAAGGGGCTTGATGCTGTTGCAGAGACTCTGTCTCTCTCGGAACACACAACACAGTACAAACAAACCATCTAGTTTATCGTCCCATCATACACAAACAGTTCCTAAAGCCCATCAATCAATCAATCAAAAATACCACCATCACACATTTAGATCATCGTCTTTATGTATAACTAAATTGACATACACTCACACAACACCCTATCAATCAATCAATCAATCAAAGATTCCATTCTTCATTCAATCAATCAATCAATCTCTTCTCATTCAACATCTTAAACCTATTTATTTATTATTATTCATTATTTATAACTACATTCTTATAAGAATATAACTTGAACATACAATATCACCCAATAATAACAACGCGACAACATCAACTTCCAAACAGTCAATCAATCAAACAATCAATTCAAACACAACCAGGCGATAGACAGAAGTAACTTGTAAATTATTCAAAGAAGGTACTCTTCACTCACACCTAAACAGTTGTTTGTAATACATTGGACGCCAAAACAGGACGATTTATTGCGCAAGACCCTGTTTTTTTGGACCCAACAACAAAAAAAAAAGATATATATCTTTGTTTTTTGATTTGATCAAATCAAAAATCAGTGTTTTTGGGTAGACCAAACATACAAACCATGTCCATGGCGCCTCCCCATCACCAATGCAACCCCAACAACAAGGGAGGGCATTTCGAAAATCTGGCCTTTGTTTGTTTGTTGTTGATGGTCCATGGGCCATACCATATCAAACACAACATACACTCACATCCCATCAATCATCATTCACCAACATCACACTCAATCAATCAAACAGATAGATAGACAACCAAACAACCAACCAAACAAACAAACAAATAACTTACTTGTATTATTACTATTACCCAATTGTATAATTAATATTTAGATATAGGAGATGGATAACACAGGTGATGCAGAGGCTGTAGACGCCACACAGCCATTCCCATTCTATAGTCCCGATGACGACAGTAACATAATATATATAGCTGGTGCCAATCGAAAAGATGGTGCCGCAGCAATCAAATGTTGCCAACTGGCAAAGCTGGTCGAAAAGATGACACAGACTGTCACTTTTGGTATGTGGCTGTGGATGGATGATGCTGGATCAATCGATCAATCGATCACATATTAACATCATTGATACTGGACCATTTAGACTCATTCTTTGGATCAGCATTCTTCCTAACATACAAGGACTTTACAACACCGATGGAACTGGTCCAGTTGCTCATCTCAAGATATACAGGACCAACAAATAATGCCAGCAAGGACCATCTTCGTCTGTTTGAGATTGAAGTGGAGATTGTACAGGCCAAGTATGATCAGAATCGGACTCATTCATTCAATCAATCATTCGATCAATCACTAACTCAAACCCCCACCCACATCACTGGAACTATCCCATCCCCCACCTGTCCTGATTCATCAATCAAAACACAATAGTGTAATACATATGATCAGACAATTGATTGGAACATTGAATGAGAAGGACTTCCAAGAGACAGAGTTTGTAAACTTGACGATTGAGTTTATAAATTCATTGCCAGAGGACTTGAAGAATGAGTTGTTCTTGATGTTCTTTAAGATTAGAAGATTGGCCAAGCCACCTCAACAGCGCGCACAGCAACAACAGCAGCGACCAAACACAACGATCATATCGTCAGCGGCATCAACCATGCGTTTCTCATTCTCCGTCTCGCCAAAGACTGAGTCGCCCAACTCCACATCCGACGTGCTGACGGGCCTGCTTAGCAACACGGGCAGCAGCCCCAACAGCACACAGAGCAGCATCATCTCGACGTCGAGCGCAGAGGGATCCACCCGCGGCGGTGGCTCCTCCACCAAGATCAGCAAGGGTCGCATGTCAAAGATATCATTGATGCCACCTGGCAATGGAAGCAGCAGTGGAGCCACGGCGCACTCGCCACTCAATGCGCACAGCAGCATGGCGCTCAGCCACCACCTTACACAGATACAGAACAACTTGGATGAGGACGGCTTCCCCGTCATCCAGGACAAGCCATCGTTCCCACCCGAGATGATCGCGCGCGAGCTCACCATCATGGAGTACGAGCTGATCGCAGCACTGGGCACACACGAGTTCTCGCAAAAGGCATGGACCAAGGAGGGACAGGCGGCCAACATCCGCAACTTTGTCACCTGGTTCAACAGGATCAGCAGTTGGGTCACGACCAAGATCATCTCAAAGGAGACGCCCGAGGAGCGCGCCGTCATCATCGAGGCATTCATCAACATTGCTCACTGCGCCAAAGAGCTCAAGAACTACAACTGCGTGATGGAGATCATTGCCAGTTTGCACAACTCATCAATCTCGCGTCTAAAGAACAGTTGGGCGCTGGTGTCGCCCAAGTCCACCGAGCTGTTCACTCAGCTCACGCAATTCATGAGCTCTGACAACAACTTCAAGGTGTATCGCAAGAGTCTTTTGCTGGTGCAGCCGACCGAGCCGTGCATCCCATACATGGCGCTGTTCCTCACTGACTACACTTACCTGGACGAGTCGAACCCGGCCACGCTGCACGGCATGGTCAACATTGAGCGCATCTTTTTGATTGGCACACGTGTCCAGGAGTTCTTCAAGCTGTTCACCAACTGTTCCTACGGCTTCGTGTCGGCTGCCGCAGTGCGCGAGGCCATCCTCAGCGAGAAGGTGTGGGATGAGAACGAGACATTCCGTTTGTCCAAGATCCGCGAGGATCATACGGCCGCCCAGGTGACTTCGCCGTCCAGCAGTGCGCTGGGGCTTAGCACCGCGTCGTCGGGCAGCGGCAGTGGCTCGATGATCAATCTGAAGCGCGGCTCACGTCTAGTCACTCGTTACCGTCTGTCTTTCACGGGCAACGACCCACCCCCCTCGATCAGCTCGACGCTGAGCGATCGCGACTGGAAGATCCTGTCGACCAACGCCAGCACCGTCAAGCACAAGCGCGGCAAGAAGATACTGTCGACCGGCGAGGTCAACAGCAACCTGTACCGCATCATCAGTGGTCGCATAAAATTCGAGAACAGCGCACCTGATGAGACACGACACCTGGACGCCGGCGACATATTTGGCGAGGAGTGCTTCCTGTACGACCACCCGATGCTCTTCAACGTCGTGTGCGACAGCGACGAGTGCGAGCTCGTCGAGATCGAGAAGACCTTCATCCTCCAGCTATTTGTCAGCGAGCCAATCCTGGCCGCCACCTTTTACAAGCACATCGCCGTGCTCTTCACCGATCGTCTACGCTTTGAACTGTTTAGCAGCAGTCCAATATTGAACGCATTGAACGGCACCAGCACCACCAGCAACAGCAGCGGCGATAGTAGCGCGAATAGTACTCCAGGCAACTCGTCACCAAGCCGACCCTTTGCGCATAGCACCAGCACACTGCCCATGCCTGGCGGAACTGGCTCGCTGTCCAGCACGGGCCTATCTCCATCAATGCTCTCACACTCAACATCGTCCATCGTTGACAAACGCAAGTCGCTGGCCATTCCATCCGCGCCCAGCTCAATGGAGCTGCAGATGATGGGCACCGACACCAAGTTCCGCTCTACGTTTGGTCTGCCACCCGAAGAGATCATCATCAAGAGCTATCCAGCCAAGCACAACAGCACGACGGGCACACTCTACATCACCAAGCACCACCTATGCTTTGAGGGCAAGAAGTTTGGTCGCCACAAGCAAAAGGTGATACCCTTTGACAAGATCTCCAAGATCCTGCCAGAGAAGGGCTCGCTGTCCATGACGCTGGGCGACAAGACCAAGCGATTCAGTCTGAAGAGCGCCGAGGACCTGTCTGAGGCGTACGGCATCATGACCAAGATCTGGAAGAACCACTTTGGCTCTAGCGTCCGCTCACCCACAAAGCTGGTGCCTCCGCCCCCACCCCGCTCGCCAAAGATTGGCCGCACAGACTCATTCACTGGCATCGCCGACTTGCCCACCAAGGACGAATGGGCGCAGATCCTCAAGGGCACAAAGACCATGAAGTATCGCAAGGGTGAGGTGCTGGTCATCGAAGGCACTGAGTTCCAGAAGATCTTCCAGATAACAAGTGGAGAGTGCACAATCGTCAAGGGACTGAAGCAGACGGATGTCAACGCGACTATGAACCCGCCAACATTGATCAACTCATCCTCGTCCTCATCGATGCCCTCACACATGACGGTGTTGGCGCGATTGACCACCGGCAGCATCTTTGGCGAGATGAGCTTCTTGATGGAGGGCGGCTCGTCCATCTCTGTGATCGTCAGCAGTGATACACTGGAAGTCTACACACTGGAAGGATACTTCCTGAACATCATGCTCAAGTCCAAGCCACTATTAGCGCCAAAGTTCTACAAGTACCTTGCATGTGTCCTAGAGAGTCGACTCAAGCTCTATCGACAGACCAGCACAGCATAGTGCACACCCTCATTATCATTGGATCCTCTGTAAATACATCATCTTTTGTTCCAGGTTCCATTCATTCATTCATTCATTCGTTCATTCATTATTTGTATTTGATTGATCATCGTCATCATCCGGGAAACTGAGTGATAGTTCGTAGAATCGTGGATTGATGTCATCTTGCTTCATCCTCAGACAGATGTCAATGTGATTGAAGCCTTTGATATCAATCTCTTGTGGTAGTAGTATTGTGGTTTGCTTCCAATGTGTGTAGGGACTGCCTGGTGCAGTGTCCAGACGCACCGTAGCCTGACTGCCGACAAAGTAGCAATTGAACCAAATTGCAAATCCATGTATAACAGTGCATCCATCATCACTTATATCAAAGGGCATGCTGGCAATATTAATATCTCTGAGCTCCTCCTTCTTGACTGTCCTAAAATCAATCTCGATCAATGATCTTCCAGGTGCCAGCACTGAATCAGCATCCAAGTATTCAATCTTGATTGATTGATTGAGTGGTATTGGAATTATTCCAGTTTGATTGATTGATTGATATATTGGGTGTGATGGTGAGTGATCGGCATCATTCAGTTTGATGATTGATTGATTAAGTGATTGAGAGTGAGTGAGTGAGTGTTTGGAATCATTCCAGTTTGATTGATTAAATGGGACAACATACCAGAGGCTTGGAGTGCAGGGTGTGTATTGATAGGTCTTTGAATAAGGAGAAGTCAAAGCCATAGACGTTGTCCCAGTGGTGGACACGATCATGCATCAGTTTGTTCAGATTGACTGGAGCGATCATGATGTTGCCAGTCGTGGGGAAGATGATACCGTTGGGCGCCAGCCATCGATCACGTGCATCCAACACACTCTCCAACATTGATTCATGTAATAAATAGAATCCCATCCATTCGGATATTATAATATCAACCTTCTTGATGTCATCGACAAAATCATCATCATCTAGATTCTCCACTCTTTTGTTGATCACTGTTATAATATCTGACAATCCATTTGCTTCAACCAATCTCTCTGTATAAATTGCCATTGGTGATGCTTCAATCGCGTACACTCTAGCTGCGCCACACTTGGCAGCGAACATTGACAATATACCTGTTCCAGCTCCAACTATTATGTTTGATTACGAGTTAGTGATTGATCAAGATATATGATCAAGATATGAGTGCACTGAATGATCAAGATCTATGATCAAGATATATGATCAAGATATATGAGTGCAATGACTGATCACATACCATCCATCACTATCTTATTCTTAAAGTCGATTTGGTTCTGTTCGATGGCATTCTTGTAGGCTAGAGTACGGGTTGTATCCTTTAGCATTACATCATGTACATTCAAATCGAAGTAACTATCAAAGTATTCATCACCATCAACTTCTGATGATGACTGAGTTGCTGTCATATTCTCATCATCCATGTAAGAACTGTATCTATCTCTTTAAGTACTGTATCACTTGGTCTTTGAATGAAAGATTGCGTTTTCAAAAAATTAGGATAAATAAGTATTAATTAATAAAAGAAATTCATTCTTTAATATAGAGGAGCGGATATCCAATCCATATGGATTGAATGATTAATTGATTGATTGAATAGATAAGTATGACTATCGAATTCTTTTAAACATAAGAATAAGGTATAGTGATTGGATATTCATGAACTGAGAGAGGGAACTATTTATTGATTGCCTTTGGACCACTCTGATCTTCACCTCTTGGGTGAAAACTCACACTAACTTCACCATTCACGTGTACACTTCAACATAATCACTAACATACCACTCACTTTGATCAAGGACCAATCAATCAATTAAACATTTATAGACCAATGAGGCAATTAAACCATCAACTTGAACTTACATACACGAAACTATCTCCTGATGGGGGGGAATCTTCAACACAACTTTAAAACAAAATATACCTACCTGTATACCTCCCTCAATCCTCAATCAAAGTTAAAAGCTGCCCTCAACATTAGCCTGCTGGCTGAAAATACCTTCTTATTTTATATTTATAAACTTGTGTGAACTCACTGTTCATATCATTTATTTAACCCTCAAGGCGCGAACTTTTGCATGATTGTTTTGAGCACTAAATTTAATATAAATAATAGTTTTTAATTTGTATTATTGTCCAGAAGTAATAAATGATTGGATTTAATAACTTTAGATGTTGTACTTGATATTTATTATTTCTTTTGTTTTTTTACAACATTATATGAGGTGTATTCAATCTTGTCATTATCGACCAGGACTTTTCTGTATTCGCCAATGTGAAAGTAATTGTTTGATATCTCACACTTTCGGAGGGTCTCGCCATTGATCATTTCGGTCTTGAGAGAGTGTCTGAACTGATCTATCGTTTGGTTACAACCTTGATAACGCTTTTTAAATCGCCAAGAATTTACAATGGTCGCTTCCAACAGGTACCAAAATATTGACATATACCATCTCCTTGATTTATGAATCCAAGCATGGGACTTTATCATCTCATCATTTTGGTCAACATTGCCCATGTTTTGGCGATAGTCTGCGAGGGCCTCTGGCACTTTATGTGGCTCTAAGGTCGATGATGATCTCATTTCTGAAACAGAATTGTATGGTACCAAACTGGTTGGGGAGTGGAAGTTGCTGATCAAACCAAATATTCGAGAGTCCTTGATCCTGAGTAGAGTGATCGGGGTGCCAACCTTGGTAAGATAATTGTGTTCCATCTTTTGTCGCAATTTGACATTCTGAAGGTGAGCAGGGATGGTCTTCCTATCCAATCTGATTGTTCCACAACAATTGATTTGTATTGAATTGAGATACTCAAGTAGACCAATGGTTGTGAAGTAATTGTCAATGTACAGCTCGCGCCAGTGGTTTGCATCAATGCCCTCCAACATCTCCCTAACAACCGACTCACCATGAGGGTAGGTTGATGCTTCAGGCACTCCTCTTCTACCTTGGTAAATTGAGAACTTGAACAAGTATCCATGTTGATCCACCAGTTTCCAAAGCTTGATTCCCCATTAACAGGCTGTTCTGATATATTGTTAGATCCATGTCCTTGTTCTTGTCGGGATTATTGCTTCATCWATTGAGTACTTCGCCCCCAATGACCATAATCCTTGATATCTGCGATTTAACAATGATATGATTGGGTCTATCTTGTATAGACGGTTCGTTGATCCAACTTATAGTTGTCGGCAAAGTGAAGGTTTGTTACTAAGAAACGGAACTGGTCTCTGGTCATAATTCTGGCCACTGATGGAAGGAAACAATCACCATCCTCCCAATAGTCCTCATACTTAGGTATTTCAACAACTCCCATTGTGATGACCGCAGCAAACATTTTGAATATTATCATTTTGTTGATTGGATGTCCAAAGAACAATTTCTCCAACTGCTCCTCTCTGCCCATTTGATGAATATAAATATTGGTTTGGTCGACAATGAGTTGGACTATCTCGTGGTCAAAGAATTGTTCGAACACCTGCAWATTGGTGTATGCTCCTCGATGATTAACMTCTTCAACATGGTATCGCCCCCGACCCAACCTGGGCTTTTGGTCAGTCCATTCTGTCAAAGAAATATCGGGCTGATCATCGAGTAGAATTGCTTTGATTGCTTCCTTAGWTAGACTACTTGATACTTTCTTCTTCTGTTTCTTTGCCTCTGCCAACAACTCAACTTTTAACATCCCATTGAATCTTTCAACATCAGGATCTACAACAAATCATWGATTGAATTAATAAACAATACTCCAAAATCAATCATTTTGATGTAATAAATTACCATTCTGGTTGGCCTCATCATGGATACTAGGCGCCGCACTAATGCTGACGGCCATCTCTTCTTCTTCATCACTATATACATCACATTCATCTTCCGTAGTTCCATGTTTACTCTTTGTTAGTGACATAATAAAATATTCAAATGATAGTTTATTCAATGTAGATATCAATTATTATATTAGTTGGTGTATCTGTTGATTGTTTCTGATTGATCACCAACAAACAATCATGTCGGTACTGTTGAATTGTGGTGTGGTTATCTCTCACAGAAGTAGTCCAAACACACTCCCACCACCACAMGTAGAATGACAATAGACTTGACATGTTTCATTATTACACGCGCCATTACAATAACGTTATTTGATTAGATCAATCAATCATTTAATCATATCTTCCCCAAAATACATTTCAAAACTCGAATAGTTCGCGCCTTGAGGGTTAAAATAACAATGTCTGATACAGATAACAACATTGATAGTGAAGAGAGAAACAACTACAATTGCGAATGGCATCCATTTTTTCCTGTAGACCAAAAGATGGACACTATTAGAATTGAACCCGATTTTGATCCAACCAACGTGAATATAATGGATGAGCTTGCATTGTATCAAGGTTGCAACGAACACTGTAGAAAGCTACTCATCAATAGATTCAACAAATTCATAGTTTGGTCCAAGAATCATATACAGATATTGGAGAATATCAAACTCAGTCGCAATTGCGTATATCCGGGTTGGAATGACATTTACAATTATTTAGGTGTTATAGAAAAACCAGAGCCTGAAGAATATCTCGAAGTTGATGATTTCCTTATCCATCCAATGAAAAAGCAAGATTTTGATCATAATTTATAAGTGGACCCTCATCACAATAGTTAATAAACTATCCTTATGATCATAAACTAAAAACATCTTGTTCATATCCTTTATCTCTCCAGCTTTTACTCCTCCTCCCTTCGTTCACATGTATCAACTCGCCTCTTCTCAATATCTTCTAATTCTTCTTGCCAATTAAGTAGAATAACAGTATAAAGAGATTACCCAGAGTGAATGATTGGATTATATGGATTGATGTTGACCATTTGATATATTTATTATATCTATGGTATTTAATTAACAAAGTAATGTGATGGATGTTGATGTTGATGATGGAAGTGCATCTGTACAAGTTGGATGATTAGATTGTTGTTTTAGTTGTTGAACAACAATTTGTTGGATGTCAAACCATGACTATTTAGCATGGTCTGCATGGTCTTGGGCAACCACCTCCCAGCAAGCCACCGAGGAGACCACCAACAGCACCGAGAACACCACCAAGGTTGAGGTCAAGACCAATATTGGCATTGAGACCAATTCCAGCATGTCCACAACCACCACATCCTCCGCAGCCAGCACAAGCAACCGAGTTTCCACCCTGTCCAGCACCCATTCCAGATGAGCCTCCAATAGCAGACTTGGTCATGGATGAAGCAGAGATGTTCATTGAAGAAAGAGCAGCTGCATTGATTAATTGGTTGGTGGATTGAATGTTAGGTATTTGATTGATTAATTGATTACTTAATTTGGAAGTGATGGATGGATAGACTTACCCAAGATAGTCATTTTTGTTTAGATTGTTGATTGAGTTAGTTAATTAGAATTGATGATGTTTATCGTTTGATGTTCTAATTGATGTTTTGAAATCAAGTATTTATAGTTTCAGACCAATCCAGTCCAATCCAGTCCAGTTCAGTCCAATCATATTCAATCCAATCAGTTTCAAGGACCCAACGTCTGGAACTACTTACCACCCTGCACCCCTAAACTTGGTTTGTCATGGTGATTACAAGTGCAGCGAGTTTAGTATTTGGATATAGATATCTCCACAATAACCACACGACATACGATCAAGTAGATATAACAAATGGGTAATGGGCAATAACACCACCACCACATCATCACGTGAGTGAGAGAGTGAGAGGAGAGTGTATGTGTGTGATTGATTGGATGGTGATCATCAATGTCAGTGTGGTGGGGGTGTGTGATCAGACAGACGACTGTAAACACATTCTCCGGCAATCACCTGTGATGCATATGCATAATTATGCATATGTTGTTGGGTGATTGATTGATTGATTCGCTCGGTATCATCAATATATTATATATTATATGTTAAAATTAGTTGATGATGGCTGATGTATTGTTATTGCCAGTTAGTCGACTGATGATGGATGACATGTACCATGTATGGTCAATTTGCATAAGCCTGAAATTGACAATGTTGTTGTTATTGTTGTCCGTCCCTCTTACCTTTTTATTATTAAGATGTAGCCTGATCAGATGTATAATAGGATACTGAGTGGTGGTTATGGTTATTGTGTCGGAATAATGAATGAATGGATGGATGACTGGATGATGTCAACGATCATCGTGATTCTTGATTGAATGATTGATTGTGTTTGGTGATGGTGAAGTCCACTAACCAACTAAACATTCAAGCGATGATGACTATTATCCCGTGTGCTCTTATATTTGGGGTAAGTAATTGTAAGTATGTTGGTAAGTAAGCAGTAGTAAGTAAAGTCTGTAGTGGCAACTACCACTACTACTACTGCTACTACTACTGCTACTACTACTGCTACTACTGTTCAACCTCTGTTTGGTGTTGTGTTGTTGAGCTACGTGATAATTGAGTGAGTGGTGTCGATATCAGATAAAAGAGGTGGAATTAGAAGTAGTAGTTGTAGTCGTATGTAGTAATAGTAGTATTACCTAAGATACCAAAGTTATACGTAAGCCATTGTTACACTTTGGTATCAGTCAGTCAGTATTTGAGTCATTCAGGCAGGCAGGCAGTTGGTCGATCGATTGAATAACACCATTGAGTGAGTGAGTGAGTGAATGAATGAATCAAGTGTCTCTCTTTAATCATTAATTCATTCATATATTCATTTCATCTAATTATCCCTAATGATGATAATCTTGAATGAACCTATCTATATATTATAATTGATTATGTCTGTGACTTCCAATGTTGTGAGTGACTTCAAATTATGAATCTTCCTTCATTGCCACCTCTTGACCTTGAATCTGAAGTGAGTGAGTGTGAGTGTTTGTTGTGAATGATGTTGACAACAAGTACTATGTTTTGATGATTTAGTTTGCTGTTTGTTGTTGTGATATTTAGAGATAGATAGATAGATAGAGTGAGGTTATAGGACACCTCAAAGCGATATATATAATAATATAGTGGTTGTGTAATAGTAGAAGTAACAGTAGTAGTTAGTAATAGTAGTAGAGTCAATCAACAACAACATCAATCAAGTATAGTAGCAGTATAGTATGGGTAATACAGTTGGAGCACCAATAGTCTCTGACTATCTGGAGGATGAGATAGGTCCAATAGTATCACAACAATCAATAGGCAACAGTAGATTCCTCAAGACACTCAAGGCTATTCATGACACCGAAGGTCCTGTCATTGTAAAGATATACAAGAAGAGACTGTCTAAAGAGCTCCTTGAGAGGTACAAAGTTCAGCTTGAAGGTATATTCAATCATTCATTCAATCAATCATTCAATCAATCAATGTTACACTACATACTAATGCGAAAACAACAACAATAACAGAGATAAAGGGAGCATTTGAGAACACTCATTCATTGAACTTGATGCCTTATCAGAGCTTTGTGGAGACAGAGAGATCAGGATACTTGATTAGACAATACTTTCACAATAACTTGTATGATCGATTGACTAGTACAAGACCATTCCTCTCATTGATCGAGAAGAAGTTCATAGCGTACCAGTTGCTTCAATCGCTCAATCAGGCGTTCTTCAAGGGCGTGTGCCACGGCGACATCAAGTGCGAGAATGTTATGGTCACGACCACCAACTGGATCTACCTGGCCGACTTTGCTTGCTACAAGCCCACACATATCCCCGAGGACAACCCGGCCGACTTCTCATTCTACTTTGACACGAGCGGACGCCGCACGTGCTACATCGCGCCCGAGCGCTTCTACGAGTCGAACAAGGGCCCGCCCGTCGAGAGCGAGCTGACTAACAAGATGGACATCTTCTCGGTGGGCTGTGTGATTGCTGAGCTGTTCCTCGAGGGCCATCCCATCTTTGACTTCTCCCAGATGCTGTCTTACCGTCGCGGCGACTACAACCCCGAGCTGATCATTCGTCGCATTCCCGACATCCACATCCAATCGCTCATTCTGCACATGATTCAGCGCGAGCCCGACGATCGCTACTCGCCCGAGCGCTACATCACGCTGTGGACCGAGAAGGCCTTCCCCGTCTACTTCCCCTGGGTGCACCAGTTTATCTCGAGTCTGATGCGACTGGAGCACGACGATCGCATCAACTGCATCAGCGATCGTCTCGACGAGATCATCCAAATCTTCACCTGTCGTCCCAAGGCCACGCCCAACACTCCTCTCTCATGGTCCACTCCCTCCACTCCAAACATTGGTCCAGCCAATCAATCAAATCTAAAGACATCAGGTACATTGCAATCAGACAACAACAGTACAACGACAGCGACTACGACTACAGCGACAACAGTGTCCAACACAACAACAAAGACAACACAACAACTGGACAACAATAACAACAACAACAACAATGTAAAGCAACATCAAGCAGTTCAGAACTTGTCCAACATGTCAAACATAATATTGGAGACAAACATGTTCATCAAGGATTGCAACAACATGTCGACTACGGCAACGTCAGTCTCATCGACCAGGGCACAGCAGACCGACACAACAACAACATCTGGCACAATCAGGGACACTATGGTCTCGACATCGACATCGTCAACATTGACCACTCAGTCAAGCTCGTTTACAAACTTGCCACAACTGAATGTGGAGGACTTGGCAGCAGCAGCATCAACAACAGCGACACCAAAGATCGTCGAGGGATTGGACCTCTTGCTGGCCATACTCTACTCGGCGCTGCGACACTGCCAGCACCCACAGACCAAGCTCAAGTGTGTTGGCTCCCTCTTTGTCAAGATCGCCCAGCATCTCGATGATGAGTGCCGTCTGCAAAAGATCGTGCCCTACATCATGAGTATGATCTCTGAGGACCAGCCCACACTGGTGCGTGTCGAGGCCCTGCGCTCGCTCTCCAAGGTGTTGGAGATGGTGCAGACGTTCCCTCCAAGCGACTCGCTGATCTTTTCGCAGTACATCCTGCCATCGCTCACACATGTCACTGAGGGTGCGTCCGAAGAGATGGACCGCATTGCATTCGCCCAGATTCTACCACAGCTGGCCACCACTGCCAAGCGATTCCTGGAGATAGCACAACATTATCGAGACTCTGAAGGCATGGAGCGAAAGGATCTTCAAAAGTACAAGGTCTACGATGCCGAGCTTTCCGAGCTCCAAGACCTCTTCTACTCCAAAGTCAATGACCTACTGACCAAGGATTCATGTAACACTGTCAAGCGAATCATATTGAGTGTATGTCTCACCATCCCTGTGTAATCATTCAACTTGAGTGATCACTCACTTACTCAATCAATCAATCAATCACAATCAACAGGATATATATAGGCTATGCGTGTTCTTTGGACGACAAAAGACGAATGACTTGGTGCTGCCGCTGATAACGACCTTTTTGAACAGCAAGGACTGGCAGCTGCGATGTGCCTTCTTTGAGAACATTGTGGCTGTGTGTACAGTGGTCGGCGCAGGCAGTTTGGAATCATTCATCTATCCAATGACATTGGAAGCCTTGACTGACGAGGAGGAGTTTGTCACGGAGAAGGCGCTGACCAGTCTGTCAGAGCTGTGCGAGTTGGGTCTGTTCCGCAAGGCCATCCTGCTGGAGCTGTTGGCCAAGTCCACGCCATTGTTGCTGCATCCCAACACATGGATACGATATGGGGTGATCTCACTCATCACAAAGATCGCTGGTAAGCTGTCCAAGACGGACTTTTACTGCTACGTCAAGCCGCGCGTATCTCAATTCCTCGTGGCAGACGTCAGCGACATCATCAGCGAGGACAACCTGCTACAGCTACTCATCTCGCCAATCTCGCGTGAATCATTCAACAAGATGGTCAACCCGAACAATCGCCGCGACTTCCCCTCATCGCCCCCGCCTCAACAGTTTAGCGAGGCGCCACTCTCCAACAAACCACTGTCCAACAACAACTCTAGTAGTGGCGTAGGAAGCAATGGCCGAATGAAGGAGATTGTGAACGTGATCAATGCCAACAAGAGTGTGACCTACGATTCGACCGACGAGTACACGCTGTTCTTGGTCGAGCTGGGAATCCCCGACGAGGACCACCCAAAGATCATCAAGATCTTTGACTACTTCCTCAGCAAGAAGCTGATATACAAGTCTGATGACGAGAAGATCATCGAGAAGCAGAATCCGCCAGTCGTGCGTGTGGCCAAGGCTCGCAGCGAACCAGACGCAAAGTCACCTGCGCCAGGTAACTTGCCATCGCCTGTCAGCACACCCGTGCCACCAAAGAGCAGTGGTAACAGCGCTGCCGTTGTCCAAGAGTCTGTCGTCAACCCGGCCGACTTGAGCGTCGTAACCAAGAAGTTCACACTGAATCCACGCGTCTACAACACGCCCTCGTCGACCACGGCCAACGCGCTGACGGTCGAGGTCAACACTGAGCTGTACATCCGCCCGCCCCCTGGCATGCCAGACCTGGGCAGCTTCTCTGAGTACGGCGTGATGAGCCAGCCACAGTCACTCACACAGTGGCGCCCCAGCGGCATTCTGGTCAGCCACTTCACCGAGCATCGCGACGCTGTCAACGAGATTCAGGTCAGCAACGACAACCTGTTCTTTGCGACGGCCAGTAACGACGGCACCGTCAAGATCTGGGACTGTCTGAGGATGGAAAAGCGTGTTACCAACCGCGCCAGACAAACCTACACGCAAGAGGGCCGCGTCACCTCCATCTCAATCTGTGAGAAGTCGCACACGATTGCTTCGGCCAGCGACAAGGGATCGATTCACATCTTCAAGGTGGAGATTGGCGGCAAGCAAAAGAATGAGAACCTTAAGTACTCTGGCTTGTCCACCGTGAGGAACCTCACAGAGCTCGAGGGCAATATCGTCTCGGTCGATCATTACTCTACCAACTCGGCATCGATCGTCACATACGCCACCAGCAAGGGTGGCATCCACGGTTGGGACCTGCGCTCAAAGCAGGACGCCTTCCTGCTCAACAACGAACTCAGTCTCGGCTTAATCCAATCATTCCTCATTGACCCAGCACGCAACTGGTTTGTCACATGCACAAGCAGAGGCTTCCTCACGTGCTGGGATCTGCGTTTCAAGATCCCTCTCTACAGTCACCGCATCACCAATGGACGTATCTTCAAGATGTCACCATACTTTGGCACCAAGTTCACATCAGAAAGCTGGATCTTCTTGGCGTCGGACAGCAAGGACAATGTGATCGTATGGGATCTCGCATCCAAACAAGTGACCAGGATATTCAGACGATCATTCGCACCCGAACTCAATCAGGTCGTTGTCGACCCATCGATCAATCTGCCAATGGCACAATCACAAACCTCCACCTCGATGTCAACGTCTACAAACAACAACAACCCTCTGTCATCATCGTCGATGTTCTCCAACACACCCGGTGGCCCTGGCGTCAGCACATTATCAGAGTATGACTTTGGCATTGACAATATTAGACCAACACCAAACACACCAACATCTACAAGACTCAACAGTCCAATGGGCAACTCCACATCCAATCTCCCATACCTTAGTGGCGCAAACACACTGTCCGATTCGACCATCGGTGGATCAGCTCTGGACTCAAGCACCATCCTATCCTCTCAACAAGACAGCAACGCTAACAAGAAGACACCCTCTGTCCGCGCTATCCTCAGTCCTCCAAACTGTTCATATCTCATCACTGCTGGAGATGGTATGTTGGACTCACTCATTCATTCAATCAATCATATTACTAACATTCACTTCAACCCATCCACAGACAAGAGAATCAAGTATTGGGACTGGGACAATCCAAATCAATCATACTATGTATCACAGGGCAAGGAGGCACCGATGCCACATTCGCACAAGGTCAGCTTCATCGCACAACAAGGTACACAGATCAACGAGGAGATTTGGGATGCCAATCCATCAGCCACATACGCCACCTATGGACAATCACCATCGTCACGTTCCAAACAAAAGGTGCCATTGATGCCAACTATACATCATCAAGAGACCATCATGGACCTAAAGGTGATGGAAGTGCCACAACCAATGCTTATATCGGCCAGTGCCGATGGTATTGTCAAGATATGGAAGTAATCGATCATCCCATCACTTCCTTCGATGTTATATATATAATTAAAGGTATATCCCTTATACTTGTACACACTCCTTTGATTGATTGATTGTTAAGATGGAGAAGAGGTGAAGAAGACGAAGTAAGGTGCATGTTCATTGTTGTCAAGTTTAAAGGGCGGTATCAAGGCTGGATTTATTAAGCTTCCAACTGTAGAAGACATGTATACTAGACACATAGTCTTAAGGAGCGCTACGGTTGGTGTTGTTTTGACACAGATTATCACCAAGTACTCATTACGAGCAGCTTAGTAGATACGGTGGGATGGACCCATGGATGACTTGACGTAGAGGGTCTTGATGTTTTGCCATCCCTTCTTCAACAGGGAGATCAAGAAGTTGATCGACTGGATGATGTTGGTGGCAATCTCTCTCTCGGTGAGGTTGACGTGGCCGACGGCGACGGCGAGACAGAGAACCTTCTTGAGCTGGAACTTAACGGTGCACTTGACCTCGTTGATCTTGGAGGCCATGTCGTCAGCGTGGGTCAAAAGGGTTGGGAACTTGCCGACCTTGTTGAGACCTGGTCCGAGCAACTTGGGGATCTGACGGAGGACAGTCTCGGAAGCGAGGAAAGCATCGTACTTCTTGGAGAGCTTCTTGATTCCCTTCTTGTTCTTGATACCGATCTTCTTCAAGGCCTCAACGTCCATGAACTCGGCGCCGATCTTGGCGGCCTCATCACAATGCTGCTGATCTCCGAGAATGCAAACGGACATCTTTGGCTTGGTGATGGTGGCGAGCTTGATCTGACCAGAGAAACGCTTGTCCTTCTTGGTGTCGTAGTTCTTGAGGTTGACCTGGAGCTCAACGGTCTCGGTGAAGCCACGCTCGGCTTCCTTGGCTTGGGCCAAAAGGGTGACAACGGTTTGTCTGACTTGGTCGCTTGAAATCTTGCTACATTATTCATTAATGTTGTTGTTTCGATAACAATAATGTTAATATTTCATTCATATATATATGATTATCTGTGTTCGCCTCTGTTTTATTCATTCATTCATTCATTCTCGTTCATTCATTCATTCATTGTTTGATCGATCGTGACTCTGTTGTGTTGCTGCTTTGTCATAGTCATCGCTTGTCTGAGTATGAATGAATGAATGAACTAATATATGGTTGCGACAAAAGAATGTTGAGACCTACCTCATTGTGTTTGATGTTGATACCTGTAAGAGTTTGAAACTAGTGTGATCAAAGACTGCGTTTCGCTCTCATATTGCTGCACCAACACTCGTCCCACCCCAAAAAAACATTTGATTTTAGTTTTTATTGTTTACGAATGTGAGAAAAACCAAAGGAAGGAAGACAAACTTCATAAAAATAAAAGCCCGGGCTTTTTATTCTCATCTATTTCAATGATCTACTCTAAAATAAGACCAATAAATAAATAAATAAATAAAATTATATATATATGAACTCAAGTCATTGGCATATTTTGACTTCATTAGTACACAAAAAAATAATTATCAATCAAATAATCAAACAATTAAATAAGAATGGATCTATTCCAAAAACTCTTAAATGAATTGAATTATACAATTGATCCACCATGTTTACCAAAGAAATCATATTACTTCTTCACTCAGGATATACGTTCAAAGGTATTAAAGGATTATCCAGGTTTACAATTTCATCAACTCCAACAAACTCTTCAAGATACATGGGACAAACTTGAAGACAAGGATAAAGAGGAGTATGATCTGTTGTCCATTCAAGATCAGAAACGATGGGAGTTGGAAATGATGATATATGAAGAATATAAGACAATTGCTAAGGAGGTTGAAAAAGGTGGATACTTAGACTCTTTGAAGTTACCGCATGATCCTATGATCCCCTCACGTCCTATATCAGCATACCAATTATTTGTAAATGAAATTAATATTGCTCATTCTCAACTGGATGAACAAAATAGTATCGACCATGGTAGTCACTTTGTGATGGAAAAAGAGAGTACTCAACAACTATGGGACAAACTAAAAGTCCATGAAAAAGAAGTATATTATAAACAATCATTAGATAATTATAATACATGGATGTTGAAAATGAAATCTTATAAAGATAATAGAGTTCAAAAGAATATTTAAATAAAGTTAACATAAATAATTATTTTTTTTTCAATAATTTGGACAACAAATTTTAGAAATTATGGAAGATATAAAGTTATATTTAAATCAATGTTCACTTAGAATTCCTTTGGATCATTATGTAATGAAGATAATTGATGATCATTCAATAAATTGTTATTATCTCAAACATCATAATATCCAAGATCTATGTCATATTGGTATACCCAGAGGAGTGTCCAGCAACTTGATAGATAAGTACAATCCCGAAAACAGAGGTACGTCATTCAATCAATCATATAAATAATGTACTTAGACATTGAATTAATGAATGAATGTATGAACAAATAGTTATGATGGATTTGCAAGATACATCATCGGATGCACTTAATGATGAACTGGTGAGGAGAAATGAGAAGCCTATTCAAGTTGATCCTATCGTACCTAGTGACCCATTGTCTGCCTACCATCTGTTTGTCAAGGAGATGACGCCACATGTCATTGCTGAACATCCTTTGGAAGATTATCACCGAATTGATACTATTGTGTTTGGTCTTTGGGATGAACTTAGTAATGAAGATCTCAACAAGTATGCCGAGTTGGCAGAGAAAGACCGAGATCGTTGGAGTGCAGAGTACATGGTGCACAATGAGATAAAGAACAAGTTGAAGAATGAACCATTGGATGACGAGTCATCATGCTCATCGTCATCGTCCGAGGAATAGTTCCAATCACAATCAGATTGATTGAATGCAATACCAGTGTATTGTAATTGTTGCGTTGTTGATTAAATACCATATACCATCGTTGTGTTGATACGACATTGAGTCAATACTTCATCTAAAGGCATTTCTTTGACAGCGGCAACAATGTTGGCAACCATTGGTATGTGTCCAGAGTGTGCGATCTTGCCACGGAAGGGCTCAGGTGTCATGTAGGGGCCGTCAGTCTCGAGCAGCAGTCGGTCGATGGGGACGATAGACAGCGAGTCGCGGATGGACTCACTGTTCTTGAATGTGATGCAGCCGGTGAAGCCAATGTACAGGTTGGGGAAGTGCTCCAGCAGCTGGATGGCAAAGTTGGCGTCGGATGTGAAGCAGTGGATGTGGATCTTCCAGTCCTTGGGCACGTTCTCCTTGAGCAGCTGTAGCGTGTCGGCCTCTGCCTCGCGACTGTGGATGACCAGTGGCTTGTTGCACTTGACGGCGGCGATCAGCTGGCGACGGAAGGCTTCCAGCTGCACGTCACGCACCGACTTGTTGTAGAAGTAGTCCAGGCCCATTTCTCCCCAGGCCACTGTCTTTGGATGCTTCATGCGCTCGATCAGCTTCTGCTCAATGTCGTCGGTGTAGTCTTTGGCATTGTGTGGATGCACGCCGTACGCTGCGTAGATTGGCGCGAATCCCACTAGCATGTCGGTGTAGTCGAGGGCGATCGGGTCGCAGCACACCTGCACACAGGCTTCAAACTGTGGCGGGAAGTTGGCCGCGGCAAACTGCGGGAATTGGTCCAGTGTCATGTTCATACGTATCAGAATCTGGTCGACGTGGACGTGAGAGTCGACGTACTTTGCATCGTCGGGCATGTCCACTACAGCAGGTGTCGAGTACTTGTACTTTGAAGGTTCAACAGTCTGTTGCTTTGACTTTGGCTTTGGTGTACAACATCCATCATCCGCCTTCTTGTTGTTTCCCTTCTTGCCTCCACCTCCTCCTCCACCTCCTTTACCTGGAGGTGCGCCACCCTTTGGTGGTTGTTGAGGTGCTGTTGATGAAGATGTTGAAGATGTTGAAGATGTTGAAGTTGTTGATGAAGTACTCATTGTTCGTCGATTGTAATATATGTTGTTGTTATTGTTGAAGTATGTATGTGTAGATAATGACCTTGTTGCAACTCTATTGTTTTGTATTAGTGTTATCCTACTTGCTAGACGCGACAGCATGTCTGTGTTCACAGTGAATGAATGAGTGAATGAGTGAGTGAGAAGTGGAAAGGAAGTGAAGTTGGACTTGAATGAGAAAAGAAATTGAATGGGCTTAAGCGCCACTTTAAGATCTTCACTTCGCGCCTACACAACTTAGATAGACATATACTTACTTAAAGCGATCTTACCCATATCGATGGACAACAGTTATCGGTTGACACCTCACAAGATCACATTATGTTCAGTCATCGATCATTATGTCAATGGTCAACTCAACCCAATTCAAAAGAAGTCTCTATCATTGTTACTTGTGAAACATATCAAGGTACATACATTCATTCATTTCGATCACTCTCATCCAATCAATCGCTCACTCACTCATACATTGAATGAACCATAGAACCCAAGCAACTTTAAAGAACCTCTGCTCGGAACATTCATTGATACAGAGCTTAGACAGGTGGCCAAACTATCAAAGTCATACTTGGACGATGATCTGATACAATGTGTATGTAATCGATTGATTGACTGTCCTTGCCAACTCACTCACTAAATCAATCGATTGATTGTAGATTACATTTGAGACTATTGATGACTTGAACGAGTTCTTTAGTAGCCTTGCTTTATTGTTTGAAGAGTCGAGACAGGATGAAGAGGATGAGGATGACTCGATGCAGACTGGTGGTGCACATATCAATGTCAAGAGTATACTTGGTATCTATGTCAAGAAGGTACTAATGGTATTCAACAATCTAATGTTTGATGGTTTAATACATCTGTACGAACAGATTAATGAATACATGAAGCAATACCATGATACCTTGTCATCATCAACATCAACATCGACGGCAACATCAGGATTAGGATCAAACATTACATTCCTTTCACCATTCGATCAAGAGAGATTTGCGATCCAAGAGATGGTCAGAGTCAACAACTCCATTGGCAAGGTTAACCCGATGAGTCTCCAGAAGGAGATTGATCAACTAAAGTCAATCCTACCAGATGTGAACAAGACAAGATATATCAAGTATGTCCATCGCGTCACCCATAGTATCAATCAATCAATCATTCACTCACTGACTCACTGACTCAATCAATCAATGATGTAACTTAGCCTCCTGACCAATATCGAACACATGGAATATGAGCAGTCTATTGAGGAACTACATAGATACTTTGATTATTGCAATAGTGACACGAGTCAATCAAATATTACATTCCTGCCATACGCTGTGCTCAACTTGTCAAAGGTGCACTTCCACTTTGGCCATTACGAACAAGCTTATCTCTCATTGCAGGAAGCGATACGCATTGCACAGGAACGCAATGATCACGCCTCGCTGGCATTGGCACTGCACCAACTGAGCAAGTTCCAACACAAGTCTGTTCTTCAATCATTTGACGATCATCACCTGTTCACTCCGCTCCGATCACATACACAACAGGACATCCTGGACAAAGGCATCAAGCGAGCTGAGGAGTTGGAGCTGTCTTCGCTGTCCTCACTCAACTACCTGTCAAGGGCCAAGCTTAATCTGACCAGCATGAGCACGGCTGCAGCTGACCCTTCGACTTCTGGTCAACCTGAGGCGATAACAAGGACGTCATCCTCCACGACAGCCATCCCTCCCTCCAAGCTCTGGCACGACATATTCCAACCAATTGAGAAAAGTCAACTGCTCAACAAGGACAGCATTGCGGGCGTCCAGCTAAAGGCGGCCGCCTGGGACATGCTCGGCAACGGCGACCTCTCAACATACTTCTCCGAGCTATCATTGCACCTGAATGGTGCGGCGTCAACATCAAACACAACAACATCACGCATCTCACTGGACTCCTCATCAAGCAAGGACTCAATTCAATCATATTGTCAAATGGCCGTGTTGGAATCCAAACGAGGCAATTACAACAAGTCCAAAGCAATCTTCCAACACTGCATCCAACAATTCCCCTACTACAATCACATCAAAACATCTCTTCCATTCACAATCAAGTCGGTCATGTTTGATCACTCACTGGCCATCAATGATCTTGAGCAATGTGAGCTGCTCATCGAGTCGCTGCTTGCCCTGCTCAATCCACTCTCGCCGGACGACTCTGAGTGCTCAGGCTGGCCACAGATTCTGACCACCTACGAGCGCATTGGCCAGCTATACCTTGCCAAACAAGAGTTTGACATATGCCACCAGTTCCTCAATGGCGCGATCGAGCTGGCCAAGGCATATGGTTGCACGGCAAATCTCACGCAGTTCCACATCCTGCTGGCCACGCTCTATCAGCGATGCAAGGGCGGCGACTTGGCCCACCAAGCTGGCCTGAACCACATGCTCTGTGCGCTGTCCCTGGCCGAGCAACACAACCTTCCCCGACACCTGGCCGAGGCCAATCTCCTCCTGGCCAACTCACATCTCCACACCAAGTCCTTCGAGAAGGCACGCAGTCTACTCGATAGCACCAAGCCTCTGGTGCTCCAGGACTGTATCCTGCACGCACAACTCAATCTCCTTTATGCAAAGTGTATAGTTGGTGTCGCCACACCATCACTCTCGAAACAGGAGCGAACTAGCAAACTTCAAGAGGCACTGTATTATATGACAAAGGCAATGGATGGAGCGAAACAGATTGGACATGTACAACTGCTCAAAGACATCTATCTGGATATGAGTGTTACCAACAATGATATTGGAAACATTGATCAAAGGAATCATTATGCCAAACTGTTTAGACAGTTGGTCACAGGTGGAAGTGCAGGCGTGGTCAACAAGGCGTGAGCCTTGCTTGGTATGTCCAACAATACAATCCTTTCATTCATTCATTCATGATGTAGTTGTTGTTGTTGTAGTTGTCGATGTAGTGGATGTAGTTGATGTGGTTGGCGCGGTCTCTGCAGCTACAACAACACCACCAGGCTGAGGTTGGTTTGATATGTATCCAATGCCATCGCAGGCTATGATGAATGTCTCCTCGCCTCTTTGTCGGTCTGGCGCAGGTGTGACTGTGAATGTACATCCAGTGAGCATGGTTGAGAAGTGAATCGAAGTTTGAGTGTGTAGGGACAGCGGTCCAGTCTTGATCTGACTCTTGCCTTTAGCCAACGCCATAAAGATAATCAATTGATCTTGAAGGTATTCGTCCATGCATCCTCCATGCAACAGATCATTCAACACTGATATTGCTGCAGTCTCTCCAACCTCCTCTGCAGGGATACCAATAGCACCATTAGCTGATCCACCATAAATACATCCAGTGTCAGTCTCTGCCATTATACTGTTTGATTGAATGGGTGAGTGATTGAGTGAGTGATGATGGGTAAGATTGTGATCAGCTGGCTGGACACTTACAAAATTGATACACCATCACCAAACGTGTACTTGGCAGTGTCCACTATATCCTCCACTATCTCTACCTTCTGCTCGTGAGTGACACAAAGAGTTAGTGAGTCTAATCTTCATGTCTGGACAATGTGGCGCGCGTCTACCAAACGAACATACCTTGTAATCCTTCTTTATCATCTTTTTCGCTGCGGTGAGCATTCGTTCTGCGACCTGTATTGATATCCTGGTCGATGTGAAGTTGACCCTTATAGTGATCTTGGTGAGGTTACCCTTGTTCATAATTGTGATTGGCTGTAGCGTTCCAATGATTGGTCGAGTGATCAATGTTACCAGTCCACCTCCTTTGGGATAGTATCCTCTGTGTGATTGAGTGATTGAGTGAGTCATGTGTCTGTGATGATATATATCTTGACATGTCCATGCACGTGTCTGGACAAAGCATACCTCTTCTTGATCTCCATATCTACGTCGATACCGAATCGCTTGGCCGCTGGGAAGAATACATGTTGGAGGTAGTCTGCTGCAGGACTGAAGTCAACATTGGTGCCTCCACCGAGTGTGAGCTTGATAGAGTGTGGCGCGAACAATAGACATGGCATTGACACTTGTATCAGCAGTGTAATGCTGCCAGCAGTGCCAGTGTCCGCCTCAATGTCGTGCTCCTTGATCAAAGAGGGTGATATTCTTGGATGATAGTATAAGGTGACTGAGCCCTGCTTGCTTCCGTCAAGATGGGCGCGGAACATTCGCGCGACCAAGTCAATGCCGGCCTTGTGTTGAGCCTTCAAACCTGGCTGATCTCTGTTGTGTCTGATCTTCTCGATGAGTATTGGCTTGGAGTAGAGTGATGAGAGGGCTACACAGTTCCTGAGTATCTGGCCTCCACCCTCCAGTATCGATCCATCTATTACAAACTGTGGACTCTTCTCCACCTGCTCCATTGATTGATCATCATCAGTCGTCGAGTCCTTCTTTGTATGTGAGGTGACAGTAGGTGTACCATAAGGTTTCTTTAAATGTGGCTTTGGTCTCTTTGTCTTTGTCATTTTTTATTAATAAGTAAGAAGATCTGATTATTTGTTTGTTTGTTTGTTCGATATCTGTTGTCTGAGTTTTGAAAATGATTGATTGATTGATTCATCATTGATCAAATGGATCACTAAAATCTGATCAACTTCCGGATTATTTCCCACAAACCATCAGATATCCCAACTTGGAAAGTATTATCTGTAGATAATAAACATCCAATAACTAAGAATAGTATATTGACTTCATAGTCACTAATGCAGAATCTGATAACTTGTGATTTGATTTTGGGGAGAAATTGGCTATTGTCTTCCCATCTTCATTACTAACCATCATCGTCGTAATCATTGGATGGAACATCACATTTTACCTCACACTCACAATTTTATTCATCATTCACTTGATTGATCACCTTGAAACACACACTTGTCAAGCAATCAATCAATCAAACAAACAAAGAAAGAAAGAAAGAGAAAGAAATAGAGATGTTTGATATACCTGAAGAAGTTACATGGGCCATTTTGGTAGCGATCATCATATATCTGATCAAGACGATATGGTTCACACCTCCCCCACCAGTCGTTGCACCAAGACCTAAGCCAGTATATGAGAAGCGCGATTATACATTGGAGGAGCTGGCTGGATACACTGGCATAGACGAGACAAATGCTATATTCATCGCTATCAAGGGCAGGATATTCGATGTCAGTCCGAAGCGATCGACCTATGGACCAGGTGGCGACTATCATGTCTTTGCCGGTCACGATGCCACACGCTGTCTTGCCAAGGCATCGTTTGAGAAGTCTGATCTCAACCAACCAGACACATCATCACTCACTCCCGACGAATTGGACGCACTCAACAACTGGGCATCATTCTTTGAGGAGCGATATATACTGGTGGGCAAGGTCAAGCCAAGCTCTTCTGAATAAAGTGCTTCATCCCTTCATTCAGTAAAGGTATTCGTCGTCGTCGTCATTCACACAAGGTGTGTAGCCGAGCGACCGCTACACTCATCATGATGAAGAAGAAGAGGAACAAGAGGTAGTCTGTTGTAGTGACTACTGATAAGATATTGTACCCGACACAGGACATATAAGTCTATTTATTATTTGATTGATTGATCAATCCAATCCATCCATCACTCTTCAATTTGTTTGTTTGTTTGTTACAGAGGCAACAACAACAACAACATCATTGTGCAACGGTCGTTGCACCTTCTTGGCGAACTCGTCTGGACTCCTCTCTAGTTTGTTTGTTTGATTGAATGTTATAACTGAGAAGGACGCAATGTGATTGATTGATTGATTGTTAGGGATACATTGATTGACTGATTGATTGATTGATTGAAGTGAACTTACATACTTTAAAAAATACCATAGTATTACTTAGGCGTGAACACTATGGTGACGCTTTGAGTGATGGATGGATTGTTGGTTAGTGCTGCCCAAGTTTCCTTTGCATACAACTATGTATGATTGCGAACACTTGGAGCATGCTATTGATCACTAATCCAGAACTCTCCTTCCATGTTATCCACTCTAAATCAATGTATTTATGGGTTCTTCCAGAAACAACTTGGAATGGTGAGTGGTACCCTTTCACACTTCACTTGATCATCACTGATGTGGCAGTTGTTGTTGAGCCCATAGTCCACGAACAAAGTGTTTAGCATCATCCTTTGTTATCTTGTCATGACAAATATTGTATTTCCATTGCCATATTAATAATTCATCAATGATGTTTGTGATTGGCTTTGATTCTTCTTGAGGTATTGACAATGCATCCTTGATCTCATGTCCATCAAGGCAATACTGTTGGTTGGCCATCTTCTCCAGACTATTCTGTATCAACTTCTCAAACTCAATCCAGAATTGGTCTGTTCGTCATCAGTTAGTCAGTCAGTGTACCAATCATTCAATCAATGAATCATTCAAACATACCTTTGTTGAAATCTGGACTGTGAAACTTAAGTTTGAAGTGGACTGATGATAACCAGAGACCAGCTTGCCAGTATTGATTGTGACGTAGCCATTCTAATAATGGACGAAGTGATGTCTCGAATTGATCGGGATGGTATAGGGTGTCGGGACTGATCATCAACATGCTTGATACACTCTTGGCAATGATCTCTTGTGATTGAATTATTGATAGAACAGCTCTAATCTCCTTCTTTGGCAATTTGAAATCCATCAATAGTTGTTCCATATTGATATTATCTGATTTTCCATACTTGATATATAATGGAAGTAATAATGAAGATAGTATTATCTCTTTCTCAAGATGTCTTGGAACTGATAGATTGTTGTTGTTCTTGTTGTTGGTCACAGTGAGATGGTTGAGTGAGTCTAGCCACATACTCATCTCCACCGGTTGTTTAACCATGCTATCGAATGGGAACACGGCATCTACCAAGCCCGTACCGACCAAGTATCTATAATACTGTATTGCTCCAGATTTGAATGATGACATCATACTTGTGAACTCGACATATATCCTCTCCTTGCTCACTTTAAGTTCCAATGATTTCTAATATTTGGTTGATTGATTAAGTGAGTGATTGATTGAATGAGTGAGTGGAATGATCCAGAGTACATACTCGAACATCACTGGATGTCAATGATTTGTAGAGTGCTGGATGGATTTGGAAGTTGAAGCGAGTTGCAAAGCGAATGACACGAAGTGCGCGAAGAGGGTCTTCCAGGAGAGTGATCATGGGCTCAAGTGGTGTGCGCACTATACCTTTCCGCAGATCATCCAATCCCTTTCCAGTATAGTCCTCAACCATGTACGTATTCAGATTGAAATATAATGCATTGATTGTAATATCACGTCGATGTGCATCAGATTCCAGTGTGCCAGCTGACTAAAGGAGTGATTGATTGAGCGAGTGAGTGCTGAACCAAGTGATGGACCGAGGTGCAGTCACTTACAATCTTTGGTATCCTTGAGTGTTGGTCGTAGTCCTCTGCTCTGAGGCCAGTAAAGTCAAAGGTACATCCATCAATCTTGATTGCTGCTGTTTCCAGATGCTTGGATTTCTCAGGGTTGCTCCTGATGAGGTCTATGTATTGATGATGTTGGTCAATGAACTCGATCGCGAGTAGCAATCATAACAAACATACACTTCTGTTGGGATAGTCCCTTCTCGACACGGTACCTCTCGATCAAATCGACAAACTCACGTCCAGTGATGCCATCAATGGCAATGTCAATGTCATCTACTTTCTTTGGATTCGCCGAAGTCGTCGTCAACAACTGATGTCATTGTCATTGTCATGTGTGACATGGTTAGTGAAGTGATTGATACCTGACTGAGCGACGCGTCCCCAAACCTACCTTGTCACGAACCCATCCACCAGAGACACGCAAATGAATGTTGCCTCCATAATGGCTGGCTACTGATTTAAACATATCAAAGAACTGTTTCTCTCTGTTACTCAATCTAGACACTACAATGGCACTACTTGCATCAAGTTCCTGTTGTTGGGGAACTAATAATCTTGGCTCAGTCTGTGCTGTCTTTGTCTTTGTCTTTCGTGTTGTTGTAGTTGTTGTTGTATATTGTCTATGATTGATTATACTGTTGATACTACTGCTGTTGATGCTCCTGATGCTCCTGATGCTGTTATGTTGTTGTTGCAATTGATGCCAATGACCAGGTCGCAAGACAAACATTGAAGATACACCTGTTGCTGTCAATCGTGGACATGTTATCCCACGCAGGTTATAATGTATACCCAATCTATACATAATCCTCAGACTCTATCTACCTATCTATCTCTCTATCTCTAGTCTTCTTCTCTTCTGATTGTTGTTGTTGTTGTTGTTGTTGTTGTGTTGAGTCAAATGAGACAACTCATGGTATCAAGTTCACGAAAGTTGTTGATGTCGGGCGAAAGGTGGTGTGATGGTCACACGTAATGACTTTGTACATGGTGACCAAGTCTAGTCTTGTCTACTACTACAGTTGTCCTTCAATAATTTGTACTATCTTTATTTCATCTAGACTAATTATACTCCATCATCGTCGTCTGCCCCTGTTGTTTGGTGATTGATTGATTGAATATGAATGAATGAATGAATGAATGAATGAATGAATGAATGAATGAATGAATGAATGAATGAATGAAAGGGTCAGTGAATAAGGCGTGAATGTACAAGGACTTCACCAACATACCTGACATTGATAGTAGATCAAATACTGATATAGCATTCTTTGTAATTCTATTGATTGATTGAATGATTGAATGATTGAATGAGTTAGTGTCATCATCACTCCAAGGATTGAGTCATGATGATGATGATTGATTGGTTACCTGTTTCTAATGTTTAAACTCGATGATGTGAAGCCATTCGATGGCTGTAATGTAGATGATGATGTTGATGCAGTGGCCATTGGTGTAGCTGTAAATGTTGTGTGTTCAGTCTGTGACATAAATGCGCTCCTTTTGCTGTTGTTGTTTCCTACCAGTCCAACGAATGAACCAGTCGATGAAGTCTTTGTAGTTGTGATACCCACTCTGCTCTTTGAAAGCATCAGTGGTCTTGCTGATCGCATCAATATTCTTGCTCCACTTGTCAACATCTCTCTCTCTCTATATTTCTCGTCTTGTATGATAATGATGATTGATTGATGAGTATACTTAGTCCGTGATTGAAATCAGATTCTCTATCAAGACGAAAGTGTGAGAAAACGATGACGAAAGTGTGTGTCTGGACTCGACAATGACACACAGGAATACCATGGTTAGAGAAGGACCAGGTCTTGACATCTGATGTCCAACCAAATCAGGTTCATTCAATCAATCGGTCCATCAATGGATTGGATCAATGAATTCAATCTATCAGATATTACAGAAATATCTAAACAATCAAATTTGGCTGGATGAATGAGTAAGTATAAAATTGAAGTTAGGCTTGGTCATAAGAATGAAAGAGATATTCAGATGTAATGTTTAATCAAAGGTCACAATCTTGAGGTCGATTTGGAAAGATATTCCAACAAACTTCCTAATTATTTAAGATTAAACAAGTTTGTTGTGTTTTTGAACCATAACCAAAGTTATAACTATTATAGATTGTATTTTTAATTAAACATAGATTGATTGACTGATGGGTACAGGACTTCTATCCACAAACATGAAGACTCCATCATTCTTAATCGCCTAACTCTGGCAATCAAAAATCAATCATGGATAGAATAGACACCTGTGCCTTTTGTACTTTGCTCCATCTCACAATCTAATTGTCATTGTTGTTGGTTGTTTTTTGTTTGAAGGTACAGCTGTCAAATCATTAATAAATATTATTTGTTGTTATAAAGTGATTGTTTGATTGATGTAATACAATGAATTCATCTGTTGTAGTATGATGACCAATAATGAATGTTAAACGTTACTATGATCGTGCCCAAAGACGAAGGATGGGAATCATAAAAAATTAAAAAAAAATAAGACGAGCACAATACTCGACTCGTGAAAAATTGACAACAAAACAATGTACTCGTCGTGCCGACACACACATGAATGTCTTTGTTCAATAGTCTATTGTTGAGTCCATCCTACTAACTACGAGTACATATATATATACACTCTCTCTTGAAGAAGAATACATAGATATGTCAGGTAATTTATCAATCAATATATCTCTCGAGATTATATTATATATATCATTCATTCATTCGTTCATCGCCGAATGCGACTTGACTATGAATCACTCAATCATTGAACGAATGAATGAATGAATGATCAATCAAACAAACATACTAATATTCATTCACATAACAATCACATATATATAGATAAGAAGAAATCAAAGTCAAGCAGCAGCAGCAGCGACAACAGTGATCTCTCTATTAAGCCAGAGAAGACTCCAGTGTTGGATTGTTCAAAGTGGCCATTGTTGTTGAAGAACTATGACAAATTGATGGTTAGAACAGGACACTACACTCCAATCCCAATGGGACACTCGCCCCTCAAGCGTCCCATCAAGGAGTACGTCAAGTACGGTATCATCAACCTGGACAAGCCATCGAACCCCTCATCTCACGAGGTCGTCTCGTGGATCAAGAACATCCTCAAGGTCGAAAAGACCGGTCATTCTGGCACACTCGACCCAAAGGTCACTGGCTGTCTCATCGTTTGCATTGAGCGTGCCACCCGTCTCGTCAAGTCGCAGCAGAGCGCCGGTAAGGAGTACATGGGCATCGTGCGTCTGCACAACGCCATCGACGACCAGAGCGAGCTGTCCAAGGCCGTCAGCACTCTGACCGGTGCGCTGTTCCAGCGTCCACCCGAGAAGTCTGCCGTCAAGAAGAGATTGCGTGTCAGAACCATCCACCACTCCAAGCTGCTCGAGTACGACCAGGAGCGCAACCTCGGCCTCATCTGGGTCGACTGTGAGGCTGGTACCTACATCCGTACACTGTGCGTGCACATTGGTCTGTTGATGGGCGTCGGCGGTCACATGCAGGAGCTGCGCAGAGTTCGTTCCGGTATCATGTCCGAGAAGGAGGGCATGGTCACCATGCACGACGTCAAGGACGCTCAGTACGAGTACGAGAACCAGAAGGATGAGACCTACTTGCGTCGCGTCATCCAGCCACTCGAGGCCGTGCTCACCAACTACAAGAGGATCGTCGTCAAGGACAGCGCCGTCAACGCCATCTGCTACGGTGCCAAGCTGATGATCCCAGGTCTGCTCAGATACCAGGAGGACATTGAGGTTGACGACGAGGTCGTTTTGATCACCACCAAGGGTGAGGCCATCGCCATCGCCATCGCCAAGATGACCACCACATCGCTGGCCACCTGCGACCACGGCATCGTTGCCACCATCAAGAGAGTCATCATGGACAGAGACGTCTATCCCAAGAAGTGGGGTCTGGGCGAGAACGCCAAGAAGAAGAAGACAATGATCAACGAGGGCACTCTCGACAAGTTTGGCAAGCCCAACGAGAAGACTCCAGCCAACTGGCACAACAGCTACGTCTACTTGGACGGCAGCAACACCAACACTAGCAACGGCAGCGAGGAGTCCATGCAGGTCGACACTCCAAAGAAGGAGGAGTCCAAGAAGGAGGTCAAGAAGGAGGAGTCAAAGAAGGAGTCCAAGTCAAAGAAGGAGGAGCCAAAGGAGGATGAGGAGATGGAGGAGGAGAAGCCAAAGAAGAAGTCATCCAAGAAGGACAAGGAGGAGGAGAAGGAGGAGAAGGAGGAGAAGTCATCAAAGAAGTCCTCCAAGAAGGACAAGGACGAGGACAAGGAGGAGAAGACACCAAAGAAGTCATCCAAGAAGGACAAGGACGAGGAGAAGGAGGAGAAGAAGGAGAAGAAGGAGTCAAAGAAGGAGGATAAGGAGGAGAAGACACCAAAGAAATCCTCCAAGAAGGATAAGGATGAGGACAAGGAGGAGAAGACACCAAAGAAGTCCTCCAAAAAGGACAAGGAGTCAAAGGATGAGGAGAAAGAGTCAAAGAAGGAGAAGACCCCAAAGAAGGAGTCCTCCAAAAAGGACAAGGAGGAGAAGGAGGAGAAGTCATCCAAGAAGGACAAGAAGCGCTCACTCGAGGCTGAGGAGTCTCCAGCCAAGGACAAGAAGAAGAAGAAGAAGGAGTAAGCCTATCCATTCATCATTCTTTGTACTCACCCGTCCGTCCGTCGGTCCGTCCATCTGGCTGCCTGCCCTGCCTAACAGGGACAACGCACCATGCCATCCAAATAATAAACAACACCATCTTTATCTCTATATTACAATTGGCGTTTATTGTGAAGGAGTTGTGCCGTCCTCAAAGGTGGCCACTTTGGCCTTCAGCTCATCAATGTTATAAGTATCGGCCAGGTGTCTCATCTGGTCCATGTTGGCCTTGTTAGCCACATGTACCAAGTACTTGGCACACTGTTCCTTCACTTCTTTGATCAAGTAGCGGTCCTACATGTAAGTATGAGTTAGTGAGTGATTGATCAAACATGCCAATGGATACACATACTGAGAGTGATAGTAGTTCCAGCAGGTCGATCTGTCTGAACCGCAGCTGTCCGGTGTAGAGATAATGTACAATGGCGCGGAAGGCGTCGTAGGTTGTGTCGGGTACGTGGATGATGTCCTCAACAGTCTCCTTCATTCCACTCGTGATCATTGCTTTGAAGTGTTCATTGCGCGAATATAATATACATCGATGTGCGTGTATAGTCCTGCCATCAACCTTGAACTGGATATCAGAGTACATCGGGTTGTCTACCAGTTGGCCAAAGTTAGACGCCAGTAATGATGATGGTGATGTTGGGTGAACCTTTGAGACGTTCTGACCGCTGCCGCTGCCACCGCCGCCACGTGTTTCCGTTGCAGCTGACACCTGAGGCAACTGATATCTATGGATGTCATTCTCGTTGTAGTCGCTCTGGCCGCCAAAGACGTAGATGTTGTCATTGTAGATGACACCCGCTGCAAACTGTCGCTTGGATGGTCGGTTGGCAAGAGTTACCTCGCGCCACTCGAGCGTGGTCGTGTCGAATCGAAGCATACTATCTGTCAGATTCTTGAATCGCCCGCCAAACTGGTAGATCACACTGCCGTGTGCGACTGTGACGGCGCCCCGTCTGATAGTGTGCCGGCCCGAAGCCGATACAATGCCTCGCCATACTAGAGTGTCGAGGTTGAGCTCATACATGTCGTTGGGGCACACCAGACCATCGTAGCCGCCAAAGACATAGATGCGAGAGCCCACCAACGCCATGCCATGATACTGTCGTCCGTGAGGCACTGGCGACACTTGAGTGTTCTGCACTGCCACGTTGGTCCACTCGTTGGCCGCAAAGTCGTAGCGCAGTACATTGTTGTAGAAGCCTTCGTTCATGCCTCCAAACACATACATCGCGCCTTGATAGATCACGGCGGCATGGCCCCAGCGTGCCTCGGGTGTATAGCCCTGCGCAGGTACCATCTTTGTCCATGTGTCGTCGGCGGGCGCGTAGCGCCACAGGTCGTTGTAGACATTATCGGCCGAGCCAGTGCCAATGCCGCCAAAGATCCAGAGATCGCCGGCATACGAGACGGCAGTGTGTGAGTGGCGTGCTGGAAGCTTTGTCGTGTGTTTGATACGCTCCCAACGGCCTGATCGCAGATCGATGCGGCTGAGATCGCCAAGGTGTATGCCTCCAAGTCCATAGCCTCCAAATATCCACATGATGTCGCCAATCAATGTACAAGTATGAGCATGTCTTGGTTGAGGCACACGACCATCCACCTTTACAGAGTGCCATCCTTCCACATCCAAGTCATCCGAGTCAATCACATAGTTTGCTATTGTTGTTGTTCCAAACATATCCGTCATGGTAGTATTCTACTGATTAAACATCAGTGTGTACGCACGAGTAATGTTTGATTGATTGATTGATTGTTTGTTTGTTTGATTGGTAGATTGCTTGAATGTTTGATTGATCGTCGGGAGAGTGGGTTTGTGTGTGAGTGATTGTTTGATTGATTATTTGATTGATGGTGGTGTGAGTGATTGTTAGAGATCAAAGAAGGTGCCCTTTCATCATCATTTTGAAGATACCTCCCATTTACACATTCATGTGTAATTAGGTTCATTCTTTCATTCATGATTTATTATGAATCAGATAAAGTCCGATCACTGGTATGTATCTTGGACAGTCAAAACGATATAAAGGTTGACAGTGCCTTGTACTACAATAATGAAGAGTAGTCCCTGGCATCGAATGATTGAAGCGACGAACATTCAGTCTACTCACCCATGGTGGATCTTCACACTACTTAGAGATATGGAAAGATCGAGAAGGAAGATGAAGAAGTAAATGAAAGAATCAAATAACTGTCATTTGTTGTTAGAGGAACCAGCCCCCCTTTGACAAAGATCTTTGGGAGGGTGCCCAGTCGCGGCAATGAATGACTACTCCGATCCAAAAGCCATGCGGACTTGACCTACTTACTGTCATGGTAAAGAGGGAACTTCATCCAACAACAACAACAACCTACCACAAGGAAGGGTTATATTATTAATATTATTGTCAATATATACAATGCTTGATACCGGCAACAGCCCATTGATATGGGAGTGGAGTGGAAAGATGGGCAGCGACTTAACAAACTTCAAGTGTCTCTCAGTCTCTTGCGTGTTGCGCACCACGCATCAGATTCAAACAAACCAATCATGTAAACAAATCACGTGTTTTGATCAAAAAAACAGCCACTGGACCGTGGTCCAAATTATCTTGATAAGTGTGGTGGCCCGATATCCTCCAACAAACCCCCGATGCCATAACTACCGTCCATCAATCCCCTGATCCTTTGGGGTGCACCTACACTCCCCATCAATGTCCCCATCAGTGTTCAATACCATTACCAATCTCTTTCAACCTCTCATTCAATCCATGCCGCTGGCTGATGGATGGGGAGTAGCAGTGCAACAACAACAAATAAGTTAGCGTCAATGGGGGACGGTCTTGATAAGGAGGTTTGGATCGGACTCTTCCAACTTCTCTCACTTCTCACTTCTCACGCTACCCCCTTAAACCATGCCCCATCACAATTAGACCAGACAGAATAGCATCAGCTGCCGCCTCGGCTAAAGACAGCGGGGCTGATTAGATTGATTAATCCCTAGAAACCCATCAACTATCCACGGAAGGATGGATGGATTGTTGACACTAAACGTGTCCCATCCCGCAACAAACATTCAACTTGCAATCAGAGACAGAACATACTATTCGTACCGTTACATACATACAGACCATACTTATTATTTATTTATTCTATATTTGTATCATAACCATAACATTTTGCCAACCAAATTTGGTTGTGACCATTCCAATCCATCCATTCATCCAACCCAATCTTCCATCTATCCACTCATTCAATCAATCAATCAATCAATCAATCACCTTCCTTAACTTTACACTTCACCACCAAAACACAAAAGAATGTGCCGACGCATCTCTCTTGCAACACTTGTAATAATATTATTCTCGTTCATTGGTATGTCACATGGCTTGGAACTCGTCTGGTAATTCGCCAGACGACATCACTCTGCCATCTCGTGCCATCCATCGGCCACCCAACCCTCCCTCAACCCTCGCCCTCGCACTCTAACCAGCGAACCCCCAACTAACCTTTATCCTTTGGAACACAAAAACAAGCAGACACGCATGCCGCTTGGAATGCACTGACAGTGCCTGACTACCAGGCCAGCACTTGTCCTCTTAATTTGTACTATGTTGTAGTTTATAACACAACCGAGGCGAATCCTACATTCCCCGTCACTTCAAACACCAATGCTTTGTCCATCCAATCACCAACACTGGTGGGCCGTGATGGCGATAAGTTCTTGGTGGTCTCTCGTGCTAGCTCTGGCACACGTGGATTGACTGGCGAGACCATGACCTACGTAGCCCAGTCACAACAGTTCACAACTGTGAACACATGTGATCCGCCAACGTCCCAGGTCACACTGTCTACGCCAGTGTACAATTATATAACATCAAAGGCAACCTCATACTTTAACATACAGCCCAACTCTGTATTCAGGTTCACCTGTAGCTCGACCAATCCACAGGTACAATGTCTTGTGACTCTAGTCCAACCTGACTTGGGTCTTTATAAAGTTGAGTTCAGCCTATTTGTCATCAAGCAGGCGGGCACCACCAGCACCTACTTTGACTCTGCCACCATAACCATAGCAGCCAACGGATACAACTACTTCAATGGGTTGGTCAAAGGTATTGGCAAATTGACAACACGTAAGTAACAATTCGGTATGCGGGTAGGAGTGATCCCCCAACTCACTCACTCTCTTACACACTCAATCAATCAAACAGAGTCACCATCAATCACTATTGTACCATATTATTACCAACCACCTCAGTCTTCCACGGTACATCATAGCTTTGGCATGACTGGACTTGAGCTTGGAAAAGGACTTGTTGGCTCTAGTAACTCTCAGACCTCATCTGGATCAATTACCTATGCATCCAACTCCCAACCACTCGTTGGCAACCTTACCTCGGCCATCTTCTACGGACGATCAACCTACAGTACACCAAACACGACACTCTACATCAATTATGTTGATGGCACGAACACCATTCATACTGATCAAGTGGCCACATTGATCTACACACCCAAGGACACCAGTGCAGCGTTAAGTTCGCTATCACTGGAAACCAGTGTGTTGGATCTGCCGTCCAATTTCCAACTTGGCAAGGTCGAGATCCTGAGTGCACTGGATCATTCGTTCACCATCACAACTTCAGGCCAGACCGTGTACCCTAACCCTCCACTGCCTTATGGTTTAGCCAATGGCACATTCGCCTCGGCCAACTACGCCATGGACTACTTCTTCGCCCAACAATTCACTGGCAACACCATCAACACCTTGTCCTACAGTGGATCTACTAGTAACAAACAATCCAACAATGTGTTCAAAGCCATTAGTACTGCCGACCAATTGATGCCGTTCATGTGGGACGTCACCATTACACCGATTGGCACCTACACCTATGTGGTGACAATTACATTCAAAGATGACTTGAGTGGAATGATGAAGGCAGTGCTGTCCCCACAATGTACACTGACCTCTGCCGACCTTGTCGAGGGCTCTGTAACCAATGGTGTAATGTCCCGCGTCTGCATCTTCTTGTCCACACTGCCACAGTCCCTCTCCATCATCGACTATAGCAGCAACAAAGTGAACATACCAGTCCACACGCCATACCGTGGCGCGCCATTGGTTCAGGAGTTCTTATTAATGCCCTCCGTTCCATCAATTGTGAACTGGTCACCAAGTGATATCACAGCCATCAGTTTCCAGAACACCACCAGCGATGTGTCCACTGGTCCATCAAACAATGTGTTGTACTTTAACGTCAGGAATGCACAGACGTCTCTACGGCCTAGAATAGCACTATTGTTTGATCAGATGTCTGAATCATCATTGACTTTGGACAACACATTCGAAGGTGCTTGGGACTATGTACGCCAGATGTATGCCGTCCCATTCACCATTCCAGCCAGAGTGTTCACCACCTTCCTACCATACGCCATCCTCTCCAACGTTGGTTCCATCACCTGGCAACATCTCTACGGTGTCTATGGAGCACAAAGTCAAGCAACAGTCACATCAAAGAGTATGAGTCTATGTCCCGTCGCTCACTCACTCGATCGATCACTAACACACCTAATTCAATCAATCAATTAGATGCTGACATGATGCCACCCTTGATCGCCAAGGTCAGCACATCGACAGAGACCAACTCGGTGAATGCATGGTTGATCACTTTGGAGGATGATGTCAATGGATTCAAGAATGGATACATTAATGTAACTTCTAATCTAGATCCATTGGGTCTTCGTTTGGACTTTACAGCCACAGCCAACTTGGTATCAGGTTCAACTTATCGTGTTGTGTTGCCAGCCAAACCAAACTGTGTAACTCAGACCTACACAATCTCTGGTATCTCACTGACTGACAATAGTGGCTACACTTCAGCCACGAATAACCCAGGCCTCTTTGATCCCTTGATGCATATCGGACAAGACCCATCAGTGTACAACCCATCAATGACTATAACCTGTCCGACTGCACCCGAAACCTTGCCACCAACACTCGACTCCTTCACAATGACCCCGACCACCATGAACGTCCGAGGCTTCCAACGAACAGTATCATTCGCTCTCACAGTCTCGGACACTGGTGGCAGTGGTGTATCTAACATCCATGCCCCCGTCATTTACCTGTCCACACTCAATGGCGAGACTATCTCGTCAACAGCTATCGAGCAACAGCGTGTTGGAAACTCAGTCAAGTACGCCGCCACGATCAATGTACCATATGGCTTTGGTCTAGGCATGCCTTACATCTACGCATCAGTCTATGGTATTATGGACAACAGCTTCAACCTGCGTGGATACCCCACAACAGAGTTGTCCGCGTTGTTCTCCTCAGTGATCAGCATCGTCGACACCGAACTGACACCACCAGTAATCGAGTCCAATGACCCTATCTCAGTCCTGGGTGGAGATCTGACCATCTATGGCCGCAGCTTTGGCTCCAACCTGAACGGCAACCCATCGCTCACTGGCAACGTCCTCTCCAACAACAGCCAATCAGTCATTGGAACATACTCACAATCAATGTCCGTTCATGTTGTGGCCGTGTTCAAGTTGCCGTCCAACTACAACACGTTCCGATTCCAAGTGTTCAATCCTTTCCCATCCAACATCATCACGATCATTCCTTACGTGCCAGAATTGCCACCCAGCGACTATGAGTGCTCGACTTCCAACTGCATCTTTGGCAGCTGCGTGGACAATCTGTGCGTGTGCGATGCGCTACACACTGGCGCCAACTGCACGTCCGAGATCTCAAACACTACGCGACCAGATGGTAACAGCACCGAGCCGGCGACCAACCCCGGCTCAGGATCATCCACATCCAGGATTGAGATCCACTCGATACGCGAGGTGTCGTCCACTGGCGAGTTGGTGCACGAGTACAAGATAGCCAACTGGACGTTCTTCAACTACACGACCAATGATGAGAATCACTTTGTCTACTCTGCGCCGCTCCCCGGCAGGACGACGACCGTCAATGTGACCATCCAGTTCTTTGTGTCGAGCGCCATCGTTCACTTTGCTGGAGAGTCGCTGTACATGTCGCCCGGCGCCACCAAGTTCTCGGTCAAGTTCGACACCTACTCCTTTGCCTCTTCAGTCAACGTGCTGCAGGTGTTGTTTGGCGTGTCGTTCACAGACAATGGCCCCATCTGTGGCAGCTCGGGCAGCGAGGCAGAGAAGGACAGCGTGCAGATGACACTCAATGGCAGGGTGCTCTCAGGCTCCTTCCATCCCAATGGTGAGGTCGATGGTCGTGTTGTTCGCGTGAACAATGAGGTGCTCAACGCGACAAAGGATGCATCAACTGTTCAGGCGCTAATGGCAACGAGTCTGCCATTCTTCACGGACTACGCGGCGTTGGATCCTAGTTGGACGATACTTGTCGAGACCAAGGGATCGGGCTGTGGCAACAGTGGACTGACCAAGATGCAAAAGGTTGGTATCATTGTAGGATCAATCGCCTTCATGACATGTGTTGTCATCGCAGTCGTCTACACCATTTGGCGCAACAAGCTATCCATCAAGAAGAAGAAAGAGATGGACAATAGATTGAACACATTCCAATAAACATATATATATGATTCACTCTTTGTCTCTCTCTCTCTCTATCTCTCTCCATCTCTCGCTCATTCATTGTACTTCTTGATGCAGAAGACAACGTGGCAACTTGTTTCCGCGCGGAAACACAAATACACACACGCACTGCTCGAGTTAATTTCCAAGTTGTGGCGCGCCAAACACAGATCTACTTCTCCCACTTCAACTTCAACTTCAACACTTGAACACATAGTATTGCTTACTTACTTATATATATTCATAGAGATAATTACATATACAGATTTTTATTATTGAATAATAACATTCAACAATTCAACAACAAATAACAATTTATTAATAATGAGAGAGATTGTACATTTGCAGGTCGGCCAATGCGGCAACCAGATTGGAACAAAGTTTTGGGAGGTCATCTCCGAAGAGCATGGCATTGATCATGATGGATCACATAAAGCCACAACCGATGCACATCTTAGCAAGTTGCAATTGGAAAGAATCAATGTGTATTACACAGAGGCCCGCGACCAACGTTATGTCCCACGTGCCGTCCTCGTCGATCTCGAGCCAGGCACTCTGGACACCATCCGAGCCAGTGACCTCGGCAAGTCTTTTAGACCAGACAACATGATCAATGGCCAATCAGGTGCAGGTATGTATGCCCAAAGTCATTCAAGTCATCTCGTTCATTCACTCATTCAATCGATCGTACAGGAAACAACTGGGCCAAGGGACATTATACTGAAGGAGTAGAGTTGGTTGATAGTGTACTGGATGTGGTGAGGAAGGAGGCAGAGGCATGCGACTGCCTGCAAGGATTCCAGGTGACACACTCGATTGGTGGAGGCACGGGCTCAGGTTTGGGCACGTTGCTGATCGCTAGAATACGTGAAGATTATCCAGACCGCATGATGTGCACATTCTCAGTGGTGCCATCGCCAAAGGTATCGCTTGCTGTCACTGAGCCCTACAACGCCACACTGTCCGTCCATCAACTGGTGGAGAATGCCGACGAAGTCATGTGTATAGATAACGAAGCACTCCACACCATCTGTTCCAAAACACTCAAGCTTGCGCAGCCCACCTATGGTGACCTCAACAAACTCATCTCAACAGTCATGAGTGGCGTCACATGTTGTCTTCGTTTCCCAGGTCAGGTATGTATACATGCACATTCATTCATTCATTCATTCATTACAATCAACTCTAACTCCAATCAATCAATCAATCAATGATCATATTATCAATCAATAGCTTAACAGCGATCTGAGGAAGTTGGCAGTCAACCTTATTCCATTCCCACGTCTTCATTTCTTCATGGTCAGCTTTGCTCCACTGTTCTCTTCGGCACAAGCTTCTTACAATAGATTCAGTGTTGCTGACTTGACAGCACAGATGTTCGACCCAAGCAACATGATGGCTGCATCCGATCCCCGCAATGGAAAGTACCTCACTGCCTCAGCACTCTTCAGAGGCAAGATCTACACCAAGGAAGTCGACGAAGCAATGTAAGTCACATCCTCGACAAGATCCACTCGCACACTCACTCACTCACTCATTCATTCATTCGCTAGGCTTTCAATCCAGAACAAGCAGTCTCAACACTTTGTTGAGTGGATACCAAACAACATCAAGTCATCGATCTGTGACGTGCCACCTGTGGGCCTGCCAATGTCTGCAACGTTCATTGGCAACTCAACATCGATCCAGGAGTTGTTCACACGTGTCTCATCACAGTTCACCAAGATGTTTAGACGCAAGGCTTTCCTTCACCCATATCTCAATGAGGGCATGGAGGAGTTGGAGTTCACCGAGGCCGAGAGCAACATGAATGATCTCGTCTATGAGTACCAGCAATACAACGAGATGAATGGCGATGACCACAGTGACAATGGAGGAGAGGAGGAGCCAGTCGGTGATGGTGAGAACAATGAGTTCTAGGCATTCACTCACTCATTGTCGTTGTCATGATCAACCCTCTCGACAATCATGATTGTACATGATTGACGACCCATTCGAATGATTATCTCTTCTTCTTATCCTGATGTATGAATAAACAACGAATCACCTCTGGTCCTGGCATCCACATCTTGTCTTTTTGAATCCTGGGCCTTGCCTTGCAGTTGACCCCACTTTTACAAGGATCTTGAGTTGCCTTTGAAAGGTCCTTGGACACTTCCCTCATTCAATTGAACATTCAACATACTTACCTACTTATACATATAATCATACATACATATAAATACAATGTTACATTGATATAATCAATGAATGTAGCATAACCTGTATCATCTAATCAAACATACAAACAACCTCTCAATCATTCAATCAATCAACAAACGCAACAACAACAACAACAACAACAACATATATAATGCGATCATTACTGATACTCATAACGACGTTGATACTGCTTGCGCATTCACAAACACAAACACAAGCACAACAACAACCTCAACAGATAGTATCTAATTGGGGCTTTGAATACGACTCTGCCTCATCAGCATGGAGTGATCCTCATTCATTGATAGGTCAGCCAACATCACAGTATGACGTGTTCCAGGGACAGCGAGCAGCAATCTTTGGCTATCCAAACACAAACAGTCTGACACAACTAGATCTGAATCAAACTGTACTGTTTCCTGTGTTGCAAGCGACGCCTGAGCATCCTTGGTCGCCCGATCAGCTGCTGCTACAGTTTGCGTTCAAGGCGCCACCACTCAACATCACGATGACCAACACTCACTTCTCATTCATTGTCAATGTGGATGAGACACTGGTCTTCTGGCTAACATCGTCCTGCTATCAAGATCCAGACTTCAATGTCGAGCTCATTGACCAGTACAACCTATTCAACACCGACGTCACGCAGTTTGCCGATGGCAACAATCACAACATAACCTTCAGACTAACCATCGTATCATTCAATGCCGAATCAAACTTCAACCTCTACATCGATCACGTCAACTTATTCACCACCCTTAAGACGCCCTTAGGTATGTTGCCGTGCCATGCCGGCCAGACATTCAATCATTCAATCAATCAGTCCGCTCACTCATTCACTAACTCAACCAATCAATCAATCAAACAAACTATCAGAGTATGACTTGTTTGTGTCACCAAGTGGAGATGACACTAATAATAATGGAAACAAGTCCAGTCCATTCCAGACTGTTCAACGCGCGATAGATTCAATATCTGAACAACAATCATATACGATATATATTGATAGCGCTGTATATAACTTCCAACAGCTGGCCAGCACGGTATTCACGCGAGGCAAAACGCTGACCATTGTCGGCCTGCCATCCGAGCAGCTGGTCTACCCAACGTGGACGGGAACAGTGGGCACGCTGCTCTCTGTGCTGCCCGCCCCCATCACCTACGCTTACAACCCCAACACAAACTGTCCCATCATGCCGAGCAAGGCACTGTTAGCGCCTGTGTCGCTAAGCGATGTCCAGATTGTCGACCTCACACCCAGTCCGAGCAGCTTGCTGAGTGGCTGTTATGCAGTGATCGTGACGCAGGGTGCCCAGGCGGTGTTCGCCTCGGTACCGCTGCTCAATCACACATCCAGCTCGCAGATGGGACTCGCTTGCGTGGCGCCCAGCGCCACACTCTCGGTGCAAGACTCGACGTTCAACAACATCACCACAGCCTCGCCCGGCTCGGTCTTTTCTTCGATCAATGGCACGCTACAGATTACAAACACCGTATTCTCAAACATCTTGTACAACTCTGTCCGATCGACTATGGGACAGCTGGGCATTACCACAACAGAGTTTGTTCGCGCTGGTCCTATCAACAGTATCACCGACAGGTCGGTGACTCTGAGTCATCTCAATCTGCACGACGCCACAAGCAACAACGTGCCGCTGATCAATCTGCCCAGCGTGCTCAATTCGATCGACATTAGCGATATCACCATCCACGACTCGAGCCATATTGGCGGCATTCTCTGCGGCATGGCGGCGCAGACCAACATCGCCAACGTCCAAATGTACAATCTCAAACAGAGCAACAATGGTCTGATGATCTCGTCGACCGCGCAGCTGAGCATGTCAAACGTCACCGTCTCGTCGTGCTCGAACTTCGACACCAACGATTTCAACTTCATCAGTCTGGTGCAGGTTACTGGACACATGGACGCGATCACCATCTCGGGCATATCGCTCGAGACTGAGGTGTCCATCATCAGCGTGTCGCAGGGGTCAAATATCAACGTCACCAACCTCTACATGTACAACAATCAGATCCCGCTGGTCTCCAACCAGGGCTCGATCCTGTCGTTCGACCACGTGACATTGTACAACAACTCACTCTACTCGCTCGTGCGTTGTGCCTCGGGTATCTTCTCGATCAGCGACACCCAAGTCGTCAACAACCTCGTGACAGCCATCGACACGACCGACTGTCAGGTGTCCATCGCCAGCAGCAACTTCTCGGCCAACGCCAACTACATCTTTGATCAGTACCCGTTGGTCACGATCAAGCAGGGCACGCTCACAATGAACGACCTTACATTCTCAGGCAACATTGGCTTCGACGTCCTCTCACTCAATGGCCTGGAGACGGCCACACTCGACAGCGTCACATTCGACTCGAACAAGTTTGGATGCCAACTAGGCGCTGCCAACTGTCTCCAATTTAAGGGCGATCAACTTTTGTTTACAGGCAACAAGGAGCTGCAACCTGTGCTCGAGCTGACCAACACGACGGCCACCATCACCAACTCACACCTCTTGTTCAATGTGTATCCAATCAACATCACGCGATCATCAATAAGCTTTGACAACCTCAACATCGTCAACACAACGGGCGACAGTGCCATCCGTATTCAATCTTCAAACGGTGTGTGGAGCAACAGTGTCATCTCCAACAACACAATCTCCCCAACAGGCTCAACCCTGCACTTGGAGGACAGCGACATCTCGTTCGTGGACGTCACGCTGGCCAACCTGTCGTCGCCATCCTACCCGATCGGCAAACAACGCGGCGGAAACACCTCATTCATGCGCTGCAACATCACCAACACAATTGGCTCAGTGTCTGGCGGTTTCCAAGTCGATAGCGGCACGCTCATCATGGTGGACTCGACGCTCAGTAACAACTTTGGAAAGATATGCGCCGTTCTACTGGCCAGCAACTCGACCATCAACATCGTGGGCTCAACTATCGATAACAATGTGGCGTCCGAGTCGATCGTCCAACTCAACCAGGAGAGCAGCTTCTACTTCACGGGCAGCACGTTCCTCAAGAACATCCTGTCCAACTCGCTGCACATCACTGACTCAAAAGGCACCATCGACCAATGTCGCTTCCAGGACAACAGCGATCTGGGTACCATCGTGCACATCAAGAGCTCGGACGTCACCATCCAGGGCACGACCTTCCTCACCTCATTCACGCTCAACGACGGCTCGTACTCGACCATTCACAGCATGCAGTCGTCGCTGACCATCCTTGGCTCATCGTTCTCCAACAACCTCGGCACCTTGCGTCCGGCCCTCGCCATCGAGACCACCAACATCATAGTCAACAACTCGCGTTTTGAGAGCAATGTCAACCTGTACGGCATGGGCGGCATCCTCTACCTGTCGCAGTCGACCGCGTCCATCAACTCCAACGTCTTCAAGAAGGGCAGCGCACACCTGGGCGGCTGCATGTTCATCTCACAGACCTCGGCATTCATCAGCAACAATACATTCAGTTCTTGCTCAGCGTCGTCTGGTGGCGCAATCTTTGTAGACTACTCAAACATCAATGTCACTCAATGTTCATTCGATCAGTGCTCAGCATGGCAGGGCAGCTACACAGACATCAGCGACAACTCATCCTACGTCAACAATGGCGGTGCGATTGCCGTGACGCCCATCACACAGTTCAGGCGCAAGACCATGGTCTACGTGTCCAGCACTTACTTTACTGACAATAAGGCCATGCTGGATGGTGGCGTGGTCTGGTCATCCGACTCGCGTACCCCTACATTCGTCTACCAGTCCAGCTTCATTCAAAACTCGGCGTCGGGTGGCGGTGGCGCTCTGTTCTGGGAGAAGCAGCCCATCTACGAACTGGACGACAGATTCCTCAACAACATCGCCATCTACGGACCTCAACACGCTACTGACGGACGCAAGATCAATCTGGACTTCCCCAAGCCACCGCAACGACAGCTGATCTTCCCCATCGTGGGAAGCTTCATTGATTTCTATGATCAGCTGGTGGTCAATCACCCCTCCTATCAGTTCATTCTCAATGTGCGCGGCATCCAGAACTCCAACGAGTCAATCACCAAGCAGTCGGCACCCTATCTCGGTCAGTCCACCTTCTACGCCACATTGACAGGCGAGCCTGGCGACCAGTACCTTGTGAATCTGACACTGCTTGCGCCATCTGGCGAGTTGTTGTACAAGAACGTCACAGTCATCACCATTCAGACGTGCATGACCAATCAGTACCTGCGTAACAACATCTGTGCTCTCTGTCCCACTGGTCAGATTGGCTACAATGGCATCGAGTGCTATGTCTGTCCCGAAACGACCAACTGTCCCGATGGCAACATGTACCCAAATCGAGGCTACTGGTTCTCCAACTTCACCTTCCCACCCGAGATCTACAAGTGTGATCCAACCATCTGTCTTGAGAAGCAATGCCGTCCGCTCCATACCGGTGTTCTTTGCGGACAATGTGTTCCAGGCGCAGCCAAGTCTGCCATCTACTGTCACAGTAAGTGGTCGAGTCGCGACAATCAATCAACACAATCCTAACCCTCACCTCCTATTCGTATAGAATGTACAAAGGACAACCCTGGCACCATAATATTGTTCGTCCTGTTTTGTCTTGGCATGACGGCACTTCTAACAAGATATAGTATACCGACCAGGAGCATATTATATTCGATGTTTATCACGCTTCAATTGTTGGGCATCATGGGCGAAAGGAATGACAGCTTCTACTTCTTCTCAATATTCAATTTTAGAATTGACTTCCTGCCCAGTTGCGTGTCGCCCAAGCTCAGTTACCTTGCCAAATACTACATCACCATCATGTCCATGGTGTTTGTGGGACTGTGCAGCTTCATCCTTCATGGCGTGCAGCGTGTGCGCCGACTCTTTGGCCTGCCACTGGTCGAGATGAATGTTCAGTGGACCAAACGATTGATCTCAACAGCGTTGTTCTTCTACGTTCCCATTACCTACACGAGCCTTACCCTGGTGCCATGCAAGAGAATCGAGTCATCATGGTACTTGGACTACGATCAAGGAATTGAATGCTACACGTCGGCCCACATTGGTGCCATGACCTTTGGCATTGTCACCATGTTGCTAATGTCCATCCTGCTACCACTGCTCACGCTACTTAACCGCTACCACTCACATCGAACCATCAACCCAGTGCTGTTTGCCCATCTCCAACCGCGCTACCAACACTGGGACGTGATCCGACTGCTCATCTGTCTGTTGTTCATCTTCATCTCTGTGGGCTTCCAGTTCTACTCGTCCGAACAGTCACTGGTCATTGCCCTGCTGATTGGCGTTGGCTTTGCCATCCTATATCTGAACCAGCCATACAAGAATGACAAGCGCAATCGTTCAGAGATCCTTCTATTGTTCATCGTGCTGCTGGGCACGCTGGCCTCCAACTCGCGAATGCTGACCTACAATCCCAGCCTTGGCATCACTTTGATGGTGTTGTCATCGCTGGCCATTGCCGTGGCGGCCATATATATTCTCCTCAAACTGAGGTTGCAAGCCAAGCTGTCCAAAGTTAAGTAAACGAATGGCATGTTCCATAATGATAGCAATGTGTATATGTGTTTATAGAATATCATCGTCCATCATGTTCTCGATATCATCGTCGTCGTCGCCCTCCTCTCCATCATTGTCGCTGTCGTGATCCAAACTGACATCGTCCATATCCTCTCCGTCCTCCTCCTCGTCGTCGTTGCCCTCTGGGTTGAACTCATCATCGCTGTTGTCTTCAAAGACCAGGGCAGGGTCGTACTCGACGGGGCGCTGTCCAGCACTGCTCTTTTTGTTGTCATTTCCGTGGCTCTCGAGCAACTCAAACTTGCCCACCAACTTTGTCAGTGATTCTCCCAGTTTCCACATATCATCGACAACAGGTGCCAAACGGTTAAGCTTTGACCAAAGGTTGGGCACTGCCAACAGATATGTAGAATGATCCTTGATAATCATATTGATCCATGGTGTAATTATATGTCTAAAWARATAGTTCATTGATTGATTGATCAAAGTTAGGTTATGATTGCTTAGGACCCACTGACCTGCGTCAATGAAGAACAACATACGACTTGAGAGCATCTTGAGCAAAGTCTTCAATGATCTTTGTGAGTAGATGATATGCGAATGGTGATGATAGGTTCTTGACAGTGTTGGTGATGATATGATGTTTGGTCTGTAATGCCTTTAGCAGTAGTGTATTGTCTGTATCTTTCAATGCATTCTTAATAGCTTCAATATTCTGTTTGTTTGTTGAGTAATAGATGTAAGTAACAAGATGAGTAAGTGTATCCACATCGATCAGGTTCAAACCTACCTTCAGTTTCTCTGCATCCTTTGCAGCCCTTCCACTCAGCTCATTGTTATCATTGTTGTTGTCGTCTGTCATTGTGTCTTTATCTTCAGAGGTAATGGTGATATTGTTGACTATCACTTCCTTTTCCTTTTGTTTGACCTCTTTGCTTGGTGTAGCCGAGGTCTTTGATTTGCTAGCCTTTGGTGTAGATGGTTGTTTAGGCATTGTATTATCTGTATCTGTATGTATATATATAAGTTATGTATTTGATGTGCACTATCAGATTCATAAAAGAACCGAGTTAATGAAAAAGGATCAATGACAATGGACAAAAAACGAACGAGGCTTTTTTGATCAAAATGATAAAAATGGAAGTTCCTTGTCAGACCTTCAAGCAAATGTACAAGCAAGTTGGGTATAGTTTATTTGTTAACAAGTGGTATATACGATGGTCCTCTTCTTGATGCTGGACATCTTGTCCTTGACTAACTGAGCAGTCTCCTTTGATGTTTGTTGGCACATATCTCTCATTGTTTCACTATTGTTGCCTAGTTTCTCTGAGGTCAAGTTGGAGGCACTAACACATCTGTAATATTGTAATGATTAGAGTTATGTTCCAAATTAGTATTTGATTGTAATATTTACTTTCTGGAAACATCCTTTGCAATGTTTGCAATGTTCAGGTTCAATGAGGATAACATCTCTCTGGTAAGAATTGAAGGAACGAATGTTGAGGACTCGATTGGAGCACTGGCCGCAACAAGTGGTAGTCTTACAATCACTCTCCTAGGTGTCATCACACCACTACTTGAACATCTGCTTCCACTTGCCTCTCCTACAATAAGTCGATCCTCATCCTCTGATGGATCCCAACTTCCTAATGATATTTCATCATCACTAATATTGATCTGAATCCATTCTTCACTAATATAATCGGCCATTATTAATAATAATATTATTCAATGTTATTCTATATAAATGTATATTATAATTTATATTTGTATATAACAAGTTATGATGTCGACATTAGAATGAAGTGATTATGATTCCGGCTTAAGCATATATTGGATGGATTGGCTTGGATTGATAGACCGTTACAGATGGCTCACTTGTTTATTCAAATATGTGAATGTGGTGAAAGTATGTGTGTATCTGTATATTTGTGTTTGTGTTTGATGTAGTGCTCGAACACATCCAACTCCGGATGCGCATGTCGTTCTTAATTAGGGTGATCTTGGTCAATGCTCACACACCACACCATCTCCACTACCCTTTTGTTCAACAACACACGTGTGCACACCATGGAAGGTATGAAGTTCTTGATTGTCAACCATTTTCATCTTCCAACTCTAGAACAAACAAATATTAATTTATTTGTTATTTGTTATTTGTTAATTAAGTTCTCAAGTAGTAGATTGTCTTTGGTTGTAATGTATATTCTTTGTTCAGAGTTTGCTGTGATTATTGAAAAAATTAAATGTTTGTCATCAATTCTGCAAAGACTTCCAAAGTCTCCAAGTGTGATGTTGGCAATACCAGAGTTCAAATATTGTCTTATAGCATCTTGTCTTAATGAATAGCTGAAGCTTGGGTAATATGTCAAGACCAATGTTCGAATTTGTCCATTGAACCATTCATTACGAGGTAGTAATGGTAGGTGATACTTAACTTCTGACTTCATAGTCACACGTTGTATACGACAGAATATGAAGGTACTTGAAGTAGTACAAATGAACAGATTATTAGAGTATGCCAATGATGTTAGAGATAATGGAATACAATCATGGTCGGTTGGTTGATAGAATTTGTGACCTAGCTCCAAGTGGGTAAGAGATGGAGGGAGGACTGATTGGTACATAGGTTTGTTGTACACACCTCTAAGCTTCAACGATACAAGGGAGGAGGGCAGTACACCGGTTTTCAATTTCTTGTTGAAGTTCTCTCCAAATGTCAAGTATCGCAATGATCTTGACAAAACTCCAGGATTAATCTTGGAGTTGAATCCATATCCAAGCTTGAGCTTGGTAAGTGAGTCGGGGAGGACAGAAGGTCGTAGAACTTTGTCGAAGTACTCCAACTTGAGAGTTCTGAGTTGTGATGGTAGTACATCTGTATCTATGTCCTGCTCGAAGTATTCCATTCGGATTGAGGTTAGGGAGTGCGGTAACACTCCTGGTGATAAAGGCATATCGAACCTCTTTAGTTCCAACACTGTTAACGATTTGGGCAACGCATTAACAAGTAACTGATTATTGAAACCTTCAGAGTGTAATGATTTGATTGAATCTGGTAGTGCTCCTGGCTCGAAATGATCGGTGTAACCTAGACAAAGTTCAGTGACTGACGATGGGATGATACCTTGCTCAATCTTATGATTGTATGAACTGCCAAGTGACAATGATGTTACAGTCGCAGGTATTGAACCAGGTTGTAGTGGTTGATTGAACCTATCATTGAATGTAATCTCAGTGATACCTTCCGGGATGATACCAGGAATGATCAGTTGGTCAAACTTTGATGATTCATCAAAGTGTATCGATGTGACCTGTGGCAGTAATGTGACCGTAACAAACGATTGTTCTTTCTTAAAGACTGCTCGTGATCGATCTCTACCAACAAGTATATATGGTTGTCCTTCAACTTCATATCTTTCTATTATCTTGTCTTTGTTTGATTGAATGATCGAATGAATGAATGAATGAATGAATGAATGATAGATTGAATGTTAAAATAAGAATGAATGAATGAATGAATGAATGAATACATACTATTAGGATTGCAACGATGAAGGATAGAGAAGTTGTTGTTGTTGAATGTATGATTGTGAAGACATTCACATGTTTCTTGTGGTCGTACAATTGACAATCTATTAGAGTATAGCCTTTTACAACATAAAATGAAGCAACATATATCAACTGCATGTTGTTGTTGTTGTTGATGTTGTTGTTGTTGTTGTTGTAGACTATTAACAACATGTTGAAGTAATATAATAGGTAGTTTATCCAACATAATTATTATTATTAGAATGTATAGATTAATGAGTATTATTCTTCCTAGCCGAATTATGTTTATAAATATATTTACAAATATTTATTTATCATCTGATTATCACTTTAAAGTTGAACATGTGTTTTACATGATTGAACAGGAGGCAGTTCTCATAACCTCGGACTTGATGCCATAGATCAATGATTTCATCTCCTCCTTGCTGGCGATACGTGAGAAGTGGTGAACGTTGTAGCATTCAGTGACGGCAGGTGGCACCTCGGGGAATGCAGATGGGTCGGCCAGGTCAGTCTTGAGAGCAACGATGAATATCTTTGCCTTTGGGTCGATGCTCTTGATGCGGTTCACATAGGATTGCACCCTCGATAAACTATTCATGTTGGTGACATCAAAGCACACACCATATGCTGCAATGTTGGAGAGGGACACTGCATTGTAGGGTGTGGTCTGCTCCTGCAACTTGACCTTGCCCATTGATCCATTGTTGATGGCCTCGACAAAGGTTGACTTTCCAATCATCGTGTCACCAACGATTGAGACTACCATGTTCTTCTTGGTCTTGGGGCGTGCACCACCAAAGTATGAGCCAATGAACAAAGTGTCCATCATTGAGCGTGAGACAGTGCCATCAGTGTGAGTGTATGAAGCTGGGACAACATCCTTGGAGACATATGTTCCGGCGCCATCAGACTGTGTGGTGAAGTAGCCCAAATCAACTTGGAAGTAGTATGTTGGCTTGGTTGCATGGTCCCTGTCATGGTTGAACCAGCCCTCATTGCTTCTCATTGCGGTTGGCTTTCCTCTGACCTTGACCACAACATCCTTCTTTGGTGCAAGTGAGGTGATATCACCAGTGGGGGCAGTGTCTGGGGATGCAGTGGTGGTAGTCGAGGTGGTCGTTGTGGTCTCGGTTGCAGCTGGTGTCTCGGTCTTGGAATCAGCGACGACGACCTCAAAGTTCTCCTTGTTCAAGTCGGCCATGATTGATGACATGTCACCATTCTGAGTTTGAGTGGCCAATTCCGATTCGAACTTCTTGAACTTCTCCTTTGAAGCCTCACGGTAACAAATGGCCAAGAACATCTCAGTGATGAATGAGAAGTTCTTAAAGTTGATGCATACACCTCCAGTTCTCTTTGCAATCTCCTCATAGAATGGTGAGTTTCCCAATGCCTTGACACCATATATCTTGACTCCCATGTCAAACAGTTCATCCTAAGTATGATTGATTGATTGAGTGAGTGTCAGTGACCGATCACTTGAGTGATTGATTGATGAAGAATACTTACACATTCCTCCAACCAGTTGATGGACAAGTTAGTGTGTGATGGCTCGTGTGGATTGGCATCACCAATCATAACGAATGCCTTGGATGTGTGTGTTGACCAGGTGAGCTCCTTGGCCTTCTTGAGTGCCCATTCATATGCCTCTGGGGCGTCACCACCGCCAGTGCCCGGGACATTCTTGATGAACTGTACCAACTCGTCCAAGTTCTGTGAAAGGTCCAATGTGGTCAACACCTTGGAGGCATCACAATAGTCACCCAAACCCATGATACCAATACGGATGTTGGGGATGTCCTTCATCAGACGACTGACAGTCTTCTCGACCTGTGATCTGACGTTCTGGATGATCGATGACATTGAGCCAGTGGTATCGAAACAAAAGACGATCTCGACATCTGATGATATGGACGACTCGACAAAACTGCTCAACAATGCATCCTGATCGAATTGCTCATCAGCAGCAGCTGGTGCATTGTATGTCTCTACCTTTGGACGCTCAGTCAACTCCATCTCCAACACCTCCATGTTTGCCAAAGTGGTATGAAGTGATGAATGCTTGACCAAAGCAGTTGGACTACCAGCCTTCTTCAACACAATATCATGAGTTGCCAACTCTGGAATACTAGTTGTCAACATATTCTTGATTTGCCTGTATGATTAAGTGTGTGATGGAATGATTCCAGGTGAGCAAGTGTGATCATTTTGGTTGAATGATTGAATGATTGAATAGATGATACTTACGCCATGAGAGTAGCAATAGTGAGGCCATCATTGTTTGGAACAGATACTGGATGTTCCATGTTCTTGTAGAGTACTACAAACTTTAACTCTTTGATTACCAACATGTGGACGGTGGTCTCCTTCTTGATACCAGTGCCAGAGACAGGGTTTCCAATCTCAATCTTCTCACCAGCGTACAATAGATCGAATTGGAAGATCTTATACTCTGTCCTCTCGGCAACCTTATTATAGAGTACCTGGACATCATCTGTTGGTTGAACATCCAAACTGAATGTGATTGTTGGTGATTTGATAAGGATCAACATTTTATATTATTATTGTTATTATTATTTATTATACAAAGGGAGATAATGGAGTTGAGAGTTGGATGTAGATATTTAGACTTATTTGTATATATGTCTTTGACTGATTGATTCATAAATTGATCAGGTCTCAAGTCCTTAAATCATTGTGAACAGACAAGATAAAATTAGATTCAAACCCACACCCCTCCATTTTTGATCACTTTCTTGAATGTTTTCAAAGCACCATCTTCATTGAAACTGTTTACACATTCATTTTGGAAAGAGATATGTGGAGTAGTGGAGTGTCTATGAATGATTGAGAATGAACATAGATAGATAAAGTGTGTCATATACGAATAAAGTTGGTCATCATCCTATATACTAAATTTAGACAATGCATCAGATAGAGACTAGAGTCAATAGATATTAGAAATCAATCATTATTAATATACATCTCCGACTTTATATTCCTTTCATTTATTCATTCAATGACACAATTGATTGATTGGTTGATTAAATCGATTCATTATGTCACTTTTGACGTCCTTGAAGTTGAAGTTCCATAAAGGTAATGTCAGATGCATGGGGGTTTGATTGACTGACGGATTCAGAAAGAAGTAGTGTTGGGATAAATCGGGTAAGACATCTATCTGATCATGTTAATTTGCTCAACAAACTGATGATACTTCTGTAATAATACTATTAATACTACTTATCTAATAAATATATATAACAAGATGATAAACCCGACTACATCTAAAAGCATAAAGTCAGTCTCACATAGATCCATTGAATGATTGAGTGATTGATTGATTGGTTAACATCGTATACTTGACTCTAACATCTAACATAACAAACACACAGTTCTAATGGTACGATCAGATTCCCAGACGACCTACAATCACCACAAAAGGTTGTCATTAGCAAGTTCGACGATGGATCAAGGACACTGACCACAGGTTGCTTCACAAGATCAAACAAAGACGATGGTGTCACCAATGAATATCAATCAGATATAAACGCCATCATCGTCATGTCAGAGGTATGTCTGACCTGACATCCATGTACACTCATTCACTCAATCACTCACTCACTCACGTCAATCAATCAATCAATCACTTCCAGTTGGATTGGATAAATTTACCAGCGGCAGAGAAGGAACGAATAGCATTGTATTGGGTCGATCATTATATACATCCAACCAATGGTATCATATTCTCTATGCATGGAAATGCCAACTACCTTCATCAATTCCGTTTGGTACCATTCAATATATTCAAACCTAGATTCCATGCACCAAAGGTCGTCAGTCTACCTGATGGTTCAATCACCGTGGACTACTGGCACTACGATCAACAGTCAGGTCTAGTCAGACATCACCTCGTACGATTCAATGAGAAGGGTAACATTGTAGCGAGATCAATCATACCACATCAATCACAGGCTCTGGCATACAGTTTGAGCACAGCTGTTGTTCTAACATTAGCTTTGTTGAGTAAGTCACATGATGGATGAGTGGAAGGTGTTAGTGTAGTGGTGGCGGATCATCTAACATATCAATCGATCAATCAATCAATCAATAGGCAACAGAGTCATCAGAAAGTCCTTGTTCCAGAGTATACATAAAGTTGCATTGCTCCGCGGCCTGTTGAAGCATTAACTAGGCCTTGGAGTCGATGTGATCAATCACTTTTGGAAACTAGTCATAAAATGGTGTATTCATTCAATTGATCGAGATTGATTGGAGGGAGGGAGGTGGGTCATGCATATATCATGCCCTGATCGTAATCGTTGTCAAAGCCAGCCAGTCAGCCAGAGACTTAGTCCATCTCATCATCCTCCATCGAAACGTCATCATTGCCACCATTGCCACCACCACCACCAAAGAGTGGCGAGTTCATACCGCCCATCAGTCCAGACAGCAGTGCGCCAAGTCCTCCACTCTGTTGGATAGGCACCTTGTAGTATATATTGGCGATTTGTTCGAGATACTAATGGGACGTGATGGTGATTGAGTGAGTTGATTGAATGAATGATTGAGCGAGAGTGTAGCTTCACTTACCTTGCTAAACATTGGGTCTCTTGCAATGGTTGGAGCATACTTCTGTTTCAGGATGTTGAACAGGGGCAGGGCATCACGCTCCAATGTGAGAAGCAGGAAGCGAATGTAGTTGAGCAGGGGTGTGAAGTTAGCCTGCTCAATACCTTGAAGCTGGACAAACGACTGGAATAGTACACTGGCGTCCTTGAGGTTCTTGACACAGAGGTAGCCAAAGACAGCGCGGGCGATGTAGAGGTCGCCCTCAGACTTGTCGTCCTTGGGCACCCAGTTGTTGAGCATTGTGGCAAAGCTTGCGGGATCATTGCCAAAGATGTAGTGCTTCTGTGCACCTATATAGTCTCCGCTTGCTGCCAATGTATCTGCCAAAAGTGCATGGAACTCTGGTGATCCTCGCTCACCTGCACCACTAGTCGCGCTCCACTTTATAGCATCACGCATAAAGTTAGTCATTGCCACATTATCATTACATCTGAATCCTTTGAATAGTGTAATAATAGTGTCTACACATTATATGATTGATTGATTGATTGATTGATTGATTGTTAGACTATGTTTGATTGAATGAATGAATGAATAGAGCATTACTCTTTGATACATCATCATAGGTAGTCTTTGATTTCTTGTATGTCTCTACTAGTAGACTGCATAGCTCTGCGGCACAGTTCCACTGTTCGTACTTTAAGAAGATTGTTGCGCCAGATACCAACAAGGCAACAGTCTCCTTTGTCTTGTTTGCATTACTATTCCTAAAGAACAATGCCTTATACGATTGCAACAAATCATAATAGTTTCCTGCACTAAACTTGCTCTCTAAGCTTGCCAACTGTCTCTCTGTCATTATTATTATTATTTATGTTATATATATTATCTGTTTGTTCACAAACAACAATGATCTTCATTCATGTTTGAGTGAACACCCATAAATTCAATTTCAAAGCTGATCACAACTGGATGGATAGATGGATAATTAATTTATTATTATTAATATAATATGTATATATATACTATGGCAGTGGAAGTTGTCTCGATGTGGATGATATGCTTTGATCAGAAATCATAAGTTCCTGTTTCAGTCTGTTAAAGTGCGGCAGTACATCATGATAATCAATGAACAATCCAAAGTTGACCGCTGAGAATATCTGGAACTCTGATGCCAACAACTCCTTCTTGTTGATAGAGAACTTCTTCTCAATGTTCTACATGTGTATAATATATATGTTAGTGATGCTTGTTGATTGATTAATTGATCGATGTTACAACATACCTCTATCAAAGGTTTGAGTGATTCCAATGCCATTGGATCATTGAACTTGGCAGCTAGGAGTAGACAGCCAGAAGAGTAGAGCTTGATGTTCTCTTTGTTGACGGCATTCTTGATGATTAACTTCTCAAAGAGGACGTAGGAGAGTGCGAGTGTGGACATCTCAATGTCAGAGAGCATGGCAATCTTTTGAAGCTTGCGCTTGATCTTTCTGATCTTGTACAGTGTGACACCAGTCTTGATCCACTCGTGCTTCTGTCTGAACTGCTCGTTGAGCTCCTCCTTGATCGCCGACTTCTTGATGTAGGGGAAGATCGACACCTTGTAGCTGTGCAGGTTCATCACCGTCCTGTGCTTGCCGGTCTTGAGCTCAGAGTTGTCGAGGAAGAGCGGGTCGTACTTGAGCGGGATGCCCGAGGGGTCCACGTCGTCCGGCGTCAGATCGATTGAGGGCGCCACATAGTTGCTGATCAGCAGGTGGCCGTACGACGTCTCCTTCAACTTGAATATGTTGGCCTCCTTGATCGAGAAGTGTGAGTGTGATATGATGTCCGATTGGATGTTGTTGGTCGAGTCTGAGAACTCCTTTGTGTTCTTTCCTCTTTGCTTGACCTTCCTTGTGTCGCCACGGATCATCGAGAATACATGTAGCGGGTATCCAGAAGACGAGGCAAAGTATATCCTTTGTGGTGTTGCTATGTTATAGTTTGTGTTGTATTCCTCTCTGAATGATTGTTAGTTGACTTTGATTGATTGTGGAATGGATGAATGATACATACATGGTGTTCCGCTTCCTGGTTCTTGTTGGTTGAAGTTGTATTGTGTCCAAATGTGCGTTGGTCGATGTATGATGATGTGCAGATGTTGATGTTGTTGGTGCACCACTAACTGAATGAGGTTGTTGTTGTTGTTGTTGATCGCGTCCAAGGGTGTCCTGTGTTGATGTAGGCTTGGCACCCAGTTGCGAAGTATAGGGAGTTGGGGAGTGGCTGAGGCCGGCTGTATCCTCCTTGCCAGGTGGTGCCAATGATATTCCAGACAAAAAGTTCATCGCTTCCTTCCTACATAGTTCGATGATTAAGTAAGTTGGGTTAGTATATGATTGGATGACACCATGCCACAATCACGATACTTACTTCACTTTCCTGGAGGTGTAGCCATTGACAAGTGATAGGAAGTGCGGCAGTTGGGCATCGGATACTTTGGTGAATGATGATGTTGACTCGACTAGGTTGGACAGCTGTGGATTGGTGCTGAGTTGATCCCTTGGTACAGGGTCAGAGAACACCTTGTCAAACTTGAGTGGAATGGTCACAGTAGCTGGGTTAGAGCCACTCTTTGTATCATGTGATACTGTTGCCAATGCAACTATCTTGTCCACTATTATAGATATATTTGTTAGTTTGTGCTCATTCCTTCCGTTCATTCATTCGTTCAAGAAACAACATACCCTTCTGTGGTTCAGATACACAAAAGTAGAACTGGTCACCTTGTTTGATTACAACACTCTTGGTTGGAATGGCATTGAGAGTGATCGAATGTTTGGGACTGATGTCTATTGTCTTGTATAAAGCGTAGGGTATCTTGAATATCCATGTGTTGGGACCACTACTACTGCTGCCACTGCTACTACCAGAGTGCTCTAGTTTGGTGGGGGTATGCTTGGACCGCGGTAGCTCGCCACTCTTCTTGGTGGTCGAACTACCAGTACTACTGGTGCTGGTACCATTGTTGTTGTTGTTATTATTGTTGTTATTGCCATTCTTTGCATTCAATGATATACTTGATAGGAAGGAAAACGCTGCTGCCTTTGAGCTCATCTCCCTTCACTATCACTGTCTCTAAACACGCACTCTCTTCTTGTATCTCACGATAGATCTCTCGTTCGCTTGTTTGTTTGTATGTTTGTTATATGTTGATTGATGTTGGATTGGATTGATAGTCTATGTACAATGATTAGATTTGATAGATAAATATAGTAATATAAATATACAACAGTGTAATGCTTTCTCTCTCTCTCAGACACTACGTCTACTGGTAATGCCCACTACTACTACTGTTTCTACGACTACTACTACTACTACTACTACTTCTTCTAACTCTGCTTTGTATGACTGTTATCTGCTTTTGCGATAACATTACTTCCTCCTAAGATATCTAGATTGTATTTAAAGTATGTGTACTTTCTATTACTGCTCTACTACTACTACTACTACTACTAACTGTTAACTAATATTGAGTCTTATCTATTTTCTATAAATCTCTATCTATCTCTGTATTAATTAATGATACAGAGGATATAAATTGACTCGCGAGTTGTTGTTATTTGATTGATTATTAATGTTGTTTGTTCAGCCAGTTTATCCTGTCAAATATGTTGTTATAATTATTATTATTATAAGTTGATATAACTACGACATGAACTCAACAACACACTAACTTGTCTCACTTGTCTTTAGCTTTTGACACCAAAGGTCGTGTTGTTGGTCAGAGTGTGCTTCAATTACGTGTATGAGTTGGGGTTTGTGGGAAGTCGACCTCCACTCTAATAAATCTTCAACTTGTTTTTCATCGAATCAACATGTTTGTTTGATGAAACCAAGACAAAGACGTCGTCAAGTAAAAAGGACAATGCAAGAGAAGGAAAGAGACAATGTATTACAATATCATTCATTATGTTTATATATTATATTATTCAATACAACCTAGAAACCAAATTTCGAGAATGCCTTTCGGATGTTATGAGGAATTGCTCCAGCGTAGACAACACCGTATGATGGGTTGCTGGTTTCAATCTTCTGGGGAGGGTTGATTGGAACACCACCTGCATTTGCAATCTGAATGATCATGTCTTTATAGACTTCAGACATCATGTTTCGATGTTCAGTGGGGTTTGCGTAACCAGTGCTGATAACTTCGTTGGCTCTATTGCAATGATGTTGAACTATATCTTTCAGAGGACTTGGTGGCAATGATTGATTGAACCTATTGATTGTACTGAAAATAGCGTCCTTCTGGCCTCTTTGTGCTGGTTCTATACTTCCTTCCTCAATATAACATGGTGCATGAAACAGTGTATGTACTATTGCTGTGTAGACCTCTGTCATATTTTGATTTCTTGTCTTTGTTTATATATAAAAATATTTGGTGGATTGTTTGATCGATTGAATGATTGAAAGTGAGGACAACCCAAAATATATCGTTTTTTTGTTAATTAATCAAAACTTGTATGTCCGATTTCAATTTAAATATACCTTGCCAATCATCAATAGTAATAAGATATATGTATATCTGTATCATTGATGGTTCATCATTTATTTATTTGTGTCAACAACTTGTTTTATTGATGGGGTGTCATCATTGTCGGATCTGAACTGAAAGGGGTGAAACAGTTTGGTGTCAAAAGTGATCTCGATAAACAATTTGGAAATATCTGGGTGGACATAGAGTGCGCATTAATTAACACTTATTACAACCATGGTCAACCAATCAAAACAACAATCTCATCATCTCTATCTATAATACAGATACAATTCATACACATAACATAACATGGGTAACAAGGCTAGCAAGGCAGACTTTGCAGATATTGCACAGAACTCAAGATGTAAGTTATATAGACCTGTCCGTGTTGCTTGGAACACAAACTAACTCATACTGCTTGTTGTTGATCAATATAGTGGACGAGGCTGATTTGAGAGACCTACTAAAGACATTCAACTCATTGGCAAAGGATGGATACCTCAACAAGGATCAACTAAAGGCCGAAATCGAGAAGAAGTACGGAGGCATGGACTCCACCTTTGCCAACATCCTCTTCAATCTCTTTGATAGGAACGGTGATAAGTTAGTATCATTCAATCAATCAATCCAATCCAACTACATGAATTGATCCTAATACGATTACTGGCACTACAGGATGATCAACTTCAACGAGTTCTGTTTGGCCTATGGATACCTGGTGAACAGATCACTGGATGATGTTGTGGACATATCGTTCAAGTGTATTGATCTGAATGGCGATGGACATATCTCGCGTGATGAGTTGAGATCAGTCATTATGATGAACAGGAAGATGGAGAGATACGTCAAGGTGTACAACAGATCGACTGCTTTGGATAAGATTGTATTGACGCCACGTGATATGATGGAGATCAGTCAGGAGACCGACGATCTGTTCAAACTGCTCGACGAGGACAAGAACAAGCAGGTGTCCAGGGATGAGTTCATACAGCTGGCCAACACCAACCCAGAGATCAAGAAGCGTCTCTGTGCCCTGCTGGTCAAGGACGAGTCGGTCGACTTCTTCAAGAAGTAAAGTAAAGTACGTCGCGAGACTAAATTCGCGCGTCATGTTATAACATAGGTTGTGCCATGGATGGATGGATGAGTGGTCATTGTTTCTTGTTCTTGTTCTTGTCCTTTGGCGCCAGCCTCTCTGCGATCCATATTAGAGTGCGACCTAGCAGTGTTGGCTGATGCTTTGCAGCCTCCTCTATGTTCTTGGTTGGCTTGTACTCGCTCTTGAAGCTTTGTGGCTCATAATCTGGACCGTCTGATATGGACGTTGATGTTTGTTTGCTTGATGACAGGCTGTTATCCACTTGCAAGTCTTCATAATCCTTCTTTGATACATAATATGTGTCCTTGGCTTCGCGACAAGGTACCATTGGCAACAAAAACACAGCCACCTTCCTGCCCTCCTCGGACAAGATGTTGTAAGTGCCCAGTGCATTGACCGTGGACATGATCTCAACTGCTGTGTTATATCTTCGTTTGATCTCAAATACTAACTCTTCATCCAATGGTATTCTATTCTCTCCTGTACCAATGATTATGAACTCTATGTTGTGTTGCCTGACACGTCAGTTCAATAATTCGATCGATCAATCATATAGTGATGATGCATACCTATTGCAGGATCAATCACTGATAGTACAGCAAGACTATCGACTGTTATATCGGAGCATGCGTGTACATCCCAAAGGAGTAGTGCTTTGGGCATGACTACGATGGGACCAGGTAGCAACACTCCATTGACACTGAATCCCTGTTGACTGTATCCATCCACTGTTATAGCATCATCTGATCCATCAAACAAGTTATTCTTATCCAATTGCTTTGTACTAGTATATGATCTTCTGGTACTATTACTACTATATATGTTGTGTTGATGTATCGTTGATAATGACTTGTTGTTACATGTTGAAGACAACGATATCAAGGTGCGTCTAGCAAACTGTTGAGATGGTTGAGTATGAAGTAACAATCGACCAATTGAGGTCTTGTTGATGAATATACATCTTAGCATTGTTGTAGTTGTGAATGAATGAATGAATGATTGATGAAGTTAAGCAGTCTTTTTTGAAGATGCTGGCTGGGCCAACTTCACACAAGACATGCCTCGAGGCTCGTCCATTCATTCAATCATCAATCATTGTTACACATGGACATAACATTAATGGACAGATGTATATATAATGGCTTTATTAGGAGGAAGGAGGGAAGCTTTGAATCGCATGCATGCCCACCCATACAACCTAGGACGATGACCGGTCACATCAAACAATCATTGATTGACATAGAAGCTCGACATTGCGATTAGACAGTAGTTGAGATCGTTGGATGCCTTCTTGAGATTGTTGACCAGTTGTTCTTGCTCGATGCGTATCTTCTCCTCGAGTGGCTTGTCCTGCATCACCAGGTAGTAGGCCGAGATCAGTGTGAAGCACTCTTTCAGCGCCGCGATCACATGCTGGTAGAGTGACATCTGTTTGGCCGAACACTGGAAGTTGTTCCACTGCTTCCTGGTCGGCTCCAGAATCACCGGTGAGTTCTTGTTCTTCTTCTGGTTGGCTATCAGCTGTGTGGCGCGCTTCAAAAAGTCGCCAATGATACACCGAGTAAAGTCGAATGCTGTAAAGTTGTCGCCCAAGCCCTGCTTCTTTATGTTTTGCAGGAAGAACTCCAAGTTGTTCTGATTGACGCTCTGGTAGTGTAGTGATAGGGAGTCTAGTATTGTGCGAGATGTCGTTAGTTTGATTGATTGGGGAGTGGGTAGATCGCTCGCTGGACACACTTACCATCCTCTAATATTGTTGTCTGGAAGTACCATCCGGCGGGGATGAATAGTGTCTCCTCCTTGTGTACAAACACTACTCTTCCTCCAAACCTTGATATGAGTGCAGTGTCATCCTGTGTGAGCTGTGGCTCAAAGTATATGTATCTTGGCATGTTTCCATCCTTGTTCAACAGGTGCTTATTGAATGCTCCCATCTCCACTATCTTGTTTGGAGGGAATAGGATGACCTATGGTGATTGTGATGGATGGAGGTTGTGTCACAAATACTATCCAAAGTAGTATCCAGACCATCAATCAAACTTACTCTCATCATTCCTTGTAATGCTATTATTGAGAAATCGGTGAACTGTCTGTGTAATGATATAATTGATCCTGATCCACCGATGAATAGGTAGGACTTGGGGAAATGACTCTGATATATGCCATGATGTTTTGTCAGTATGATCAATCAATCAATCAATCAATCAATCCAAGTTGTATATTACTTACATCTCTTAATATATTTAGGTAGTTTGACTTGAAGAATGGCAATGGTCCCCAGCTGTCGGGATGATCAAACGCCATTTTGACACAGCAGCTGTTGCGTGCTGTTCTGGAGGTGGATTGGTTGAACTTGTTGAAGTCGCCAATGTACTGGTGGTTGCGTCCCGTTTCGTCGGCGTAGTTCCACATCGTCTTGTTCTTGGGATAGCGCTGTAATAGTGTGTTAACGTTGAAGTCGGCGGCAGACGACGCCCACTGGTCGGGCAGACCCGAGACAAGCAGCGGGATTGAGCCGGCCGAATAGCGATCGAGTAGCATGACGTCGGTGATCTCGTTGTGCGCCACAATGTCGACGCCACGACTCTCGATCGAGTTGGTGAGTCGCGACGGGTGGTGCAGCTGACAGTGAATCTCAATGTCCTTGTACTTCTGGAAGATGAATGCGCAGCCCCACACTGGGCACGAGTACACGTCAGTGTCGATTGGTACGGTCGTGAAGAAGGGGCGGTCCAAGTGGGAAAAGTGCTCGATCGTAAGGTCACCCATACTACTCGTTAGTGACGAGCGATGCGAGAATATTGTGTCTGACTTGCTGGAGCTACTACTACTGCTGCTGTTGCTACTGCTGTTGCTGTTGAAGCCAGCGAACGACTTTGATAGTTGTGATGTATTCTTTGTTGATGATGTCTTGTTGTTGCCAAGTGATCCTCTTCCATTCGATTTGTTGTTGTTGATGTTGCCGATATTGATGTTGTCTGACTCGTCGTTGCTGGATATCGAGGGATCAACACCGTCAACAGGTCTTGTGTATGGACCTTTTCTTGAACGAGTCTTGTTGGAGGCCTCTTCATACGAACGGATGATATCGGTCAACGATATCTTTGGAGTGACCGATATGTATGATGGCAGTTCCATCAATGCCAACGATTGACCACCATTGGTGGTGGATGACAATAATGATCCCACCGACTTTGACATTGACACTGGAGGTACCACAACCACCTTTGAATTKGACTCCACTCGTATCTACACCATTGTTGTTATTGTTAATGTTAATATTGTTGTTGTTTTGATTATTATTGTGGCGATTGTTATTATTTATGTTGTTATTGTTGGTATTGTTGGTATTGTTGGTATTGTTGTTTGTATTTAATTGTTGACTCTGTTGCGATTGTTGTTGTGGTGGATAGTGTTGATGTCCATTACTGCTGCTGCTACTACCATTGCCATTAGTAAGGTTGATCATTCTCGTGTTGATTGATTGATTGATTGTATGTCGATAATTAATATTAATATTATTATATATATATAGAAATGTATGTATGTATGTTGATTATAAATAATAATTATGTTGTATGATATATTAATGTAATAACTGTTATGGATAAATACAGATATAATAGTATGATCGGTCAATATTATGTCTGTTTGTCAATTATTACTTCCACATAAATGATGATGAGTAATTATAATTAAAATTGTTTGTTTGTTTGATTGATTGCGATTAATGTCAGTTATTATTATTATTATTGATATATGATTCGAATGGATAATATTGTTGTTGAGTCGTCGTAGAAATATTATTGTTTGTGCATGCAACGCAACAATTTATAAATGTTGTTATGTTCTCTTTCAAACAAGATCGTTAATAATATTGTTGTTGTTGTGTGTTTGCAAACAAAAAGGAAGGGAATATGCTATTGAGTTGAATACTGTTGCTGCTAGATAGTACCTGCTACTGTTACTGTCTGTCTATTTGTTGTTGTTGTATATTCTATTGTTGTTGTCAATCAATTGATTGACTATGATCTTAATAATAATTATTATTATTATTATGTGGGCATACAGGCAGGCAGAAAAAGAGATGTGTGATACAGTACGTTTTATCTCATTGATTTGTCACACCCCGGTTCACCATCCATTCAATGAGATAAAAAATAATTAAAAAATCAACAACACGAAAAATGGTCTGGAATATCCATCATCACGACCAATATTATTGAATTAAATTCCCATTCAATGTGAACATATAAATATAACTTTGTTTCTCACATATTAAAGTGAGTCATTAATTAATTATAATAATTATAGTTAAATATTATTTCGATCATCATTTAGATACTAATATCTATTTCGCAGTGAATATTCTACAGTCGTATTGTTGGTTGATTGGATTGGATTGGATTGATTGATTGATTGATGTATTGATTGGAATCCCAATTGTTTGGTGAATATTAATGTACATGCTTGGAAGTTCTGTTGCAAACTATATTGGCTCGCCAACTCTTTCTGAAGGAATTGAAGTACAACTTGTAAATGATATCAATATCGAACATTACATTAGATATCAGTTACGAGGTGTATCACATGCAAATGTGATTAGTCTTGACATCAAGACAGTCCAAACATGTCATTTATATTGCGTAGTGCGACAAAGTTATCCTTTGAGTGCTTAAAGGATAAATATAGACGTGTTGGTATGTTTGATAATAAACCAAGGTCGACATTTGTCGTCGATCACTACCTTGTTTGGTAAACGTCAATCAATAAACCGCCATCGGTAGACGTCTATCGGACCGGTCCATCTTTTCTCTCTGTATTTATAGTACCCATTATCATCTGAGTGTCTTGGTCTAGTTGGTCCTCGTTCGGTGTTGTTGGGGTAGTTCGTTCCCAACGATCACGCGGGACATGTCCCAAGTGGTGGTATATTTCGCTCAGCCGTAACTAACTACGTCCATCATCATCATCATCGTTTAAACATCTTGTTCGTCATGTCATTACTTTATAAAGAGGTAAGGGTAGGGTAATAGTAAAGTATTTATGTGTATGATGGGTGAGTGTTCCAAAACACAAGAATTGAAGGAGGTTAATGCTGACGAAGTTTTCATTCATTCCCAAACACATTGAGTGGTCTGTCGCAGATTCAACATCATTCATTTCCTTTTTTGCCAATTTGGGAACTGCAGGGACAGAGTGGTAATTAGAGTGTGTGTTTGAGAGGTCTATCACCTACAAATACATAATAATGGCGCTGACAACAACATCATCAACTAACAACCATGCGTACATTCAATGTTGTTGTCGGGTGCTTGCTTGCTTGCTTCCTTGGTCATGGATGAGGGCAAGCCAATCCCCATCCAACCAGCTGACCTGACCTGCCCAAGTCAAAGAAGGTTCGTGTTGTGCGACTATCCATCGACACGCACACCTCAAGATGGAAGCGTAACTCACTTCTTGTTGTCTGACCTCTCCTAAATAGTATCCACATGATTCTGCTTAAATCTCTTCCTCTTTCTCTTACTCTTTATCTCTCTCTCTCTCCTCTCTCCTCTTATTGTTTGTTGTTGTTGTTGTTGAGTTCCATCAATCACTTCTATTCTTTAACATCTTAACAACAAACAAACAAATAATACATAATACATACATAATACATTCATTTATTACACATGAGTAGCGTATTTCAATCACAAGGAACATCAAGCTTGATTATCCAACAACAACAGCCATCATGTCAACATCAACATCAAACATTGACAGAGACAGGAACAGAGACACAGGCACAGACACAACAGTTGGTTTTAACATCATCAGCAGCAACAACAGGAGCTGGACATAATCATCATAGTCATCCATTGGAGTTATTGGATCTACCTGATGATATATTACTTTATGTGTTCTCATTCTTGGACGAACATTCATTGACTAGAGTCAGTCAGATATCAAACTTTTTTTTTCAGCTTCATATCATCCAATCATAACTTATGGCGTGAATTGTTCCGCGCCAACTGGGGCCCTATGTTCCCGCTGGTGCCCGTCTGCACTATCAACTGCTGCCACAAGTACTTCTCCGACCCCTACGCCAACCTCGAACCGATCAACCTGCTCTTCTCCAGTGCCTTTTACAAATCGTTGTTGATCCCCTCGCACATGATGTCTCTGATCAACTCGTCCTACTCGTTCAAACAGATGTTCAAGTTCCGCAACCAACTCTACTCGTACTACGCACCCCTGCTCAGCACATCCCTCCAGCTGTTCCGCAAGACGGCCGCCGTGGACTCGGCCCTCTGGCAGCCAATAAGCGACCCGCTGGCTCGTCCCAACCAGAGCCGTGTGGCCAACAACTTCCAGTCGGTGATCGACATGATCGTCCTGCCCAATCAATCAGTGGCGATGCTCAAGGATCACAAGTTGGAGAACGAGACTACAACATTGTACACTGTGCGTGTCACGCGCACCGTGCCCACACGCATCCTCAGGAAGCTGTTGTCACTCATCTTGGACTACGACAAGATTCCCTTGTGGGATGTCACTCTGCGTCACTGCACAGGTATGGTCATCAAGAGCCCAGAGGTACACAATCACGCCAACTGCAATGGTCCCTGCTCCGCCACCGACGTCAAGCCAATCAAGAAGGTTGACTTGCTGCACAAACAGATCATGGGCAACCTGTACATGACATATGCACGCATGGTCTACACAAACTCATCGTCCAACGATATCTTCTTGGAGAGCGCAGGCAATGGCAGCGAGCTCAACAGCGTCGTCAATGTCAACAACAACACATTTAGAAACAATAGTATCATCAAGGCCAGTCTGAGCAACAATGGAATCGTCAATGCCATGCAGAGCTTCCTGAAGAAGACTGAGAAGCAATCATTGGCCGTGCCCATCCAATGGAACAATGAGGTGCGCTTTGATGAGGAGGATGAGGAAGATGACAGCGAGGATCAACGTGCGCCACACAAGAGAGTCAAGAGAAAGACCGCGGTCCAAAGCGAGGCCGCAGGTCCAGTCCTTGCCGATCCCATCTACATTGTCCAGCATCAGATCCCATTCCATGTCCAAGGCATGAACAACCATCTCATCGATAGAGGTATGTGTATAACCTAGTCATGCACTATTCAATCAATCAATCTAACACTCCAATCAATTAAACAGAGGTTCAACCATATCATCTCAATTGCTTTGGAAGTGGATTCGTCTTTGAGCCAATCGAACATGCGCCAGAGGAGGTCAAGCTGACATACATACTTCAGGTGAACCGATCAGAATGGATGGAGGAGGAGGCTCAAGAGCTGCTAGACGATCTGGCAGTCTCAAGGAACCGTTCCATCTCTGCCCTAATTTCACATGCCTACCACCTCAGTCGAGAGGAGAGTAGTGCCATCGTATCATTGTAAAATAGCCAAACATCAATCAATCAATCAATTACCGACTCAATCAAACCAACCATACCCAACATCCGAACACAACACAACAATACATTACACTACAAGTGAATAAAGGTTACTTGTTATTTACTTCTGCTGAAAGAATGGACTGTCTTCGACATCTTTGCCACCGAGTGAATGGAAGCGCTGCATGGCTCGCTTCTTGGTGACGGTCATGTAGTCATCGCCTGGGAGGATGGCATAGCGAGGGTCCTCGTTGGTCGAACCCAGGCCGGCGCCGGCTGGCCGCAAAACTACCTCGATGGGCGCAGTGGGTGCAGCACCGCTCCGGCCAATGCCATCGCCCTCCTTCCAACCCGTCTTCTTTAACAGCTTGAATCCAATGCTGTTCTCACCGAATGGATTGGGCTGCTGCTGCTCGTTGCCCTTGCGCTTCTTATCGCTGGAGTCATTGGACGACGATGGGGACGGCTGCGCAGCCGGCTTCTTGTGGCCGCTCAACATCGATTCGTAGTCAATGCCGCTCTTCTTGGCATTCTCTAGATTGGTCTGCTCGAAGCAAGTAGTCGTGTGATGGTTAGTTGTGAGCTGTGATGACTTGCCGTCCACATTAAAGTGGCTCGCATTGGTGTCATGTCGTTCTGTTGATTTACTTGATGTAGCTTGGACATCTTCTCGTGCTTGTCCAGTGCCTCGTACGATGGAAACTGTCGATCACAGAGCTTACATATGATGAGGTCGCTGCGCTGTGCCGATGTTTGTGTTTGAGTCTGTTGTGCCGCCAATCGTATCTGTGTCTCCTCTACCCGCCTATTTATAATTATCGCTGCCTTGTTGACCATTGGTGCCACCACCTTCACAGGTGCCGCTGCCTTCATTGTGAACTTGATTGGCCCAATTGCCGGTGCTACTGTTTGGGGTTGTTGCAGATGTTGTAGTTGTCCATCAGTATCCAAACCATGTTGTTGAGGTTGTTGTAGTTGTTGAGGCTGTTGAAGTTGTGTCTGATCGGTTTGGATTGAGGTATTCGTTGGATATTGATATTGTTGTTGTTGGTATTGTTGTTGTTGGTTGTGCTGAAGTAGATGCTTCTGTACAGTGTAATCCAGTGGATCAAGACTGGTCTGATGAGCAGGTTGTTTATACAGCTTCTCATCATTCTGGAATGCCTCTTGCAACACCTTGCCCTTCTGATTCCATTTGCCCAACTCATTGTCCATCTATCCAAGCATAAACAGTTAGTATCTGATCATTCATTCAATCAATCAACATCAATCAATCAAACATACCTTTCTCAGTGCGATTGATCCTGCTACTTTGGGACCAGCTGCAGCCTTCTTCTTGGCCGGTGCTATTGTGGGCTGTGGCAGATGTGGAACGAAGGGGTCGTATGTGCTGGAGACAGAGTTGTAGGAGAAGTATGACTTCTTGTTGACGTCGTAGTAGAAGTACAGACAGGCCACAGTGTCAAAGAAGTATCCAGTCGTAGAGTTATAATAATGTCCAGTGTTGGGATCGATTGAGAAGCCTTCTGGTATAGTCGTAGTCGAAGTTGTCAAGGAGGTGGATGTAGCTGTTGTCGTGGTCGTTGCTGCAGCAGGTGCACCATAATTGTTGAGCCATTGAGTGTAATCAGTCGCTGAGATACCTGGTGCAATGTTTGCATTTGGCCTCATCTCTGGCTTCATATACGTGACCCTGACGGGGTATCCATCAATCTTCAGATCCTTACTCTTGCCATAAGCAGTCGTTGAAGCCTGGGGTCGATTGGACAAGGTTAGTGATTGATTGATTGATTGGAATGGTACCAAACATACTTGTTGAGTAGTAAACTCTAGGAAGGCGAACGCCTTTGGGAAGCCGAACCTGCGGACGATCTTGGTCTCGATGGGTCGTGCGCCGGCTAGCTTGCCAAACACTTCGTTCAACTGGTTAATGTGATGGGTTGGGGAGACACATGTTAGTAAGCTTGAACAACAGTCATAGCAATGTAGCAATTGTTTGGACTAATAGACACCGTCTCCTCGTTTGTAGTCATGCAAAGGTCACGAATAAACAATCCGGTTGAGGGCTGATCATCTTCGCCAGAAGCGCCACAACCTCCCGCACCAGTTGCCACAGGTTTCTTCATCGTTGGATTGATCGGTATATCTTCTCTACAGTTGTGGCATGTCTTTCTCCATGAATAGTTGTACTTGTCGCACTGTGTAGTGAGGGCCATGATGTGTTAGATGGGCGAGATGATTCCATATGAGCGAGGGGAGTGGCAGGGCATGATCATACCGCATCACATAGCCATTCTAATGTTTGAGAAGCTGGAACTATTGGCGTGCTGAAGTTGACGAGGATGTTGCGTCCATCAATGATGAGCTTGTCTCGTGAGTTTGAGATGAATTGAGTGGCCTCTTCGACTGTGGCGAATGTGACAAAGGCAAAGCCTCGCGACTCTCCTGTGACCTTGTCGCGCTTCAACGTCACCTCTTCCAGTGGACTAAACACCTTTATAGCATCGACAACAGTCTCTGTCGTTGTCTCCACCTTCAAATTCCTTAGTATCACAATATTGCAAGGTTCATGTCTCTCCAAGTCTCCATAATTTCTTCGATCCCTTCTATCCCGCTGTCTATCTTTACTCCTACTCCTACTCCTACTTCTACTACTCCTTCTATGTCTATCTCTGTCTCTATCTCTATCTCTATCTCTGTGTCTATCTCTACTCCTACTCCTACTTCTGCTTCTTCTATCTCGATCTCTGTGTCTATCTCTATCTTTACTTCTACTCCTACTTCTACTATTGTTGTTAGATTGATATCGTTCTTTATAACTATTGACTATACTCTGGTAGTCATCAATGTCATTGTTGTTATTGATGATGTTGATGTTATTGTTGAAGCCTCCTGGTTGTTGGTCAATAGCACATTCAGCAGATGGATATGTTGATAATAACATTGGGAAGTTGTTGTTATTATTATCTCTTGGTGATGATCTCCATGTTGGAGAGTACTCTCCATCATCATCGTTATGAACCTCTCCTTGTTCCATGTTCTCTGTCTTTATCTCTATCTCTATCTCTCTATTTATCTGTGTGTTGGACGACACGAAGTTTGAATGAATGAAAGGTTGCTCAATACTCACACACTTTGAGTTTGAAACAAAGAGAACTTCATCATTCATCAATGATCATCATAGTAGCATACAGATACAATCATGACATCAACAAGTAGCATTAGGGATACTAGTGTACAGCATGGTATTGAAGTGCTATACGCTGCCTACACAGCATGGTTCAATGATATAGGTATACTTGGTACTCATCTAGACACCATCACTGAGCCAGGTGTCACTCCCTATAAGACATCAATGTGTAAGTATGATATGCATCATTGATTGATTGATTGAATAACAAGACACTAATTAATGAATGAATGAATGAATGAATGAATGAATGAGTGTAGTCCATCCATTCTCAGCAGGCAATACAGATGAAAGATATAGTACATTGAAGAAGGTGTTGGATACAATGAAGTTGACATTTGCTCAATATCGTCAGTTGGAGAGTGAGAAAGAGATGTCCAAGTTACTGGTCACTCAAAGACAATACTCAATGACCAATAGCAAGTTGAAACAACTCAATAAGACAATATCAGACTGTGCACTATTTGGCAAGATACATTTGGATAACATTGCCAACATTCAAGCACAATCATCATCATCATCATCATCATCATCGATCAACAACAACAACAACAATAATGCTGGACGTAAGAGACTTGGACTATTGGCAAGTAGGCTTAGTGAGTTGATGGCTGAGGTGGACAATCGATTCGGTTCATACTCGGACTTGGAGGAGCTAAAGTCGTTGTCCAAGTTGGACCCCAACGATATACTGCCCGAGAATGTGTACAGCTGTAATATATCATCGTCGACATTTATCCTGGACATCTTTGTTTATGGCGATGGCAACATCAAGGAGGTGAAACTGGTCTATATCAACATGGCCAACGAGACCGAGACCACGTCCGAGTACACCAACGACCTCGCCACAGCGCTGCGGAACAACGCCTTCAAGGACTTTGACCAGAAGCTGCGCAGGATCTGCATGCAGGACCTGCTCTTCCGCAAGTACAAGCACGTCAATCTGCAGAATGCCAAGCAGGTGCTCGAGAGCGACTTTATGAGTATCGAGCGAATGTTGGCCGAGCGCTACCCGTGCTATGGCGCGCGACTCAAGGTCGACCACCCGACCACCGAGGAGATCTCATCGCCACTGTACGGCGCCAGCTTCGGCAAGATCGGCCAGGACAGCTGCGGGCTCAGGATCAACTATTACATGACAATGCAGCAGTGTCTGGCCCAGGAGACTGGCCTCTCAATGACCCTTGAGTTTGAGGAGGGTAGGCGTCCATTCAAACTGCCGCTCAGCAGTCAGCTGTCTGGCAACCCACCACAGTCTGACGCGGACATCACCAACCAGCAGTACTTTAACGAGTTTGTCGGCTCGGTGGCCGTCGCGCCACCAATCGCACTCAACCAAACTACAGAGGCAATGATCACTGATGATAGTATCATATCACCAGTGCGATTCGTTGCGCGCCTGGACCCTCCCATCCACGTTACACTGGACACAATGGCCAAGATCATCAAGTGTGTTCAAACAATTGAATATGGAGAGGATAGCAATGAGCAGGCATACCCATTGTCCGCTGCACCAGGTGTTAAACTTAATCCAATGTCAATGTTGGAGAATCAAATCGTACAGCCACGCGACAAGCCTCGATCCCCTCCACAAACACTGGACAAGCATTACGACAACGTGGTCTTTGGCGCCAAGCAGCGATACTTCTTTACGGGTGGATATCATCAGGGCATCGAGCTGTCCAGGGTACCCTTTGAGCACTGCTCACAGCTGTTGCCAGTGATCCAGATCTGTCGTCAACAGGCAGTCTTCAACTTGCTACTTCGTAGTTGCTTCACCAGCCAGCCAACAGAGGATCAGACGCCTGGCGAGGAGTCGTCGGCATCTACATCAAACACAACAATCACAACTCCACCAACAGTAACATCATCGTCAACAACACCAGCCACAACCTCTTCCAATACGGCACCAGATCAAGCTGATGAAGCAACATCTATACCAATCTTTGAGGTTATGTGCAATCCACCATACTCAATCAACATCACATTCCTGCATCCAAAGACCATGCACTTCAACTTTATCGAGGTACAAGTCGACCTGGGTGGCGCAGTGGCTGCGACCATCCAGTCAAGCCAAGAGGATGAAGCGCCACTATGCTCAGACCAGTATCTTACGCGAATGCTCAGCGCCTCCAAGTCCATCCCAATCACCTTATCCTTCATCCTTGGCGGCAACAACATCAATGCCAACAACCCCAACGCCATGCAATTGGTCTAACATTGATCAATACCAGTTCTAGAACTTTATTATCGATGGATAAGAGTCTGTACCGCCCATCTCAACCATCTCTGTTTGGATATCGTCTTGGTCGTCTTCGCGCCAGTATGATTGCGAGTAGTCGATAAACACTTGTGTACCCTTGGGAATAAACTTGGCGGCGGTGATCAATGCTTGCTCAGCGCCATACTCGAATATGCACTCGCTCTCGGCGTTGGCGTGCTTTGCCGAGTGATTGACCATTCCGCCCATCGATCGGTAGCGGTAGGCGTCCAGGCCAAAGTCCTCCATCGACGTCATCATGTTGTAGCAGGGCGTCACCATCTTCTCGTTCATTGTCAACATGCCTCCATAGCGCACGATGTACTCGCCTCGCTTGATATCGCGCGCGGCAAACACGCCCCACCCGACCTGGTCCGAGATCCAGCCCAGGATGACATTCTCCTCGCCGCCCGTCTTGTTGATGGACTTGAGGTACCTGTCGCGGAACTGCATGTCGGCGTTGATCTCGAATGAGCTGAAGCAAAGGTTGACGAGGTAGTCGTTGGTGCACAGCACTCTTGGGCAGTACTTGATGGACAGCTCGCGCTCGACGCGCTCGACTGGCCACGCCTGCATCGCGCCATCATTCTTGTAGTTGTATATCTGGATTGATTGAGGATTGAATGGGGGAATCGATAGTCCTTTCATGTGTGCATAGTCGATGGGTACAGCTCTGAATGTATCAATGATTGTGGCGTCGGCGCCTCGCTCCTCGAGCAATGCGACCATCTTTGGGTCGCCCAACATCACTGCCAAATGTAGTGGAGTGACCTTACTGATTGGATCTGGTACATTGATCAATGGCAGTGCACCAGCCGACAGCAACATAGTAACAATGTCCAGACTCCTCGTAGCCACTGCGAACAGCAATGACATCCTGTTCATGATGGTTGATGAGTCCTCTGGTTTCTTTAATTCCTTGTCCTTCTTATCCTTCTTGTCTTTCTTATCCTTGTTCTTTGTCGTCGATGTGGTAGCTGGCTTGGCGACCACGGGTATGAGCTGTTTGAAGAAGTTGGGATTGCGTTTCACTTCGACCGACAGTTGATACTTGACGTTGGCAGCATCCTTGTCGAGAATGAACTCTGTGAGAGTGGTTAATGACTCTGCAAACACTGTCTTGGCAATCTCGCAGTAGCTGTCTGAGAAGTATATCGACTGCTCTTCATCAAACAATGAGGGTGAGGATGTCATCAACTTTGATATTGTACTCTGTTTGTTGTTGTTGTTGTTATTGTCATTGTTTGATGTCGCAGTTGTTGCAGTTGTAGTTGTAGTTTGATCCAACTTCACATCAGTCAATTGAGCCTGTAAACTTGTTGTTGTATCATCACTTGAAGGAGTCGATGTAGTAGTTGTTGTTGGTGTATCTGTTGTGCTCATTGTATCTTTGTCTTTGGTGGAATGAATCTGAATCGTCAAAGACGAAAGTTCTTGACGGTCGTCGTCATCTATTATCTGGAATTAGTAGTATATCATCTAGAGAGTGTGCTGATCATCTGACCACTATCCATCCATCCTTCCTTTAGGAGTTGGTGTTAAGTTAGTGGTGGTTGTTGTTACACATGATGTGTTGTCGACTCACCATCACAATGCAATGGTCCAAGGTAATGTGATCAGCTGATCAGATCATTCAATTACTATTGCAATAGTAGTATATATATTTATAGTACATGTTTATTAATGAAGAGGATAAAGTTAGTTGTAATACTATTGATAGTCATTATCTTTGTTGTTGATGTTATTCAATCAAGTAAAGATGAGATAGAAGTAAGTACATTATGGATGACTAAAGGACTGACATGATTGACTTACTGAATCACCATCACCAATATAAAGCAACTAATTGAAGAAATAGAACAAAGGTATCCAAAGAGGGATAGTGATGGCGATGATAAACAGATTGTTGAGGAGTTGAAGGATAAGTTTACATCAAAGTTCTTCCAGAATGTTGATAAGAATAGAGCAAGACAACAGCAACATCAACAACAAGGTAAAAGACATCACCCTAGAGATGATGATGACCCCTCAATGGAGTTGTTTATGAAGTTAAGAGATACTATAATGAACAGACAACAGAATCCTTCTGGGGAGGACATGGATAGGACGCGACAGGCATTCGAAGCACAAGCCAAAAGACCGCATAGGTTCAGTCAACAGAATGGACATCGGCCACCTCCTCATCAAGACCTCGAGGCCAAAGCAGAGCGTCACATGCATGGCAACCAAAATCTACCATTCTGGGACTTCCATAAGGACAAAATACGCCATCAACATGCCAAGGATAAGGTTGATGAGATCCATGATGATGATGATGTGGTCGAGAAGCAGGCAAGTCCAGAACTGGGTGTAGTTGGCCAGCAGGATTCACAGTTCCAAGCACTGGAGGAGCATGAGCAATCAATATTGACATAATTAATGAATGAATGAATGAATGATAATCAATCTTGTTGGTCATCCTCATCATATTGATCGTCGTGCTCAGAAGAACTGCCACATTGGGATTTAGGATCTTGGCCGAAGGAATATACCATTTGCCGATATTCTTCATCTCGGTCGCCATCGGGGTCCTCTGGATTATCAATATGGTGGTAATAGCTGCCAAGGTTTGATCGAGACGTCAGCGAGGTGACATTAAAATCATGTGCCATCAACCTTGACACTGGAATGAAGCCGCCAACCAGTGAGTCTGCCAAGAAGAGAGCAACGTCGTTGTTTAAGAATCTGATGGCAAATCTGATCTGAGAGTTTACATTATAATAGTTGACCGTCACTCGTGAGGAAAGTGTGGCGAAGCGAAGGATGTTGGACGTTGTGTGACTGGTCGGGTCGAGAGGATGGTCAATCCCAAGATGGATGCGTACGGTCAATGTTGTCAATGCGGATATCATCGAGACCCAAGTTGGTGAGATGAAGGAGATGTCTGCCAAGCGTGGTCCAGCCATCGTACCGAAAGGTCTTGAGAGTTGATGGAAGATTGTCAATGGGATTAGTATAGAACATTCTTCCAATTGTCAAAGAGGTAACAGTGGGAGGGATTGCATTGTGATCGAATGGCCTGTCGTAGAATCCACCGAGGACGAGCTCAGTGATGGAGGCAGGAATCGTCCCCGGCGTGAGACGATGGTCACCAAGACAGAGATGAACCACCGAAGGCGGGAGATAGGCGAGCGAGTGTGAACAATGCCGGAACTGGTCGCCATCTGGGATAGATCCAATGTCTAGCGAGTTGTTGTAAATGTAAAGATTGAGATTCTTGATCGATTGAGGGAGGTCGCCTGGTTGCAGGTCATAGTTGTAGTTTCGCAGTGTGATCTTGGTCACTGAGTCTGGAATGACTCCATAGGCAAGATAACAATAATATGCATTAAGGTTCAATGTTGTGATGGAATGAGGAAGCGAGAGCGGACTGAATTGGCTCGCGTAGACCATCAGCGTTGTGATAGTTGAGGGGTTCACAAAGGAATCTGTATCGCCGGCTCGGCAATTGCTGATATTGAGAGTTGTGATTGTTGATGGAATATCGACTGGCAGTCCATCTCCAAAGAGAATGAGTTCAGTCACTGATGATGATGATGAAGCATCACCAACAAAATCTAAGTGGCAGTTGAGCGATGTCACAGTTGGTGGGATGAGGGGTGGTCGCTCACCAATGATCGTGAGCTTGCTGATGTTGTAATTGCCATTGGAGTGCGACTGCAGCCACTCTACATCGTCACTCGTGCGAACCTTAATGTTAACTTGGTCATTATATTAGTGATTCGTTGTTGGACAACGTGTTTAGGTTCAAATATGATAGCTCACTCACTGTTAATGTTGCTTAGAGATCGATCAATGGAGTGGAGGAAGCTATTGAGACAAGTTGCACGTCTGATATGTTCGCTCTTGTATGTGTAGCAACCTTCAATATACATTGAGCTGATGTCAAACCTAAGAAGCTGGTCTCTTTGAGCGTAGAGACATGTGGAGCTGAGCACAAGACATATGCCATCCAAGTTGTCCAAATAGTCAAAGAGCAATTGAATGTTTCTATTTGGGAGATCGAGCAATGAGAGGCAAGACATGTCATGTTGTTGTATTTGTTGATGTTGAATGGGTTCTGGTTGAAAGAAAACTAAATCAAAGTTTAGAACAAGACAACAGCAACATCAACAACAAGGTAAAAGACATCAACCTAGAGATATAATGATGATCCCTCAATGGATTTGTTTATGAAAGACCGCATAGGTTCAGTCAACAGAATGGACATCGGCCACATCCTCAACAAGACCTCGAGGCCAATGCAGAGCGTCACATGCATGGCAACAAAAATCTACCATTCTGGGACTTCCACAAGTACAAAACTACGCCATCAACATTCCAAGGATAAGGTTGATGAGATCCATGATAATGATGATGTGGTCGAGAAGCGGGCAAGTCCAGAACTGGGTGTAGTTGGCCAGCAGGATTCACAGCTCCAGGCACTGGCACTGGAGGAGCATTAGCAATCAATATTGACATAATGAATGAATGAATGACCAAACAATCAATCAAATGGTTTGATTGAATTCCAGCGATCTGATACCTTCATTGTCTTTGCAACTTGTTTGTGGTCCAAATACGATGCACATTGTCATGGCAAAGGACCAGCAGAGCAGTGGTAGAGTCAATCCAAGAGACTATGTAGTTGATATTGACGAATTCCATTCGAAGTCTGAGGACATAGGGCAGTTGGTATCTAGGCATGAAGTGATCGCGGAGGAAATGGACGACAAAGGAGGTCAGCTTGCTGGAGGGCTCTAAGATAGGTGATTCGTCAAATGGAGACAAGACTCCAAATTGCACCTCGACTGCTCGCAAGGACAATGTTGTTGGCTGGAGAGGCGCGCGACCTGTGCACTCCATAAGGTCCATCTGGACAATATCAAAGGCGCAGGGCGATGTGTCCATTGAACAGAGTTGGTCCATCTCGCGTAGAGACAAGTGCTTGATGCTGGTAGGCAGACGCACCGGCTCTCCTCTAAGTGCCAGTCTCGTGAGGGACATGGGAAACACCTGGGCATCGACATCTTGTTGGAATGCAGCGCCAAGGGCCAGGTTGGTGAGCGACGACGGCAGAGTCAGGGGACCTAGGGGCTGGTTGAAACTATGTCCAAAAGACAGGGTCCTGATGGAGTTTGGAAGAGTTCCGGTAGGGATGAAGCAATCGAATTCACTGCTAAAGTAAAGAGTCGTCAGAGAGTCGTGGAGAGGAAGGAAAACAATATCCTGCTCGTACCAACGACTAGGGTTGCAAGCGCAGGGCTGTCCCCTCACATCCAAGAAGCAATGGCACATTGCCAATGTTTGGAGGGAGCAGGGCTGCGAGTCGAGAGCCAGCAGAGTCATGCTGTGTTGATCTCCAACAACCAACGAGGTGAGCGATGGTGGCAGCGAGTTGTTGGCCCACTCTCGATTGAACCACCGGCCTAGAACCAGAGTGGATAGGGTACTGGGGAGGTCTCCAGGGGCGAATGGATGGTTGTAATTAGTTGGCAGCTTTAGTGTCGTGAGAGACGGCGGTAGTGCACCCGGAGGGAGCTGCTTTATGCGCAGTGTCTTGCGAAAGGAAAGCGTCTGGAGGGACGCTGGCAGTGCATCTGGAGAGATGTCTTGTTGGTAGTGGTTGCCAAACGAGAGCCTCTCGAGGAGGGGCGGGAGCCACCCCTGAGGGATGACTTGATTGAAGTTTATGCCCAATGAGAGGCTGCGCAGACCCAGAGGAAGGACAATCAATGACGTCGGTTGGTTGAATCCTGGGGGCTCGTGGCCAAAGACTAGTCGCGTTAGTGACGCGGGCAGGACACCAGCAGTCAGTGGATGGTCGAAAGAGTTGCCAAGTGTCAATGTGGTGATCGAGTGAGGCAGTGTTCCAGGAGCGAGACTTTGGTCAAACATGTGCCCCAAGGTCAAGCTTGTGAGGGATGCTGGGAGGTTCGAGCAGCCAGGTTTGAAGGTCTGCTTTCGTTCATTGAACCAGGGGTCATTGGTAAAGGACAGCGTCTGCAGAGACGAGGGCAGCGTGGCAGGATCGATGTGAGTGTTGAAGGAATAGCCCAAGCTGAGCTCAGTGATCGACTCGGGTAGTATCCCAGGCGTCAGTCTTTGTGTAAAGTGATGATCGATTGCCAAATGTGTGACCGACTCGGGTAGATCTCCAACATGTATTACATCACGATCAGTGAGGTAATAAACAGAAGGCCGTTTCCAAAGCTTTTGGCATACTGCAAAGCACCGCTTGCAAGTGAACGCCACGGACATAAGCAAGTCAAAATGCCAGTCTTGTCCAACAAGTGACAATAGCACAACGGTAGGAAGGGTGTCCAACATGGATGATGAGCTGGTGGATGTAGAGCTGCAAGACAATCAAACAAATGTTTTGAAGTGTGTTTACTCGAGTGGTCACCTGAATCAAAGGACGATGTTTGATCATGTTTTTACATAACTGTGTAATCCATAGTGATGATGTAGTAGAGAAGCAGGGCAAGTCCAGAACTGGGTATTGTGATCCAAGCACTGGAGGAGAATAAGCAATCAATATTGACATAATGAATGAATGATCAAACATTCAATCTTTGATTGAATTCCAGCGAACTGATTCCTCCATTGTAGTCGTTGATCCATCCATCGCTCATCTTGACAACAAAGTGATTGATTGTTGTGTTGTCTCTAATGGCCCACCACCAATCCTGAAGACTGTCTTCGTCCCAGTCGTGTTTGATTGATCGGAACACCAAACGCTTGAGGTTTGGAAACAAATCGAGACGAGACTGGATTTGACAGAGAACATGGCCACCATAGGCCTCTTGCAGCTCCAACTCACATAGCGGTGATGGTCGTCCAGGAGCTTTATCGAACTGAATTGTGACTGGGGAGTCTTCATCAAACTTTATTGTCATTACAATAAGTAATTTGGCCAAGGAGGTAGAGGGGAGTCATCGTCGCTGTCGTATTCGTAATCTAATGAGGATCGGATCCTTTGGTAATAGTTGTTGGGATCATACTTTGTGTGGACAGTATAATCAAACATCTCTTGAATAATTGTAACTCCTTCGCGATGAGTTGGATGGAGTTGTGCCTTGGAGCAGACGCTTAGATGGAGGTACTGTAGTCCATGGTGCCAATCCAGTGAGTTGATTATACGGGCCTGCTGCTCATGTTGAGATAGGTTGCGGAGATTCAAGAGAATGAGTTGCTTGAGTGACTGTAGTCGCGTTATGATCTCAACGATTGGATGTTCGTTGGAGATACCAAAGTTTGAAGAGAGATTGAGTGATGAAACACAACTGTGAGCACGGATAAGAGACTCTGAGAGATGGCGTAGCAAACCGTCATCCAGTGTATCGCACATCAGTTCGATCTTGCTAATGTTCCTATTGTTCGCAATGGCCGTGAGGAGTTTGTTGCTGACCAAGGACTTGGAGTATAGAAATCCAAGCTACGAAGTGATCGATGGTGCGTCAAAGAGTCTGCGAGGCTTTGATTGACTGCATCGACGACCTCTGTGTCGGCCACCGGATACTGATCAACTGGATAACAATGCTCCATAATGCGCAGCGACTCCAAAGTGGTGTTTCGCTTCAGGTTGTCAAAGATATCGTTGCAGAGTGTAGCAGATCCATTGTGGCCGCCAGTGTGGCCAAAGTGAGGATTGTAGGGACACATATCATGATTGATTTGAGCGTTGGGGAACTGAAGGCTGTGGCCAGATCCTGGTCTTCAAGGTAGTAGTCGAATAGGTGAAGCATTCTGAGTTTGCTAAAGTCCAGAGCATGTGATGTAGTTTGCAGTTTGTTGTGGGGCACGGTGATATTGATGTATCTCTGTGATAGATTCTTGTTGAGAGTCATCGAGTGTATGTTGGGAGGCAACTGGCCCGTTGGCCATCTCGTTGTTGTCAAATGCTTGACCGAAACATCACCCTGTTGTACATGATTGAGGAACTGCTCCAATTGGCCAGGCCTGACAACGACAGAGAATGGAACATTTGTGGGCAGCATGCCAAAGTGATATATATATGCGTGGTTGAAGCTATAGAAGGTTGGAACATAGTTGAGAGAGGCCTGCCAGATGTTGGGGAACAAAAGACAGAGGTTGTCGACAACAAGCTTGGCATTGTCTTTGAGGTCATAGTTTTCGAGCTCGTATAGGATAAGATCGTCCAGTACACAATCGATCGTCACCTTCTTGATCCAGTGTCGATCAATGTGCAGTTGTTGGCACTCGTTGTTGTGCTCAATGTCCGACAGCAAAGTCAAGCATCTTTCGATGAAGAGAACGTCACGAAGAGGAAATGTGAAGGAGACAGGAGCTAGTTGTGACACTGATATGAACCATCGCTTTGACACCAGAGCATAAGATAGACATGATTGAATATTGACTTTWATCTAATATATTGATAAAAGGATGGTTGACAAATAAATATTTTATAATAAGAAGCCAGTCCAACATGATCAATGTAACAATTGTGTTGATTTCAAATTATATGTATAAAGTATTTTTGGGTCCCAATACAAATGAGACTTTTGGTTGGTAGCCAGCTTCTCTTTGTCACCATACCATTATTGGGGTCCACGTTAGTGCGGCGCCTAGTGTCCATTATTCTGCCAACCAGAATATTAATTTATGTGATCAAAATATCATTTGTACTTCAACGTCGACGAACATGGTGTCGATGACAAAGACAAAGACGATGCACAAAAGCCACCAGAGAGGAAGCCTTAAGCAAGAGTCAGCCCAAGAAACAAGCAAAGAAGGTGTGGTTGATCGATTGAGCGCGAACAATACAATCAAATCATGATCGTTGTCATTGATTAACTTATTTATTATTATAATTATATCTCGATAGGTTGACCATCACTGAACCCAGGTATGGTCATTGTCGTCGTTGTTGTTGTGGTTGTGGTAGTGGTGGTTGTTGTGGTGGTGGTCGTGGCAATGGCCTTGGCCTTGTTCTTCCTGTTCTTGGAGAAGATGAGTGAAAAGGAAGGCGTCGGTGACGTCTGGTTGGAGGATGGATAGGGGAATTTGTACAGGGTGGTTGATGATGTTGATGTTGTTGATGATGTGGCTACAGCCAGCGCCTTGCCAGCGGCGGCCAGCTTCTCTCTCAGCTTGCCAATGGTGGCCTCGATGTCGGGCAACAGCTTGTTCACCTTGATCGCTTTGTGCTTGGTGGCACACGTACACTCGTGCTTGAGACACTGCACATCGTCGTTGCTGCTGCCGTCGCTGTCTTTGCTGCAGCGCGTGCAATGTATGTAGGAGAGGTAACAGTCGGCCTTGCACACAGAGCACTGCTTGATCTTGTCGATGTGCTCCATCTCGCTGATGTTCTGTATCAACTGCTCAGTTCACGCAGCCCTTGGCGATCAGGGCCGCTCGGGCAGTCTTCTCGTTCGCGTATATCTTCTCGAGACAGGGCAGCAGCCACTTGATGAGCTCTGGCGATGGTGCGCGCTTGGACAGCGCCATCATCAGCTGCTCAAGACAAAAGACGTTTGTCCTGTGCACCGCCTGGTAGTGTTCGGTGGACTTGACGCCATACGGCAGCCAGTCGGCTGGGGCAAAGTTCACGGCCTCGGCCACCGTGAAGCCATGCGAGAAGCCTGCATGGTATGCCTGGGGGAATGTGATGATAAAGTCGCCAGGGCTCTGTAGCGTCCTGCACACGGGCACCTTGGACTCTTTGAGTGCAGCGGGCGACATCATTGTGATAAGCATGGACAGGAGGTTGGGCGTCTTGCTAAAGAGTTTAGGCAGGGACTCTTGCATGGCACGCTCAAACACCTCGGACTGATCGCCAGCCACGCCATACCAGGTCTTGTATGTGCCTGTGTGCATGTAGTTGATCGAGTAGAGGTAGTTGTCCTCATTGTGCCAACAGAACGAGGAGAAGAGCATACCAACGTACATCATTGGGTCAGTGACACCCGACACTGGGTCGGTCAGATGAGAGAACACGGACCGCTTCATCTTGGGCAACGTGTTGAGGTTCCAATGCTCCTTGGGGTGTGTCTCCTCGTTGTTGGGGTCAAAGTCCTTGACGCGCTCGAAGCCGCTGCCGTGAGTGCGCACGTCAAGATCGCTGCCATAGTGAACCTGCACATTCTCATCGCCGTTCTCGACGATTCGCCAGAACTCGCTCTCGACCGAGTCGGGGTCGTTGTTGCCGTTGGGGAACCAACGCATCGAGAAGTTGGAGGCCAGCTGCTCAAAGTGCTCCAGCGAGTATGTGTTGCCCTCGTAGAAGCCAAAGTCCTCCTGGTCGTCTTCCATGTCGTCTGCATCATCGTCATTGCTCTCATCATACTGGATGCACTCTGATATCACCTGCTCAATCATGCTTGGATGCTGTTTGTTGGGATGCTGCTTGAGCAGCTCGTCATACTGCGCCTTGCGCGCCAGCTCGTACGCATAGAGGTACTTGTTGTAGTGCTGCTTGAGCATCTGGATGGGCTTGTAGCACTTGTCCGACACCTTGAGCAGGACGAGTATCTCCTGCCAACCGTTGGATCGCGTGACGTCCCAGTAGCCGCCACGCTTGTTCACCTCGACAAAAAGACGGTACAGGTCAAGGTCGTGGCCGTCGTACTGGGGGAACGAGAGCATCGACTCGCCGCGCTCCTCCAGGAAGGAGCACAACTCGGCCACAAACACTTCGCTGGGGCCGGACCAACGAGTCTTGAGCTGATGGATGTTCTGCAGCTTGGTCTTGAACTTGAAGGTCTTGGGATCGATCTGTGTCATGATAGGCTGGGCCTTGTACGGTGGGACGACCTTGCAGATGCCGTACTTCTCGCCGATTGGGCGGATCTTCTCGATGTATGCCAGTGGGTGTCTAAACTCCTCGACAGTTGGATAGAACACCGGTGCCTCCTGTATGTCCCAATTGCGCACCTTCTCGCTGTCCCATGACTTTGCCGCCTTGAACTCTGATAGCAATGAAGTGCCGGTCGACGATGACGTGACCTTCTTGTTGTTCTTTGATGGTGACTTCTTGGATGCTGATGATGGGGAAGATGATGATCCAGTGTTTGGAGACTTCTTCTTTGATGAGAGTCGACGAAGACGAGTGTCATTGGACATTGAATGAGTGGACATCATCTTTCCACCACGTGCTGATCGCTCAATCACCACAGATTCGTCAGTGTCAATGTCCATGCTTGTGCTCTCATCCTTGGCCAACACCGGTGTCGATGGCGTCGCCCTCTTCTTCCTCTTTGACAATGCGATTGGTGTGTTTGAAGGTGATGCTGCTGCAGCCGCCGCTACCGCAGCTGCCAATGTCTTCTTCCTCGTTGCCATGACAGTGGGCGATGATGACGATGATGATGATGCAGTCGCTATCTTCTTTGGCGAATCCTTCTTTGGTGAGATTGTCGCTGTGGTGGTGCCACTAGTCAAAGAAGACTTTCGCTTGTTGTTGTTGGCCTGTGCCATCAATGCTTGTCCAGCTGCGATGGCTGCCGCGCGTGGCTTGCGCTGCTCTGGCGCGGGCAATGTCGAGCGTCGCCTCATATATTCCTGTGTATTGGCACATCCCAAACGATGTGTTCTAATCGAAGATGTTGGGAATCTTACACGGCAGTTTGGGCATACCGTCATATCCCTCTTCTTCTTTATATTCTTTGCCATTGCTCTCTCTATCACGTGATTGATTGTCTATTCGCCGCGTGTTCCAGTGTTTGTGTGTGTGTGTGTTTGAGTGTGAATCGATTGATTGAATGATTGATATGATTGATCAGACAATCCTCCAGTGTCTGATGATTTGGAAAAAAGTAAATATTATATTGATCAGATCCAGTATATCTAAATTGTTATTGATTTGTTAGTATCTGGACATGTCCTGGTCTATCCAATTATATTGATTCTAAACATACATAAACAATAAATAAATATGTATTTGTATTTATATATAAAATATTTGTTTGTTTGTGGGAGAATGTTATGTGTTTGGCGAAGAATAGAGTATTGTGGTCGAACCACAAGTGTACGCTTGTTGGTGCTTGCTTTCAAAACAAAAAATATAAATCAATGTGAATGAATGAATGTGTGTGTATATGTGGGTGTGTTTGGTTATGATTGGTGAGGTTGTGGATGTGTGTGTTTGAATGAATGAATGAACAGATGTAAATGCGAGGATTGGAAGTTGAATGTTGGATGTTGGACAAGTTGATGATGGTCATTCAATTCAATTTAATGAAGGACCAGGATTGAATTGAATATTTGCGTTTTAAACTACTACAACTACTCGCTTTGTATCTCTATGTATTGCGTAAAACTAGTGTCATGTGGAAGTTACAAACATCAAAAATTAAATTCAAAAAAAATCAAACGAAAAACAATCAGCAGTTGGTTGAAAGAACAAAAAACCCATCCTCTGGTCCAAAGAGTGGGTCGAGGTGCGAGTCTATGTGCGTCGTTTGATTGTCGGATACATGATCCATCCAGATCCGTGTGTGTGGTGATTTGAGTGTGTACGTGTATCTGCGGGATAAGAAAACAAAGAATGAACTTACCTTTTGATGTGCGTGATGTGGGTCCATTGGATGGAATGACCAATCTTATCTAATTGAGTTATAAAAGTTTAACTCTGGTTGTTTGTTGTGATGTAAAGTGAAGTTTGGTATCTTTAGCTTGGTCTCCAATGTCCTATTATGTGAATGTATGTATTAGAATTGAATGTATGAATGATTAAGTGAGGCCTCTCACTCAATCAACAACATACACCTTCTTTCCAAGCACTTTGATATGTCTTATATGAGTATCTCTACCATTTTGATGATTGGATAATATTGATATTTGTAACATTGTGGCCTTGATCACTCTATTAATGTGTAGTTGTACGTAAGTATGATTGAATGAATGATTGAATGATTGAATGAATGAATGGATGAAATATACTTTTGTTGATCATTCATATTGAATGGTATGTTAATCCAACCTGAAGGTTTATCCAACTCTGTATTGATCATCTCTTCGAGATCATGATAACTGTTGCCAACCTTTATCGATAGTTGTGATGGTGTATAACTCTCATCCTCTTTGAAATCAGTATACAACAATAAGTTCTCAAGTTCATATCTCCTATTGAGTTGTATTGTTATATGATGAGGTTGTTGTGCATCGGACCTTTGTTTGTGATTGTGAGCGAATGTTAGTGAGTGATTGATTGATTGATTGAATGATTGAGTGATGTATACAACAACATACTGCCAGAATGTTGATAGATTCTCATCAAGTAGTTGTTCGATACCAAAGCCTGGCTTTGCTGATGATACAGTCCAATTTGCAGTCCTGCCAACATCAATCTTATCTTGAAACTCCTTCATTGCATCATCAATCGACTCTCTTGCATTTTGTAATTGACTCTCACGTTGTGATGGACTTTCACTATTCATTGTATGTTGTGTGTGTATGTAATTGATTGCTATGTGTATATGTCATGTTGTGTTTGATTACGATCGACGACTAATAGTGAATGTACTTTAGAGAGCGCGCCTTTTTGAATAATTTGAAGATCCTTTCAAGTTGGAAGTTTTAATTTTTTTTCTCAAGTTGAGGTCTGTTGAAGTGTGTGACTCGTCGCCTTCACTCCCACAACAACAAACACCAACAACAATAATAACGAGGAACAAAATCGACTTTCGTTTATTATCAAATAATCTTCAAACACATAAATATATATATAATAACTACAGGTTGGTATTAATCAAGAATGCTTAGATAGATGAGAATAGCATTATACATTCACAGCATTGATGTTAATGTTGGTGATGAGAGATACGAGAGAGGTCGCAGTCTCAAGTTTGTTGGCGAAAGTTTTGACTTGACGGCATTGGTGGAGTTGGTGGAGTTGGAGTTGGAGGAGGCTGTGTGAGGAGGAGGAGGAGATTGAATGAAGGAGGAGGTGAAGGAGGTGGAGGAGGAGGTGAGGAGGTGGAGGTGGAGAAGAGTGAGTGATCGAATAGAGGTATACCTCATTATAACAATCAATACTAACTATTCATTCAATCATATAGCGCGAGCTAAATATATATAATATAACATATAATATAATGTCCGATAGAGTTCAACGTTGTTACAGGTACGGAACACAGAATACATGATTGAGATAAGATAGTATATACATACAGATTCTAATTAATTACAAACAAATATATAGATGCCAAAAGCCAGGCCACAAGGCTATGGACTGCAATGAGGAGGAGACCTGCCGTAACTGCAAGCAGCCAGGTCATTTCGCTCGTGACTGCACTGTCGAGCGTGAGCCAGTTGTCAGCGGTGGTGACATCAAGTGCTACAAGTGCGACCAGTACGGTCATATGCAGAGAAGCTGCCCACAGGGCTCATCTGCCCCAGCCCCATCCGCCGCCAAGCGTTGCTTCAACTGCGGTGGCTTTGGTCACATCCAGGCCAACTGCCCATCCGAGTCCACCGGAAGCTTTGGTGGTCGTCCAAGCGGTGGCTTCTCCAGAGGCGGTGACAAGAAGTGCTACGCCTGTGGCAAGTTTGGTCACATCTCCAAGGACTGCACCAACGCAACTGGCGAGAACTAAACTAAAAAGAACATGTTGTCAACAATCAAGTTAATCTATTACTTTAACCAGTGTCGCCAATCATCCCCTACCATCCTACCAACCTCTGTTTCAATGGCCCACAATGAGCATAAGACAGGAACAACATCCACATTAATCACCTTTAGTCTTACAAGTCGTTCACTATCTACTCGAGGCCATCATTCCCATCAATCATACAATCAATCAACCAACACACTCACGACACACAACCAACCATCCAAAATTCGCACAGCTGAATGATTGCAATCACTTTATTGCTCCTCCATTCTCCCAAGCTAATTACAATACAACTACACCAAACTTAAAGTTGGTGATTGATTGATCCTTCATATTCTCGAGTGTATTCGCTATGGCTTGCCCTAGAGGTAGAGGGAGTCGTGTTGCCTATGATGGGCTGAAGGTATGTTAAAGTAATGCTACTATACTTGTCCGTCACGGTGATCACGAGGCGAGGCTACATGTAGGTGGACATTGACCAAAGTTAACTTGTTAACTAGTTGAATGGCCTCTGATGGCCGACATCATCTGTTCGAACGTTGTAGGGCCACACTACCAATCTGGATGGACTTAGTTACATTATTCATTACAACAACACCAAACTAAAGATATAGATTGATTGATCAAGTTCATTCACTCACTCTATCAATAACATGTAAATAGATACATCAAGTTAAGTCTACAAATAAGTACCCAAATTTACCAACCCATGGGATAATTTCGGGTATGTTTGAGACGATGTCGCCACCACTCAGATCTGCGATCGTTGGGATTCATCAACAAAAGTGTGTGGGTGGGTAGGACCGAATGTGATGGTGCCTGTGGGGTGTTTTGTGGTTGGTCCACAATGAATGAATTCTGGTCCTCAAGGCCCATTATGTGAACATAAAACGACTTTGAGATAATACCTTACATTGTGTGTGTTTGACCTCTGCTACTCACTTTATCCAGTTCAATCATACTTCCAATCAATCAATCAATCAATTAACAAATACACAACTATTCAACTATTCAAAAAAACAAATACAAATAGATACTTAAACATATAATAGTACAATCAATACAATAATGTCACAACAGAAGGGAAGTGGAGATACATGGTCACAGTTAAAGACTGGATTCGCAAGAGCCAAGCATAGAGTGTTGGCCAAGGTTGGTGCTGCAGAGACAACAGTAGACACCAAGATTCAAGCAGAGAGTGATAAGTTGTTCACTCTATTCAAGTTGATAAAGAGGATCAATAAGAACATTGCAAAGTATCAAGATATCATCAAGGGTATGTTGTAGTCTTTGTGTCGTAGACCTTAATGTGGTCGATCACACATACACACTCACACTTGGAATGATTCCAATCACTCACACACTCACTCACTCACACATCCAACAGATATATCAATCCTTCAGAATGAGATGGCTCATGATATCTTGTCATTCGATGAGAAGGACCCTCAGAGTCTGGCATACCAAGAGTGCCAGAGGGAGTTGGAAAGACAAAGAATGGAGATGGTATGTGTGATCGATCAATCACATGATTGAACAAGTGAATGATACTAACTTTGATACTGATGAATGAATGAACGTAGCAAGAGTACTTGGAGGTATACTGCCATGATCCATTGAGACAATATATATCACAGTTTAGAGAGATTGAGGAGCGTTTGAAGGAATTGGACGTGCGCAGACTTGATATGGACAGGTACTTCCGCGACTATTCAATCAAGGCTAACAAGGGCAAGGATGCAACATCGTTGGCAATCACAGAGTCCAAGCACACACGTACAAAGGAGGGCTATCTAGAGTTGAGTGACGAACTCATGCATGACATGCCAATCCTGTTCAACGATCGCCAGAACGTGTTCAATCCAGCATTGGCCGCGTTGATCAATACTAGCGCGAGATTATACGCCAACAACTCTGTGGCCTATGGCAAGGGCCATCACATCGCCAGTCAGATCAACGAGTACGACTCAATCAATCATGCTTGGGTCATCACACCGGTCGACCAATCGGCCATCTCAACAAACGTTCGATCATCCGCCGTCTTCAACAGCAAGACGAACGAATACTCGCCATCCACTCGCAGTCGCTCGGCCACTGTGGGCACGTCCACGCCAACCTCTTCGCCATCCTACAGTCCACAAATGACCTCGGCAAGCCAGCAACCACCTGCCCCACTGGACGCCTCGCCAGTCATGTTGTCCAAGTCACCAAGTCCACAAATGCAGTCATACCAGCCGCCACAGCCACAACCACAACCACAACAACAATATCAGCCACAGCCAATGGCCGCCACGCCATCACCTTATAGTGGAGCACCATCACTTGCCAAGCCATCGACCACAACAACAACCACAATGACTACCATCACAACAACAACTACCAATCCTCAGCAACAACAGCAGCAACCAGGAAACAATACTGGACTTCGCGTGATCAAGCCTGCACCTGGTAGCAGTGTATATGGTACGGCAGCATTCTCCAGCGCCAGCGCCACCAAGCAGCCACAACAATTCAATAATCCGAATGCAGGAAGAGCGTTGCCAATGCCAAAGACACCTGTTGCCGCGGCAACAGCCGGCAAATCACTGCCCCAGGCCGAGGCACTCTTTGACTTTGTTGGCCAGGACACCTCCGAGCTGTCCTTCAAGAGAGGCGACATTCTAGTGCTCCACACCACCACTGGCGAGTGGCTTAACGCCGAGTTGAATGGCGCCAGAGGTACCATTCCATTCAACTACATCAGGATGCTCGAGTAGCGTGGGCAACACTACCCTTGGATGTCCAAGTCCAGGTCCATCCATTAATATATAAATAATATATAAAACTGTACATGTTTGAATAATATATATATCCATGATGTATTCAATCTTCATTCCTTCTTGTGCTTTCTCCTCCTCTTTGCTTGGTCGACTCTGGATCTATGACTGGGTTGTGGCAGCATGATACCACTGCTCGCAGTTAGTTTGACTAGATGACTCAGGGCTAAGTAAGCCATGAAGATGTAGAAGATGATTCCAACGATGATTCCTGTTCTGGATAAAGGGAAACGAAAGCCAGACCAATAGATCAATGCAATTGACAGCATCCAATGAGCTGTCATCGCCGCCATCAATGTCAAAACACCAAGTGACCTACGGCTCACTAGTTTGTCCAAAGTGTTAGTTTGAATGATCGATTGATCGATTGGCGCGATCCATAACATACCCTGTGTAGTTGTGGCCAAGAGGATTGAGAGTGAGAGTAGGGATAGGATTGATCCATAAGATATCTGTCTTGGTGAGTGATATCCATGTGACCAGGTCATCTGCATGTTGATGACTGACGTTACCAAGTAGGCAATATAACAAACAACAATCAATGGTACCAATTTGCTTGATGTAAACAGGCTATCATTGTGAATGATCGAAAGAATGAAAGAATGAGTTAGTGATGGATGCTCATTGAGTGGCCGTTATCCATGTTCATCAATACATACCTCTTAATATAAACAAACTCATTCCTTTGACGTTGAGCCTCTAGTTGGTGACTGGTCTGATTTGGTTGAGGTTGTTGTTGTTGTTGTAGTTGGTGAAGTAATGAGTCTTTGTATGATAGTCTTCCAATGGAGAAGAATAGGAATGGTATTGATACGGCAAAGAATGTGTGGAAGAGGAAGTGACCACTGACCGAGTTATGCTTCTCAGAATTACACATCTTATCATTAAGTATCTCCTTGCCAAATACGCATACACAATAAGTGGCCGTATACCATAATACTATATACATTGCATAGAAGCATGATCTGAAGTATTGCTGTACTGGAGTCAATCCAACAGTTAATTTGAATGGTCTCCACATGACTATTAGGATGAAGCATGCAGCTGCAAAGGTTGTTGATGCTATAAGATAGATATGTCTATGCCATGATTTATCATATACCCTTTCTCTGGCACAATAATCAATATCTGATATAAAGTTAAAGATACTATAACAATGTTCTGAAGGTTAGTATATCCCAAGGTCTGGCTACATTGATTGATTGAATACCAACATTGTTTGAAGTACTAGAGCAATAATGGAAGTGAAGGTCACCAACCTTAATACTCCAAGTGATGAAGGCATATTATATTATTATTATTATCTATCTATATATATATAATGATTGAATGATTAGATGAATGAATGAATGAATGGAGTAGATATATCAGAATGGAGTCATTCGTGTGAGTCATTGGAAGACCAACAAAGTGTTGTTGTTGTGTGGGAATGAATGTGTTTGAAGATCACCAATGTGGGGGAGACTGAAGGTCAATCTCTCGAGTCACCTAAGTCATACTTACTTACTTCATCACGTTATAGTCAAGTACCTTAACTTAACCAACATGGCAACAAGCAAACAGAGAACTAAACAGTCACAGACTAATAGTAATGACTTTATATATAATGGATACAATCTAACAAAGTACACATTCTTGGTTGGTTGTGTTGTTAGATGTCTATTGATCGTGTTCTCAGAGTGGCAGGATGCTAATAGTATGTACATATATTGACATCAATCAATCAATCAAACATACTAACTAACATGATGACAATGACAACAGTGCTCGTCAAGTATACAGACATTGACTATGAAGTTTACACAGATGCATCGAGATTCGTTGTCGAAGGACTCAGTCCATATGATCGTTCAACATATAGATACACTCCTCTATTGTATGTATCATTCATACAATGAATGATTTATTGAGTGAATGACTCATAACTAACTAACAAACGAATAGGTCATACTTATTAATACCCAACATATTGGTACATAAGGCATTTGGCAAGGTACTCTTTGTAGTATGTGATATGATCATAGCATACTTGCTCAAGCATATTGTCATTCTACGATTCCCAAACATCAAGCCATCGATGCTCTATGCATGCACTACAGCATGGATCATGAACCCATTCGTCATCAACGTGTCGACACGTGGTAATGCCGAGTCTGTCATTGGTGCCATGGTCCTACTATCTCTCTACTTCCTCTTCAAGAAGCAGCTCATCCTATCATCCATCTTGTATGTCTCGTCTCGTCCACTCACTCACTCACTCACTCACTCAATCAATCAATCAATCACATACTAACCTTCAATCAAACATAGTTTTGGACTATCAGTACACTTTAAGATATATCCAATCATATACTCTATTCCGATGTATCTCTATATCGATCAGCATTATTATGAGACGGCGGCACACAAGTACAACTCACTTAACAAGTCATCGTTTGGATCATTGTTACGCAACATCTTCAATCGCAATCGTCTCACATTCTTTGTTGTCAGTGCCTTCTTCACATTCCTCCCATTGACCTTTATAATGTATCAGATGTAAGTTATTATCTCATGTAATTGATCATGTCATGTGATTGATTGATACTAACTCACTCACTCACTCACTGGAACAGCTACGGATACATCTTCTTGTATGAAACATACATATACCATGTTGTACGCGCGGACAACCGACACAACTTCTCCGTGTACTTCTATCAGATCTACCTCAACACCCCGATTGTAGAGTCGGTGGCTGACTTGTCGATGCGCGCAGGAATGTCCCTGGAGTCGGTCGGCGTCGCCCTCGCTTCGTTCTTGCCACAGGTCGTGCTGTTGTTGGCCATCAGCTTTGTGTACTACAACGACTTGGAGTTCTGCATACTGCTCGAGACCATCACGTTTGTGGCGTTCAACAAGGTGTGCACGGTGCAGTACTTTATATGGTACTACTCGCTGCTGCCACTGGTGCTGCCCACGACCAAGATCACCATTATCGGCGGTATCATTATGTTCCTGCTGTGGATTGGATCACAGGCGTTGTGGTTGGTGTCTGCCTTCAAACTCGAATTCCTTGGCCATCAGACATTCTACAACATCTGGCTCGCTGGTATACTATTCTTCTCGGTCAACATCTGGATACTTGTTCGCTTCATCGTCCAGCATGATCCACTCAAACAACAAACTCAAACAATCAAGTCAAACTAAATCAAGTGATCCCAAAAAAGCAGACGACACCCACAAGATATTTATTTGTTTGTGATCAATCATTTGTTCATCATTCAATCATTCATTCATTCATTCATTCGTACATTATAACATACAAGAGATAATAGATAATAATAGATAGAGATGGAGGTGAGGTTCGACATAGACACACTGGTGAGGCAAGTCCTTGTTTGGAATACGATCACTAGAGAGAATGTGTTTGGTTGGGTGAATACGATATTGAATAGGAACAATGTGGAGTACTCTGCAGAGACTGGTTGGAGATGGTTGCTCAACAAACACACGGTCAAAGGGAGTGATGTTGTATCACTTTGGCAATGTGCCCAAGTTGGTGATGTTATGAAGTATAAACAACACTTTGCAAATAGGTTTGATCATATGAGATCCTCTTTCGACTTTATTGGAGGCTCACAACTCTCCGACGAGGACAAAAAGAGATTAATCATCAATGAATTCATCACCATGGAGAAGCCCTATTTGATCAAACTCAAGATCCTTATTGATGTATTCAAGATTGTCCACAGTTATGCACCTCAATGTGTTACCACCGAGAACATAGCGAATCGAATCACCTTGGATCAAGTTGATCATATGAGAGATGTGATCAACAACATCTATATGCATCACACTAAGCTTCTAAACAAACTCCAGGATAGTGGATCACCCATCATTGACGACAATGCCATGTTTATGCAGGAATACACTGTTTTCTACTTCTACAGTAGGGCCTCAATCCAATTGCTAAAGAGAGTTCAGCAGATATCTAGCGCGGAGGAATTGCTTCACACTATTGCCCAGACACACATGTGCAGTGCATCTAGCTTCCCATCACTTCTCCTCATTCCCACAATGAGGCCAATCAGCCACTGCATGCTGCTGTCAGAGTTGGTCAAGTACACCGATGATTCATCTGAGAGGGACACGTTATTAAGTGCGATATCAAGAACTAGACGATACATTTATACGAAGAAAATTAGAGACTTGAGTACAAATACCACTCTCAATGATCCACTTCAAAGTCCTCCCATTACTCTGTAGGTATTCATTCATGCATGAGAACGAGGTGCACTAACTCGAAGCACTCATTCTTCTCGCTAGACTTATGGGCACAATTAGAGAGGAATATTGTATTGCATTGGCACGCGATAACACTTCATTGGTCATGACCATAATGGAAGAGATGAAGTCATATTGGCAGGAGTCACCTTATGGAGTTGAGGAACTTGTGTCACGCTTCCAACATCTGTTCGATTCGAATCAGTTTCGAAACTCAAACTTTAGTTTGTCCATGACACGAACATTGATGGAACACTATCCACTTACATCCAAGACGTTGATCGACATGATGGTCACTGCTTTGGAAGTTCATGGTAATATTGAGCTGTGCCAAGAGCTATCACGTCGCTCAGCTGAGGTATCCACCATCAAGGTCATCGTCGAGTATGCATTGGATCCACGATTCATACACATATTCAAAGATCTTCAATCAAAAATCATTGAGTTGCTGACCATGGACCAATCATCACACCCAATCCAACTTTACAAAGTGGCCAACTTTGCTGCTATTCATGATCTGAAGGACATATTCAATTATGTTTTAGAGGGAATTATTAAGACTGATGATATCATAGAGTTCGGACGAGTCCTGGATACAGTGTCCAAGGGCAAATATACATATCCCTTGAATGTTATAAACAACATCATGAGCTTTATCAATATCAACAACAATAACAACAACAACAACAACAACAACAACAACAACAACAACAACAACAACAACAATTATAATAATGATGATGACGAAGACAACTTTGACTTTCAACTAGAGGAATTGGCAATTGGAAGAAACTCAGACAACATATATGCCTATTTATTGGATACTGCGCTTTCTCATGGACGAATGGAGAATGCAGTAATCATGATAGACAACATAAGATTATATCTTCCTCAAACTCGAGGTGGCAAGCTTCGTGTGACAACAATCAATATGGAGCAGGACAATGATTGGCTTCAGCTGATCGACATGCTACTTGGAAAATCTGAGTTTCTTTATCTCAACATTGACAGCATATACTCTGATGCCATCAAATACAGACGATTGGATGTAGCCTATCGATTGGAGGGACTGTCACTCAATCACACTGGACCTCGCATTGAGGATCCAAGCAGAGCATTGAACACTGCACTGGGCATGGTGGTTGGTCAAGGTGCAATCAACGAGGACTTGGTGGTGAGGGTGCTCAGAAACAATCCCAAACATCTATTTAAGGCGATCAAGATGAATGCACTCGAAAAACTTCAACCAGGGACACAAGACCTACTTCTACGCACAGTTCGTGATGGACAACTCATCTTTGACATGGATCCACTTGGTATCTCTGCAGACTCTATCAATCTATTGACGGTCCATGAGCATCAAAGGGACGATAGATTGAGTGAGCGTATGATGCTCCAAGCAGTAATATTGGGTGATGCTGAAATGTTATATTCACCATGGCTAGACTATCGAGAAGTGTTCTTAACAGCATGCAAGACTGGACAACCTGTCGAGGTGATACGATCACTCCGTCAGATGACCAAACTTGATATAGCACCCATCATCCAAGATTGTTTGGTACATCTTCTCAATCATACCAAAACAATGGATCTCATCCTTGACCACTCGTTCGACCAATGCATTGAGGCCATCGACTACATTCTTTCCACAACTGAGCACACCCAGCGAGTTGATAAGTCAATTCTTGGACACTTCAATTCATCTGATGTCTTGAGATTTTGCGGTCAGACCAAGTCGAAACCTATTGATGTCAGCGTGATAGGATCAAGACTGATCAGATTCATTTGGAGCAAGATTACACAACAACAGAGACGCGATTCAATGTTCATCAATTCACTATTGTCATCAGAGGCCGCATCAAACAGCTTCACATTCTATCGCATAGTGTTGGAGGGCTTGTTGGAGGACAATCATTTCCAAACACCATTTATCAACGTTCCAACAATACCAGAGGTCACCAGAAATATTCAATCATACAGACGATACTCTGACATTCGATCAATCATCAGATTATTCCATCCATTCAGTTTCAATCCAAAGTATATCTCACTAATTATCCAAATGACCATTGCACAAGGTGGTGAATATCAAGCACTCTTCAGTGATCTTGGAATGTTGGGAGTAGAATATTTCCCCAAAGAAAATCTTATAAAAGGAATTAATCCAATTCTGGCAGGTTATAATGATCGAATTCACAGTCTAATCAAGTTGACAGACAAACCCAAGCTCATCTAACACAATATATTTAAATACATCTTATACCCTTTGTAATAAACCATGAAAATACTTTATATATATATATTATTTTTTATTTAAATTATCTCTCCAGATTTATTTGTTTGTGATTATTTTGAAATTGAGCTCGAACAACACACTTTGACGAACAAAGATCAGAATCAAACATATATTAAACAGATAAAGAAGAAGTAGAAGAAGTAGCAGAAAACATAGAGGAATCAACCATGGTTCGTTGGATACCCTTCCTTAATGTACCACTGCATCGACGTCTCGAGACGACAGCAGTGGTGTTCTACTTGATGATCGTGCCAATGTGCATGCTGTTTGCATTCTATGCATTGGTTATCCCGCTGTTCTGGGGCCTCACCATACCCTACCTCTTCTGGATGCTGTTCATCGACGACAGATGGGAGCATGGCGGTCGCCGTCTAGGACTGGTGCGCAATCACCGCGTGTGGAACTACTTCAGAGACTACTTCCCCATCAGTCTGATCGCCAGCACCAAGCTGGACCCCAACAAGAACTACATCTTTGGCTCGCATCCCCATGGCATCATCAGCATGGGCGTCTTTTGCAACTTTGCCACTAACGCATGCGGCGTCGATCAGAAGTTCCCTGGCGTCACCATCCATCCCTTGACGCTGGCCTCCAACTTCAAATTCCCCTTCCTCAGAGACATCCTTATGAGCTTTGGCATCTCATCAGTGAGCAGAGCAGGCTGCGACAACATCTTACAATCTGGTCCTGGTCAATCAGTGTTGATCGTCGTCGGTGGTGCAGAAGAGTCACTAGACGCGCATCCAGGCAACAATGAGTTGTTGCTCAAGAAGAGAAAGGGCTTCATAAAGTTGGCATTCGCTCATGGGTAAGCATTGTGTTGATGATCATGTGATGAGATGATCTTACTTACACACTCATTCAATCACTCAATCAATCAATCAATCAATGATCATCAGTGCATCATTGGTACCAGTATATGCGTTTGGCGAGAATGATATATTCGATCAGGTTGACAACCCAAAGGGTTCATGGATTAGATCACTACAGACAAAGGTGATGCAGATCACTGGTATTGCACCAGCATTGTTTAATGGACGTGGTATATTCAACTATGACTTTGGTCTACTGCCACATCGTCATCGTATCGTATCTGTGGTTGGCGAGCCCATCGATGTACCAAAGATCAACAACCCATCAAAGGAACTTGTCGATCACTATCAACAACTCTACATGGACGCACTATCAAACCTCTTCCACAAGTATAAGGATGAATACGCAAGCGATAGTGATGATCTAAAGATACATTGATCATTCAATCATTCAATCGAACGTCAACAACAATCCTCCAACTCCCAACACAAACAATCAATCAATCAAATGAACTAAAACTGTATATTGTATATCTTTCGATCGATGGACTACTAGTAGCTGATCTGTGAGGGACCTGGTGGAGGCGAGGCGCCATCAAAGTTCTGATCAGTGAATTCTTCACCTCTGGCCCTTTGCTTCTGTTTGATGAGATACCAGGTGAGACTACCAATTGCGGCTGCAGCGATGAACACCAGTATGACAATGGCCGACGACAAGAAGATGCTGTTGTCAAGTATGCTCGATGTTGGATTACAGTTGAGTTGTTGTTCGTTGGTTGGATTGATTATCAGCGTGTAGTCTGGGTCAACTGTACAGTTCTTGGCAAAGTAGGGTACGAGCAATGATATGCCTACCAGTCCTGTGCTCGTTGAAGAAGACGATGTAGTTGTTGATGGTGATAGTGATGTGCCGTTGGAGACTGAGCTGAAACGTATAGTCTTCCAGACACCATCGAGTATGCCCTTGTTCAGGAACCTGGCAAAGAGGGTTGACATACCATCGCTCGTCTTGAACCAGAGCAGCTCTGGTGAGGTATTGTTGTTGGTCTTGCTGTTGGCGCCACTGTTGCTACCATTGTTGTTCGTACCATACTCTGTGATAGAAGGCTGTTGTTGACATCCTGCGGGCACCTCTTTGACGAATGTCTCACTCTGGAACACCAACTCTAGATGATTGGACTTGGACTCGAATGGCCAGTCAGTGATCGATATCGTGTACTTGAGTGAGTTCCTCGATGTGGACATCTGGACATTGCCAAATGTGAACTGACTGGCGTCTGCACTCTGTGTGATGTACACATCCAGCACGGCAGAGTTTGGCAACACTAACTGGTATCTCCACTGATTGGTCGACGACATGTTGGTCTTGGTCCAGTTAAAGTTCTTGAGATCGTAGTCGACGAATGGCTGGTCCGAGTCTGGTCCAAGTTCCTTGATCTCACATATATTGATCTCGTAGGATGTTGTTGAATCACTTGTGATGGTGGATGTTGGAGTCGAGTTGGAAGGTATCACTAACCAACCATTGTTGTTGTCGCCCTCAGATGAGGAATACGTCTCATTACAATAATGACCAGTCCAGTTGGTATTACAATTGCACACACCAAATATACAATATCCATTATTGCTACATGTCTCGTTGTCACACTTGTACTCTGTATATGAGTTAGTATGCACTGTGACAGACCACGCGGTACCTCAAGACAACATACCTTGTTCATAGAGTAGTATCATTGGATCAGCAACTGGACGTCCAGACACGGATACTGAAACAAGGTCAGAGATGTTGGTGGATGGACTGGCTATACATTTGATTGATTGATGATCCTTTAGGATGATGACACTGATACATGGTTGACCTCCAATGTCAACTGTGATACTCGATTGATTCGAACCAAAGCTTGATCCATCAATTGTAAGATTACCACCTCTTTGCGGGAGACTTGATAGGAATGATATTGATGGAGGCAAGTATTCAAACTGTTTGTTTCCTGTTGAATACTGTCCATTCGATGTCAAGACCATGGAAAGTGGTGTGGCCCATCCTTGAGGAACTTGACAACCGACCAAGTTTGTATTGATCACTGTAACATTGCAATCATACTCTCCAATCACCATAGTAATATTCTTTCCATCTGTTGCCTCAAGTCCAGTCACATTGACCTGTATCAATCCTCCATCAGTTGGTGCGGAAATAACTGACTCTATGAATGGACCTAAATAATAGATTGATTGAATACGTTAGGTACGATGATTGATTGATTGAATTATCAAGGTATTATACCTTTGAATGTTCCAACAATCTTTGATACATTGTTTATCTTGAAAAGGACTGGTAGATCAAAGTAGTTGCCTGGCTGCAATGTACATTGTAAGGATATGTCTGATGGATATCGAACATTGGTACATTGCTCCTCTCCAATATATACGCTGTAAGGTGATCCTGTCAAGTTTGATCCAGTTCCCTCTATCAACACTTGTCCATGTCCAATGCTCTGCACTCTTGATACAGTAGGGAATGATTGGCATTCTGCGGCCATCGAGTCATGTGAGCATACACATGCATATGATCCATCGATATTCTTACAAACGAATCCTTCACCACATACTGATGTTCCAGTCTCACATTCATCAATATCCAAACAACTATTATTACTTGAGATGTAGGTGTAGCCTGGTCGACATTGGCATACATATGATCCTACAGTATTCTCACACAATGAGGTTCCACAGATATCCTTATTCTTCTCGCATTCATTGATATCTTGATTGATTGAATGATTGATTGAGTGTTAGTCAAGGGCCACAAGGGTGGTACATGATGGGACTTACCGATGCAATCTGATCCACTCATCTCGAAACCGTCTATACATCGACATTGATAGCTGCCAGGCGTGTTGAAACATGTGGAATGCTCTTGGCATTGGATGGAAGTGTCTCGCACACATTCATTAATGTCTTGACACAATGATGATCCATTGCTTGGCGCCTCGTATCCTATATCACATTGACTACAATCATTGCCTTTGTATCCTTGGTCACATTTGCAGGTCACATCATCACAATATCCATGCTTGCACAACACTGTGCACTTTGAGGAGTAAGCTCGCAGTGGACCGACGTCCATCGTCTGATTGAACACCAACGTGTAATTGTCCGACTTGTCGCCGTTGAAGTACTTGCAGTTGAATGAGACATTGTTGCAGGCGGTGTTCATGAGCACCTGGAATGAGAATGACGCGCCACGGCAAGCAAAGGTCGAGACACACGCCTTGTCAATCGGGATGACATCGGCGAATGGATAGCTGGACGAGTCGAACAGTGATGTGGAGGACGAGTCGCAGCCATCCACAACGCCAGCGGGGTCAGTGTCATTGGTCATGAATGCACCCATCCTCCGTCGTTTCGATCCCTGGCACTGAGTATAAGCCAGGTAATTATATTCAATAATATTCAATTCGATATTACTTGATGATTCCATGCCCACTGTACCATCAATAGTTGGACAAGTATTATTCCAAGGATTGATATTCGATAATAACTGAAGTGAGTTCAATAATATATTATCATATTTATCCTTTACCAATCCTCTCATGTAATATACTGAGTATCCACTATATAAACACTATAATTGTTTGATTGAGTAGATGAGTGAGTGGAATAGTTCCAGTGATTGATTGATTGAGTGGATGCCATACCTGAGTGAGTTTGATTGTTGTGAGGCCAGAGTCGCGTCCCCGGCACATAGATATATCTTCATAATATTTTAAGTTGTCTGGACATATCGAGGTCACTTGTGTGATCCAGTCGCTGGAACTAATAAATAATAATGATAATAATATTAATGTAAAGATATTATATATTTGTCTTGTTATATACATTGTTGTTGGAGTAATAATCCAGGAGTCAAGGAGTCAATCAATCAATCAATATTAGAGAGTGAGTGATTGATTGATTGAGTGGATGGATGATGGCCTTTGCTAAGCTGTGACTTGGCTGCTATCCAATGTTGTTGATGGTTGTTGATGTTGACACCTGTGAACTGCCTGTTGCGATTCGATATTCCACCTCTTACTCACTCCATTTATAGAGTGGGAGGGATACGGAGTTGAACGTCCTTGAATGATTGTATGTGTGTGTTTGTGTGTGGCAGGCAGGCAGACACATCCGGATAGCTCGTCGTATTTGGTCGCGTCCATCGGTATCCTCTGGCTGGCAATAATGTGACTATATATATAAGGTGTCCTTATTTATATATACGATAATGTAAGTGATTGGACGTAGAGGGGGTGGTTGATGAGTGGAGGGAATGGGGTATGAGTTGAGTTGTGTGATTGATGGACATGTGTGTGTGTGGTGTTGTCGTAAATCTTGTGATTGAGATGTATAAGTTGTGTGATTGGATGGTATCGTATTGTGTGTATGTGTTGCATCGGTAATATACAACTGTTGGCTGATGAACAGTGATGTGCTTGCTTTAAAGAATGATCTGAAGATGAAGATGTTGGTCTAGTTGTTTGTTGTTGACATGCATGATGACGCTGATGTTAGAATGATTGATTGACAGCAACATGGGCGTCATTGGACCACTATATCTGATGTATGATCTGTTTTGTTCTCTTCTCCATCCATCCATTCATTCATCTTTAGATTAATTGATTAAAGTTGATTGAATGATTGAGTGAGTGACTGAGTGATTGGATGATTGATTGATTGGAGGATGTGGAAGTGTCGATTGTGTTGCTTCGTGTCATGTCATGTTGATAACGTATTGAGTTGATCTGGATGTATGATTGTCGAAGGGGTCATTGACTACCATGTGTACTCCACGCTCACCAACTAACTCAACATCATCTATTCAGAGTTGGTATAGTATTCCAATGATTTCTCCAGGATTGCATCGATGTTCAGATCCTTGATCTAAAGGTGTCAATGTTTGATTGATTGAATGGGTGAGTGAATGAGTACGATCCAACCTGAATCGCCGCTGGTGGCTGATGATGCTTACACTTAGGTTCATAGTATAGTTCAGAATGTCTGCGGCAGATGTCTTCTCCAAAATGCCTTGTCTCTTTGTTTGTAATATTGACAGTGCAATAAAGGCCATGTAGTCCAATGATACGCCAATGATCCTATCCCAAACTCTGTACAAATATGTTGTTGGTAGGAAGCATGTGAAGTATGTCTTGAACCATCTTTGAGTGATCGTTAGTATGTGTGATTGATTGATTGATTGATTGAATGTGTGCTGGCGGACAGACATACTTGGTGCTGAACTGCTCGACGTGTACATTGTGTAGATGGAAGTGGTCCCAAAGACTCTTCTCATACAGCTCTAACAGTCTTGACAATATGTTGATCTGATGGTATATGCCAATGTCCTGCATGAGTGTGGTTGATTGAATTAGAATGCTGCCACGCCACGCAACGCCACACAACATCACATACCTTGTGTCCATATTGCTTCAATGATCTGTTCAGGAAGCTGTTGAAGCACCAGAAGGCATCGACCTCGGTGTCGCATACATAACAGAATACCTCGGCTATTGCTTTGAGATGCTCTTCAAACTGCATGCCATAGTCATCCTTGCCGCTGCCACCACCACTACTGGTTGCCACCAAACTGTTTGGTTGTGATCCAGAGTACTCACTCAGTAGTTGTTCAATCCTTCTATCAATGTCCTGATTGTCAATATTGTTGTTGTCTTCCTTAACAAGTGGTGTGGGCAATGTGTTGTTGTTGGGAATGGTTGTGGAAGTTGATGATGATGTTGTGTTTGTTGGTGGATTAACCATTGTATGTGACATACTACTACTGTTGGTGGTGCCCTTTGAGTTGCTGTTGTTGTTGCTGCTGTCGAATGATGTCATACCATCATTTGATGATGGTGACATTGATCGTTGAGATGATGAGCTTGACATGTTGCCTTGATCAGCGTCTGTGATAAAGTACAATCCATTTTGAAAGTTGAAGTATTGCTCCTTGACATGATATATGATTGCCAATGAGCTTGCTGCTGAGTCCCTTGCATCCAACACCACCTGTTCATCAGAGTCGATCGAGTACTCATTCAGTACATCCTTCCTATTTGATTGATCAATTGATTGAATGAATGAGTGAGTGAGTATGACGCGACAACACCAACGAACAACATCATCATCTTCATCATCATACCATCGTTGAAAGAAGTTGTCTGGTAGGTTGCCACGCCGCACTAGACAGACGGCGTGCTTGAGGTCTTCATACTCGATGGTCCTCTGTTCATGTATAAAGTCCGATGTCTCTTGATAAGATGATGCCACACCTAGTAGTATCTTCCATACTCTGCCTCTATACTGAGAAGGCATCTCGAATAGATTGCATATCTTCTTCAACTTGTTCAAGTCCACTACTCTATGCTCAAAGATTGCCTCTAACGATGTCTTTAGTTGGCCACCTTTAAAACCCAATGTATTAAGATATGCTGTTCTAAAGTCTCTCTTCATTATTAGTTGTGAGTGATACTAATAACTCAACTACTTTCTTGTCCACCTTTTCAAGTTCATCACCAAAGACTTTGAAATGAGCCATCTTGTGGTTGAAAGAGGGTGATGATCATAATTTATGGGACAGAATAAATCAAACGTGGTGAAGTGAACCAAAGGTTACATCTCGAGTATGTATTTGTAAAGATAATTATGATTGGATTATTATTATAATATATATATATATATAATAATTTATTATTATTGGAGCAAGAAATCGATGTTTGCTTGTTCCAAAGATAAAAACCAGGATTGTCCTATCCATTAGTTGTGGTTCGGAATCGAATCGAAAGCTTGCAAGCAATGCGTAATATATATGTGTTGAAATGACCTTTACAAAAAAGACGAATCAATAGGTGTCGCATGAAAGAGGGAGCAATAACCTCATTGTAATCAATCACTGACTTACTCTATCAACCAATCAATCAATAACAAGCCTACACTTCACCAATTGGCCCGATGCCCTCATCGATCAACTTATAAATATATATATACACTTACACATAAACAAAGATGAAGAACTTTGATGATGATGATGTTGATGTTGAAGCAAATGCTATCATCACCAGCAATAATGACAACAATAACAATAATATAGATTATAATGATGACTATGTTGACTCTGGAGGTGGTGTAGTACTGGAACAGCCACATCACTATCAACAACAACATCATGACGACAACATCAATAGTAATAGCATTAATATACAACATGATGATCAATCACAACAATCACAACAATCACAACAACAATATAGATATTTCCTCAAGTTACATAGACTCAATCATGGTGTATCATACTTGAATATAGTGGCTAGCTATGTGGCCTCATTCCTCAGCATCTGTTTCTTTGTCTTTATCAATGTGGCTCAGCCTCTAATCCTATCAAACTCACTAAACATACCAGATGACAAGCAAGGCAAGTGTTACGTGAAGTGAACATGACGGCGGGAGTGATGGTCCAACCCATTCTTACACCTCAATCATTCAATCATTCAATCAATCATAACATCCAGGCTCAGTCAGTGGCGACTTAACATTCTACAATGAGATAGTGGTACTACTCACATCACATGCTTGGGGTCTGATGAGTGATCGAATGGGCAGAAGAATCGTTTATGTACTTGGACTGGTGATTATGGGTCTGGGCCTGGGCGCCTACCCTTTCGCCAATCACATCTGGGTGCTGATGATATTCCGCGCGGTGTTTGCTGTTGGTGCAGCGGCCGCCTCATCAATGTTGTCGGCGGTGCTGGGCGACTACGTCCTCTTTGAGGACCGCGGCAAGTCCAGTGGCCTGCTAGGCTTCTGCGCCGGTGGCGGTGCAGTGCTCGGCTCGCTGGTTCTCCTCAAGATCCCCAACTTTATCGATAGCCACTCTAATGTGGGCATCACAATGTCGGCCCAGCTCACATACTGTCTGACGTCGGCCATGGCATTCTTTGGCGCAGCGTTCCTCTGGTTCGGCCTGCAGCGTATCAAGGACCTCAAGGTGCATCAGGAGCGTGCCAGTGTGATGACCGTCGCCAAGGAGGGTCTTTTGGCCGGCAAGAACCCCATCCTCTCGCTCTCCTACGCAAGCGGCTTCATTGCCCGCGGAGACTCGGCCATCGCCACAACATTCCTCTCACTCTGGATCTATCAATATGCTCTAGCACACAATGGAGGCAACAAGATCGATGCACTCTCCAAGTCTGGAACGATCACGGGCATCGCCCAAACATTCGGACTATTCTTTGCACCCGTGGCAGGCTACCTGTGCGACAAGCTGAACCGCATTATGGCGATGGTGGCCATCGCACTTCTGGGCTGCATCGGCTACTACATGTTGGCATTCAACAATGACCCTCTGTCCATATCATTCATGGTTGGTGCCTGCATCATTGGCTGCACTGAGACAGGAATGGTCGTGTCGTCTACCGCCCTGGTCGCCCAAGAGTCACCCAAAGAGTGTCGAGGCAGTGTCGGTGGCTTCTTCTCATTCTGTGGCGCCATTGGCATCTTGATTGGATCAAAGCTTGGTGGCATCTACTTTGACCGTTGGAACGGCTTCCCCTTCGCCCTGTTTGGAGTGTTCAGTTCAATGCTGGCCGTCGCCGGCGTGGTCGTCTACTTCTTTGACCGACGCAGGCAGAGACAGACCGGCCATCCTGCTGCTCAAGAGTCGCCAAACATCAGTTCACTGGCGCCAGACAGTGCGCCACTTATCGAGAAATAACAACACTCACTTGATGATGACCACCGAGTGAGTGAATGAGTCATGCGACAACAGGCAAACTGTTGTTGTTGTTGTTGACCAAGCCATAACCCATTGAAGACATAGACTATCTATGTGTGATTGATTGATTGATCATTGAATGAGAAGACGAATGTGATGTAATGTGAGGTCTGAACATCACAACCGACCTTGCCTATTCAAGCTTATCATATCGAAATGTAGTCAGACACAGTCGGGTGGCTGTGCTATTGCCAAGTTGACATTCAGTCAGACTGACAAACCATCGTGTCACCTTGTAGACTACAAGACTTAAGGATACATGTAGTTTTATACTTGCGAATGACGGTGATGGTGTCACCATGTTTGGGCGTACATCTGGACACCACGAGTCCTGATTTGGAATTTGCGTTGATGTTGTGATCACAAATCGGGGCCCCAGCTGGTTTAGACCCTCTTCGTGGGTTTTTGACGACACCTTGAACGTCCCAACAATGACAGCTGTCCATCCATCTACCATCAGGTGTTGGTTGGGTTAGACAGCACACTACATTGATGGATGGTTCGTATGGTTGATCAACTGACCAATCATACCTACCTATGATAATACAAATTACAATAAATATATGCGAACCCTTTAAGTTGTACCCTTGAGTTCCGTCTTCCGTTCCACTACCATCATCAGTTCATTCTCAATGCTCTGAGTATCCAATCAATGATCACACACACACACACATAATCTATTACTTATTCAAACAAATAATACCTTTTGACAACAATCGTATTATATTAGCAACATCACCCATCAAAGAACCCAACAAACCATCACATCATCAACAACATCCGAGGTATGTGTGTTGCATGGGGGGTTGGTTGGCAGTGAAGCCTGAAAGCCTCGTGTTTTAGCTTTTTAGACAGGTCAAAGGTGCCTCCATTCATCCATCCCCCGCTATTTGGCGAGACCTGCAAAGCCCAGGCCCAACTCCATCAAACACATCTTAAAAGAGTGTGACCCTAACAAAAATCTCACCAATCACACTCGATTCATACTTTGAATTGATCAATCATCCAGAACCATTTTGTTGGACCCAATCCTTATTATTATCTCTTTGTTTTATTTATTTATTTATTAATTATTATCTGTATCAATCAATCATTAGATCAACCAATCACAGCACTTTGGTGTATTAGTTCGCGCTTAACTGTTCTGGCATTACATCAATCACAATCAACTATATCATGCTTAAACAAACGATACTGAAATGGACATCATCATTGGAGACTTATAAGAATGGCAATAATGCTGAAGCCTTGAAGATGTTAAAGTCTGTGGAGCCAACAGCAAAGATATTGTATAATATTGGAATCATTCACTTTAAGATGGGCAACTACAAGGAGTCAATCGATAATATGACTCACTCGACAGAGTTGGACAAATACTTGGCACTGTCATTCTTTATGCGTGGAGTCTGTTATCATCAGATGGACGACACTAGTCATGCCATCGTCGACTATGACGAATCAATCTCAAAACTCAGAGGACATGAGTTCATCGACTACACACAACTTGGACTTAGCTACAGACTGACGCTTACCGAGATACTGTTTAACAAGGCGTTGGCGCTGGGTCCGGCGGGCGGGTCAGTGGCGCAGCTGGCGGCGCAATGCAAGGTGATGCCATCTGATCAGACATATCGCGAGAATCTTAGACAGTTGTGCGAGGGACAGAAACAAAAGGTGAGGACGGCGCCACTGGACGTGCTGTTCAGGCCGCCCAAGGTCAACGACCAGGCGCCGCCAAAGATCACGGTGGAGGTGTCATCGCCAGCCATGTCGTCCGCCCCTTCAGCGCTCAAGACATCGGGAGAGCGACCACTGCCGAGCAAACCACTGCCCACGCCGTCACCAGCTGGCGGCGCAAAGCCTACAATCACTATCGACCCTCCTACACCACCCAAACAACTGCCCTCATCACCAAAGATGTCATCACCACTGCCACCCCCACCACCTCCCGCGCCGCTGACCGCCTCTGGCAAGCGACTGCCGTCCAGACCGATCAGCGCGATGGTCGCCGAGTCCAAGATCACGATCAAGTGTTACTTTGCCGATCGCAGACTCATACAGATCACCTCCAAGTGTACAGTCAAGGAGTTGAGACAAAAGATTGCGGCCAAGTTTGATGAGGCCGATACATTGGACATTCGCTACAAGTTGACAGACACAGAGTTCAGCGATATTATCACACAAGGCGACCTGGACATTGCGCTGCGGCTTGGTCTGCAGGAGCTCTATCTGACCAGACATGGACAGCCCAACCAGCACGAGGTGGAGGCTCCCATTCTCACACTAGACTCATTCATAAACGCGCCCCGATCACCGTCGCCAACACCAATGGCCACATCACCACCTCCTCCATCCATTCCAAAGAAGCCAACATCCCTTACAACCTCCTCAATTTGGTCGACAACAACATCCACAACACCAACACCTTCACCTTTAACATCATCATATTCTCCAGCGCCAACACCACCAGCGCCACCACTGAAGAAGCTACCATTCTCTCCACCTCCACCACCTCTCTCCTCATCACCATCAGCGTCACTGGCTCCACCACCCAAGCCACCATCAGTATCACTGTCCAAGTCTGCAACAATCACAACACCATCCAAGCCGCCAATGAGCGGCGTCGGCGGACTACGTGTAGCAACACGTCCAAGAGGACAAACAGCCGACAATATTAAGTTATTCGAACAGCAACAACAACAGCAACCTCAACCATTGAAGCAATCACCAAAGTCAATTAGAAGAGAACCAATGGATAGAGCACAACAGGCGGAGCAAGCTGACGATGAGGTGGCGCCCTCCAACAAGCCAGAACAACTTTCACATCCTTTCAAGCTCTGCGTCTCGCCCTCTGGTGAACAATTCTACCTCAACACCGAGACGGGCCAAGTCTCCTGGACGCATCCAGGGGGCCACCAATGAGCCCATTGCGTCAAGCCTTCCTTGCCATGCCATGCACACACACTTACACAAACTCAACAATTGCAAACATATATTTATATATAATTATAATTACGAACAACACGCACCACTTACAGTCTAATATATAATAACAATGTAACATCATTCACTTACTCCCAATGTGTGTGTGTTCACATTCATTCCAGTTCCAGTTCGTCCTATATTACCTAGAATCACTCTATTGTGTTTGGATGGATGATAAGGATATCCTTATTAAGGACTTATAGATACTACACATACGTCACATCACCAATATGTGATGTACCTCAAGATACGACCTCTTGAATATATATGGTCTTGAGTAGATCCACAAGGAAGTACTATTAAGTAAGAATATAAGTGTGAGTGTGTGGTGTGGATGTGGTTGGGGTTGGATGTTCATTGACACACACACACATACAGGCACAGAGACAAAGAGATACGTAATGGAATGTGGGACAAATGTCTGCAGAATGGACTACCACTCACCCCTCTCACGAGGCAAGTTGCATCTCTTGTCTTATACACTCATTGCTAATGACAACTTAAATGTAGTTTCATTGCTCATCCATCCATTAATTCATTCATTCATTCCAATATCAATCCAACAAACAAAGAACAAAAGTAATAATTATAATTACTTAAGTTATAACTCAAACCAACCTATTTATTTATTTATTTATTTATTTATTTATTTGTAAATACCAAACAAAAACAAACAACAAACAAGAATGTCCGAAATGCAACGATCAATGGAGTACCCTCCATCATCAAGCCAGGCAATGCCAATGGAGAGCGCTGGTGATTCTCAGGCAATGTACGAGAAGGAGCAAAACCTTCTCCGTTGGGAGGAGGAGTTGAGAGGCCGTGAGAGAAACTTGAATAGCATGGCTGGCAGTGCTGCACCCAATGCCAACTCAATGAACATGGGTACCGGTGCCTACCCCAATGCAAATGTTGCCTCAGCTGCCACATCATCAGAACTTCTTGGCTCTAGATTCTCCAAGTACCCAATTGCTCTCTTTGGATGTATGTATAAATTGATTAATATTATTTGGATTGAATAATGAATACCTAAAACAAAGGATATATATATCTAACAATTAATTAATGTATTCAATAGGGACAACAATCTGTTTGATTTGGAACTTTGTTTGTGGTATTGCAGTTATAGTTTACAGTGCCGTCAGTGATTTCTTCATTACCCTGTTCTTCATGTTGGTTGGTATTCCAATTGCATGGTTCCTCACTAGAAGATTGAATAGAGCCATCCACAATGGAAAGGCCAAGACACACTACTCTGCCATCCTAGCCTTGACTGGAATGTTATTGTTCAGTCTTATGTTTGCTCTTGGTTTCAAGTACTCTGGAATGCAGTATGTATTATTCACCTCTCTCTCACTCTATCAATCAAACAAACAATCAACTCATATTATTATCCTTGAATATCTCTAACTCATTACTCCTCTACTTCAATAATATAGCGGTCTCATCTGGATGATTTCCCTCTTCCACAACCACCACAAGGCCGTCGGTGGTCTCCACGTCATCTCCCTCTTCTTCTGGGTTGTCAACTGTGTTTTGATCTGTGGTGGTATCTTCAAGCTCCTTAGATTCGCCAACGTCAACAAGAACCGTGGCACCAACAACCTCGGTTTCCGTGGCTACCTTGGAAGCAGATAAACTGTCAGCCGGTGCTACACTACAGCCCAGCTACAGACTTCATTCTCACACACCTTTCAACAACTACAACAACCAAACCCTCACCAATAAACAATAACAAACTCAATCAACAACAAAAACCTACAACACTTGTTTGTGTACATATATATCATTGATATTGGACCATGGTCTTCGCTGGACCATTTGATTTACTGCTTGCCAAGGATTGGCATGTTGACGGCAACACCAGTCGAGATATCGTCGTCTCTCCAGTTGGAGGTGATGGTCTTGACCTGGGTGAAGAAGTTGACACCTTGCTTGCCATAGAAGTGCTGTATGATGATTAGTATTCTTGCGCATATGAGTGATTGTGTGGATGGATTGATGTAAACTTACAGAGCCACCAACAAATGATGCACGGGAGCCAGTGAATGAGAAGAATGGGAGTGGAACTGGGATTGGAAGGTTGATTCCGACTTGACCAACGTCGATCTCGTATTGGTACTTGCGGGCGGCGGCACCAGAGCTGGTGAAGATGGCAGTGCCGTTACCGTATGGGTTGGCGTTGATCATCTTGATGGCCTCGTCGAGAGTGTCGACCTTGAGACAGACCAACACTGGTCCAAAGATCTCCTCCTTGTAGCAGGTCATGTTGGGGGTGACGTCAGACAGAACGGTTGGTCCGACAAAGTTGCCCTTGCTGTACTTCTCTGGCACCTTGACGTTACGACCGTCGAGCAGAAGCTTGGCTCCCTCGTCGACACCGACCTGGATCAGCTTGTGGATGCGCTCCTTAGCTTGTGGTGAAATGACGGGGCCGAGATCGGCACCTTCGACTGAACCGCAGGTGACCTTGAGCTTCCTGGCACGCTCAACGAGCTCTGGGATCCACTTCTGGGACTCACCGACAAAGATGGCGGCAGAGAGAGCCATGCAACGCTGACCAGAGGCACCAAAGGCGGCACCAGTGAGGGCGTCAAGAGTGCGCTCCTTCTGAGCGTCTGGGAGGATGGTGGCGTGGTTCTTGGCGGCCATGTTTGACTGCACACGCTTGCCATTCTTGGTACCACGAGCGTGGATGTAGGTTCCAGCCTCGCCAGAGCCGACGAAGGAGATGGCGCGAATGGCTGGGTGGTCACAGATGAAGTTGACGGCGTCCTTGGAGCCGTGGATGATGTTGAGAACACCAGCGGGCACACCGGCCTCGATGGCCAGCTCGGCCAAGTACATTGAGGCACCTGGCACACGCTCAGATGGCTTCAAGACGTAGGTGTTACCACAGGCAATGGCCAATGGGAACATCCACAATGGAATCATAGCTGGGAAGTTGAATGGTGTGATACCGGCACAGACACCGAGTGGCTGGTTGTACGAGTAGATGTCGACGTTCTTTGAGACGTTCTCAACGGTCTCACCCATCATGAGGGTGGCGACGTTGCAGGCGTGCTCGACTACCTCGAGACCACGGAAGACGTCTCCCTTGGCGTCGGGCAGAGTCTTGCCCTGCTCCTCAGTGATGATGGCTGCGATCTTGTCCATGTTCTTGTTGATCAACGCTCTGTAGTTGGCGATGATACGCGAACGGTTGGAGACAGACACGTCTCTCCATGCTGGGAAGGCGGCCGAGGCGGCATCAACAGCAGCCTTCATCTCGTCAGCTGTGGCCAATGGCACCTTGGTGACCAACTCGTTGGTGGCTGGGTTCTTAACGTCCAACCACTCAGTAGTCTTTGACTCTACAAACTTTCCATTGATCAACAACTTGGTAGTCTATAGTAACATGTTAACATTCACTCATTCATTCATTTTGGTTCGCGAACGAACTTACCGAGGCCAAGTTGAACTGTGATGAGTGGAAGAATCTGACACCAGTGAATGTTCTGGCCAACTTTGTTGATGAAGACAACATCTTTAATCTAATATATTTGTATATATGTAATATATATAAGTTGCAAGAATGAAAGAGAAAGAGAGAGATAAATGGAAAGGTTGAGCTGAGGTGTGAGGGCAAATCTCAAGCTCACAGCCAACACACACACTCCAACACACAACTTACCCCAAAGGAAGGGAAGTCGACTGTTCCTTTCCCACTCATCCCCCAAAGATATTTAAAAAAAAATTGAACTTTATTGTTTTTGATTCAATTTCGAATGATCTTGACAAAAACTAACGATGATCATTCATACTTTCAATGACAATCTCATCCTTTGTCATTCTGTTGACATACATACTCAATGTCATAAGATTCATACAAACACACACTTATACATATAATTACAATTTATACATGTTCACTGATAATTGTTTGATTGATTGATTGATTGATTAACAATGTTTGAATGGTGTTGGCCCCCAACATTACTTTCCATTGATGGTGCTCTTGTGGTGGATGTGGGTCAGTCTTGAACAAAAAAGGCGACCAGTGACACTCAAATCACCCTTGCAAGGGGAAAACACAAAAAACCAGACGAAAGTTTTCTTTGTTTGTTTTTTGGTGAGCGACGACCGATGAATGAATGCAAGAGTGGATGGTGACAATGGTACATACCTGGCGCGACACTTCTGTATTGTGCTTGGTAACGATTTGCAGTCTCTCGCGATATTGATGTATGGATTGATTATTATCAAGACTAATCGAAGAAGAAACGAAAGACAGTTTGTTTGGCAAAATCATTCATAAATAATATTATTATTATTTATTACAATCATTCTTTATTTAGTTGGTTGGTTGGTCTCAGCACACACCCACACACACACACACGCGTCTGTTTGTTCTTTCGATCTTGACCTGCCCTCATTCATTCATTCATAACTTATAATATATTATATATATATCTTTCAAACAACTTATATTAGTCATAGTATATAATATATAATATATATAATGGTCATCCCACAGTTCTATGCAGGCAAGAGTTTGCTTATAACAGGTTGCACTGGATTCGTAGGAAAGGTACTGTTGGAGAAGATCATTCGTGATCTGCCATTGGTCGAGAAGGTGTATATTGTCATTCGTGGCAACGCCAAGGATCGTTTCGAAGATGACATCGTGGCCAGTCGCATCTGGGACGTGATGCGCGAGCGATTGGGCGGCAATGAGCAGTTCGAGAAGATGCTGCGCGCCAAGGTCATCCCATTGAGTGGTGACCTGTCAAAGGACGACATGGGCCTCTGTGCCGAGGACCTCAAGGTCATCTGCGAGGAGGTCAACATCGTTCTGCATTGCGCCGCCTCGATCGACTTCCGCGAGCGTCTGGACAAGGCCATCGAGTCGAACCTCTACGGCACACTGCACTGCTTCGAGGTGGCCAAGCGTCTGAAACATCTGGCCGCATTCGTGCACTGCTCCACCGCCTACGTCAACTCGAACCGCGAGGGCTGGCTCGACGAGGAGCTGCCCGTGCTCGACTTCAACCCCGAGGAGATGGTCGAGCTCATCATGAAACAGGACGTCTCCAACATCGAGAAGATCACGCCCAACCTGCTTGGCGCCTATCCCAACACATACACCTTCACCAAGGCCATCACCGAGCGTATCCTGGCACTCAAGCGTGGCGACATGCCACTCTGTTTCGTCAGACCCACAATTGTTGGAGGCTCCCTCAAGGAGCCAGTTCCAGGCTGGGTGGACTCTGTCGCTGCCGTCGGAGCTGTCATGCTCTACTGTGGTGTTGGACTTGTCCAGTTCATGAAGGGAGATGGTCGCATGGTTGCAGACATTGTTCCAGTCGACCATGTCGCCAACGCCATGCTTGCTGTCGTCCCCAACGTTGCATACCAGAATGCACTCAACATCTATCAGGTATGTGTTTCTATCGATCAATCAGTAAAGTCCCAACTCAAACTAACTAACATGTGGACACGCGACATAAACAGATTGGAACAAGTCACAGGAATCCAGTCGCTTGGAACTCAGCTGCATACTATGTATCAGAGTATTGGAGGAATCATACACCAAAGAAGAGCATTGCTCGCTCTTCGTTCGGCTTCCACACCAACTTGTTGATGTACGAAGCTCACTTCTTCATGAAGTATGGAATACCAAGTGTGATGCTACAGGTTATGGCGTTCGTCACAGGCAACGAGGAGACCAAGTCCAAGGCAGAGGCATTCAAGAAGATGACAAAGGCAGCACGTCTGATCACTGACACATTCCAGCATTTCACCGGTCACGAGTGGGTGTTCTCCGTGTCCACCCTGGAGAAGGTGTTCCAGGAGCACCTGGATGCCGACGATCGCATCCGCTTCACATGCGACGCAGCGCAGATCAACTGGCAGTCCTACTTCTGTCACTTCTGTCACGGCCTGCATAAGTTCGTGCTGAAGGAGGAGGGCATTCGCCCACCAACCGAGCTGCTCAACACATCGCTCATCACCAAGTCTGACATGCATCAGACTGGCTTCCTGCAGTGGGTCTTTGCCGACGTCTCGTGGGCTTACACATCGTACCGCCACGTCACCCAGACACCCCTGCCACCTCGCGCACCAGGCGAGATCCGCTCGTTAGTGATGAACTCGCCACGCGTCCAGATGGCCATGGAGAAGGTGTCACGCGAAGAGGGTGTGCTCGTCTCTGAGATTGAGCGTCGCGCCGCCCAGATCATGGACAGAATGCAGTCCAACCTCAACATCATGGTAGTTCGCGTGCTTGGATGGTTCCTCAAGAAGGTCTGGCGTAAGATCTACCAGGGCATCCACGTCGATGAGAAGGGCATTGAGGCAATCCGCGCCTCCATTCAAAAGTCGCCTGTGGTCCTCATCCCCAACCACCGCTCATACGTCGACTTCCTCATCATCTCGTACATCTTCTTCGAGTACGACTTGCCTCTGCCACACATTGCCGCCGGCGAGGACTTCCTGGGCATCATCATCATCCGCTGGTTCTTCAGGAATGCCGGCGCCTTCTTCCTCCGTCGCTCTTTCCACGGCGACACCCTGTACTGGGCCATCTTCTCCGAGTACGTCCAGCGTCTGGTCATCGACAACCAGCCCGTTGAGTTCTTCATTGAGGGCAAGCGATCGAGGACTGGCAAGTACTTGTACCCCAAGCTTGGCATGTTGTCAATGGTGGCCAACCCATTCTTTGAGAACAAGGTTCAAGACGTCCATGTTGCACCAATCGGCATCTCTTACGAGAAGGTGCTCGAGGGTGAGCTGTACTCCAACGAGATGATGGGCGAGTCCAAGACCAAGGAGTCGTTCAATGGCCTGCTGCGTGCCACCAAGGTGCTCAACATGAACTGGGGCCGCATCAACGTCGTCTTTGCACCACCCATCTCTCTCAAGCGTTACACAGAGACCGTCACTCAGGAGATCACCGAGGCTCGTCGTTTGCAGCCAGTGACTGAAGCTGCATCGCCAGCCAACCAACAGCAGGTGCCGACGCCAATTGCTGGAAACATCAGTGAAGGAGACTTTGAGAACCTGTCGTCCAACACTGGCAACACCCGCCAGCCCGGTCTGGCCTTTGATGCCTTCACCAACAGTGAGGACCGTCGTCTCCTGATCCAGCACCTCGGCTACCAGATCGTCAACGACCTGCAAAAGTCCACGATCGTCACCACCACCGCCGCCGTTGCCACCATCCTGCTGTCCTACCGTCGTGGAATCAACCGTGACGAGCTCATCACCAAGGTGGAGTGGCTGCGCGAGGAGATCTTCTCACGTGGCGGCGACGTTGCCTTTGAGGGTCCATCGGACGCGCTGATCGACCACTCGCTCAAGCTCATCAGCAACCTGGTGGCCAAGCGCAGAAACATGTACGAGCCAGCTGGCAGCCAGCAGACCAACACTCTCAACTACCGCAAGAACATCCTTGTGCTCAGCTTCTACAGGAACCAGCTGCTCAACCTCTTCCACTGGGATGGTTTAGTCTCATGCATTCTCTTGTCACTCTCCAACAGGATCAAGCAGCAGCAACAGAACACAAACAACCAGAGCAGCAGCACTCAATCACATTCGATCGATCAGGAGCAGTTGTTGAAGGACTTGCGATTCCTCTTCAAGATCACATCGATCGAGTTTGTCAACAGACCAGGTTTGGATACTGACGCCTTCATGCTGGCTCAGGTCGAGAAGATGGTTCAGCGCGGACTCATCTCGCAAGAGACCACTGGCGGCGTCACTAGATACGCTGTCAAGAACGACGGCATCGTCTCGTTCATGGCCAGCCTGTTCTGGCCAATTATCGAGGGCTACATGGTCGGATTCATGGCCCTGTTCTCAATCCAGCCACAAATCACCATCAAGAAGAACGTGCTGTTGCAGCGCATGGCCTGGTTCGCCGAGAAGATGTACGAGGAGGGTAACCTGAGCTACTACGAGTCCTGCTCAATGGAGCTGCTCTCCAACGCTCTGCAGCTCTTCATCGACATGCAGGTCGTCCAGAAGAAGAAGACCGTCGAGGTCGTCGGCAAGCGTACCACACGTCAGAACACCAAGAAGGAGCGCAAGCCCAGACGTAGCGAGCGCAACCAGGAGCCAGAGGAATACATCCAGCTGCTGCCTCAATACCAAGAGAAGGACGGACAGCTTCGCAATCTAGCCGATCGTCTCTCCAGCTACCGCAGAGTACTACCAACACAACAGAACGTGAGCTATCTGCAACGTGCTGTCGTTGAGGACTTCCCAATCCTGTCAAAGCTCTAAAGAGTCTACGTACTCGTCCATCCTCTTACGCGTCATATTACCACCTCGCCTCGTCCCCTCCCAAACTACCAACCCCAATAAACAAACACACCTGCGACTAAAGCAGCTAGCTATACTATCCTCTTCTTCTCTCTATTTCTTTGTTATTTACATTAGAGGTATGAGGTACATGCTGGAGGATTCCACCAGTTGTTGTTCAAGCCGTCGCTGTAGCGGATGGGGATGGCAGCCAACTCCTCGGGTGTGAGACCATCGATACATGATACACTGACGGTGTAGAACTGTCCAATTGATGGGATGTCACACTTGCTGTACAATGCCACTCCACATCTCTTACAGAAGTGATGTAGACCTGCACCTGTCAATGTATAAACAGTTGTATTATCTGCACCTGATACTATTGAGAAGTCCTCTATTGCCACTCTTGCACTCCATGCTCTTCTCTTTACACAAACTGTACAATTACATCTGCCTGATGATGACAAGTCCACTTTAACTCTTATCTTTACATCACCACAGTGACAACTAGCGTTATAAGATTTAAGTTGTTGTTGTTGATCAGACATGTCAAGTTGTTATATATATATTTGAAGTACTTGATTTAAGTTGTTGAACAAAGATACAGCAATTTGTGGAGAGTGTCCTTCCGGAAAAAGATGTGGACGGAAAATGGACTGTCGCACTTCCTTGACGCGTCCCCCGATAAAGAATTATTGTACAGGGTTAGGAACTAGTAACCACCACAACAACTGACATTGAACGGATGATTAGATCATTCACTTTAAACTTAGTCCCTACTCACTAGATTTGTGAATAAGACGGGATTGTATTCGTGTTCCTTTCGCAAGTTTATACTTTGGCATAAGGTGTGCAGACAGACAACCTTTTGCAGACGAGTGACGAAAGAAACAATGATAACTTAAGAGTGCCATTAGTTCAATCATTCAATCCATCAATCAACAGGACAGTCAGTCATACATATTGTTCATTCAACCAAGTAACATCACTCACTCACTCAATCACAACAATCATTCACATCACATATGATACATAATGGATCAAACAAAGTATCAGCATCAGAATATCAACGACGACGACGACGAACTGGATAGTAGATTGGTCAGTGGTGCTATACTGGAACCAGACACTGCTGTTGCATCAGGTGGATATGAAGATGACAATGAATCATCACCTGACTCTGCCAACACAACAACCACCGCCACAACCCCCATCGACTTGGAGGCAGCCACATCCACACTGGAAGATGGAGCCAACGATGACGATGACGATGATTTCGACGACTTCCGACTGCCCTCAAACCCCTTACTTCGCACATTCTTCCGAGTAAGGAATAGCAAGGTGTCAGTTCTGGTATCCATCTCGGTGGCATTGTTCTGTGACATGGTCTGCTATGGCCTCGTCCTGCCCATCCTGCCAGGTGTGATGGAGGAGAAATATCATCAAAGTGAGTCGGTGACAGGTGTGCTCTTTGCCATGTTCTCAGCCGGCTCCATTATATCTACACCTGTGTTTGGATCACTCTCTGACAAGATTGGACGCAAGACACCATTCCTCATTGGCCTCATCTCACTGATAGCTTCAACACTGATGTTTGCATATGGCGAGTCGTTGTGGATACTGTTTGTCGCAAGGTTTGCTCAAGGTGTCAGCTCTGCTGTGTCCTGGGTCGTCGGTCTTGCGCTCATTGCCGACATCTACCCTCCAGAGAGACTAGGTACAGTCATTGGATCAGTGGTCGGTGGCAATGCCATCGGTGCCCCTGTTGGCCCACTCATTGGAGGCATACTTTATGAACACTTTGGCTATCGTGTGCCCTTCCTAGTAGCATGTGGCATCACTGCATTCGACCTATTCATCCGACTGGTGTTCGTATCCGACGACGCCATCAAGCGACACAAACAAAGAAAGGAGGCACATGTTGAAAAGAGTCTCAAGGCACAGGACAAGGATGGTGCCAAGGCTGCGGCCAAGGAGGCCGCTCGAGGACAATCATTCTTCAAAATGGCGTTCAACTTCAAGGTCATAGTCCTGTGTCTGACCATCATCATACAATATGCATGCTTTGCCGCGCTCGAACCAACCATCCCGCTATACCTCAAGCGCACATACAACTCATCATCCACGGTGATCAGTCTAATGTTTGCCACAATGACCTTGCCAGCAGTATTTATAGCGCCACTCTCTGGCAAGCTGGCAGACAAGGTACTTGGACACTTCCGCACTGTACTTCTCGGCATGGTCACAGTCATATTCGTATACCCATTCATCACATTTGCTAGCCACCTTTGGGAGACCTTTGTAATTGTGTTCATATTGTCAGCGGGTCTGATTATGACCAACACACCTCTGATGGCTGTGTTGACTTTGACCATCGATCCACATCAGTATAATGAACACAATGGAAAGATTGCATCATTGTTCAATTGTTGCTTCTGCATTGGATTCTTTGTTGGACCCATCTTGGGCTCGGCCATCATGGATCATGTTTCATTCCGTTGGTCAAACATTGTCTTTACAATATTATTGGCAATACTATCATTGTTATTCTTTATAACATTCATCAAGATTATATTAACAAGCAAGTTTGGTCCACCTCAAACATCATCATCGTCTGAACCACCATCAAACACTACATCTGATCATAAATCTGGAGATCAAGATATATTATTGGATAATATTGTTGAACATGAATGATTGATTATTCAACACAATGTTGACTACATCGATCAGTATGTCAACATGGTAATAAATATTATTAATATATTTATATTTATTTGGAGCTTGATATCCTAGGGACCTGCTTGTTGTTTGATTGATTGATTGGAATTATTCCAAACACGTTATCCTTCAATAGGGGCGTACTGACTTCTCTTTATATAGCGCATGATGATTTGGACGATTACCACTATCACAATAACGCCTCCAATGGAGCCCGCGACAATGCCTGCTATTTGTCCTCCATTCGATCCACCTTTAGCACAGATTTCCGAGTCACTTTGAACTGTACAACTATCAATGGCCGAGCAAGTAAATAGCTGATTATTTCCATTCTTGGTGATATTGTTCATTGTTAAGTTTCCATGTAAACATTGAATATATGTTGTTGAAGATGATTCATTAGATGGACCAAATACTACATTGGAAAGAGACACATTAGAGCCCCAAATGTCCAATACAGCTGGTTTTCCAACTTCATTGAGGGAGAATGTGCTGGAAGACATTGTGAGATTGACTCTTTGGACTAAAAAGAGTTGTCCAGTGCAGTTGTTGCCATTGAATGAGGAGCAATCAATTGTAGCATTCAATGAAAAGAGAGATAGTAAATTGGCAACATTGGAGTTGCCGCTCATTGTTGTATTAGTGATGATAATATCATTATAATACGCATTTATAATTGAAGTGAAATTGTTGTTGCTCGCTGTCCTAGATGATTGATTATCAATGAAGGAGCAATTATTAAGATTGAATGAGTCGTATCCAGAAACGAATATCATGTTTTCGTCGAATGTGTTTGAGAGGAATGAAGTGTTGACAATCATTTGGGTGCCACCGTTTGAACCAGAGAACAGGTATTGGACATTATTATTTGATATGATCACATGGTTGAGCACAAGGTTGGATGGGTAGATAGAGAATATTGATGTGTGCGATCCATTGATATTGGATATGAGTCCACCGTTGATGGTGAGGTAGTTGGTGTCAATGTCATCAGCTATCACGTTGAATAGTGTTGTTGAGTTGAAGTTAACAAGTGTGACATTGTTGAGTGTAATATTACAATAGATAACAGATGCGTATATTGCCGGTTTCTGTCCATTCCTAATTGTTATATTGTTGATAGTAATGTTTGTTGCCAAGAAGTCGTTATAAATATTGTTTGAGTATAGTAATATAAATTCTCGAGTAGTGTAGTTTAGGTCAATTATTACATCACCTCCTGATAAAGATGATGCTGGACCAATGATAATGTTGAGGGAGTATGGGTTTATGTCTGAGTTGGGTTCAGTTTGGTTGGTTGTCGATACTAGTGTCCTGGGAGTAGACTCCGCTCGCCAATACAATATTCAATAAAGAGTAGGTTGGATTTGGGATTAATGATTTGTAAGATTTGAGTGCTGCTTGGATATTGGCACATGATTGATTGTTGTTTGAATAAAGTCCACATTGTAATTTAGTATTGGTTGATGATGGGTCAACATATATGGTTGTCATTGAAAATATTTGACCATCACTCGTGTTGTACAAACACAACAACATTACAATTGATACATATAATAATATTTTTGCCATCTATTTATCTTCTTTCTTTATCTCTAAGTTGTATGTTTGATAATAATAATATTTAATCTTGTACAAGTAAGTATATTGTTGGTATGAATCATTGAGTCCCAGTTTAATCTACTATTTACACCAATCAAACCCTTCAGATTAGATATTTTTGAGTGTTTTGATGGGAAACTGATCATAAAAATATCTTAATTGTGGACGAATCAATCTTGAGAAAAAGTTAACATGTTCATTGATGATAGAGTATTTATCATAAATAAAATGTTGGGATGATTCCAATTACAAGATATATTAACAATGAATTGAGGATAATATTACTTTTATCTCCCTCACTCTATCACTCATTCTTTTGGAATAGGATTATGTAGTCATTTTACTTGAATTTAATTCATTCCTTGTCGTGTTGGAACTTGGTTTTAGACAACATTCGATGGTCTGCCAGCTGTTATTGTTGTTCTTGTGATTCTGCCCAGGGCAGTTGGAGTTTTTCAAATTATTTTGCCCACACATACACAACAATGTAATCATACACACACAAAACTAATTCAAACAACGACAAAGTCATCATCTCATTAATTCAATCGTGATTGATTACAAATACATCCAACATACATTTATATACATATAATTTATACATATACAACAAGTTTATTATTTATTTGTATTATTACCCTTATTAACATCATCAACAACAACAACAGTTTTCAACTTGCTCTACTACTTTATATATCATTTGTAGTTAACATTTATTATAATATACATATACATACATTCTAGACATCTACAAGAATGAACTCACTTATTAGAAGAGTAGAGAAGATACAGAGAGAGACTGTCGATGCCAAAGACAAGAACAAGGAGCTGTTAAAGGAGGGTGATGTCGATGCCTTCACTCTGCTCCGAAAGAAGATAGGTCTAGATATCAAGGGTATCAAAGAGGTATGTTTATCATTCACATATATATATATATATAGCATCATGCTCATACTAACTCAATCAATATGATATAATATACAGTTGATCAAGGAGAGAGATGAAGCAGAGATTAATATGCCAGGCTCAGTTAGAACTGTTGAGCTGTCACATCACATTCGTAAGGCAATAATGGATATTAAGGGAGAGGCACAAAAGTTGCAGAGAATGTATGATAAAGCTCAGGACAAGTACACCAAGAAGAACAAGGAGAATGCAGAGAAGCAGCAGAGACTCGAGTTGGACAAGGAGGTGTGCGAGCTGGTCTGGAACCACATCAAGGAGTTGGAGTTGTTGAACAAGAAGCGTGGAGGTGATCGCAATGCCTTCATCCCAATCGACCCATCCGCTGCCACCATCAAAGAGTTGCCAGACATTGACAATGATGACTTTAGAGAGCTTAGGAGAAATGATCAAGAGATTGTAAGTTAGTTATACACGACTTCATGATGAAGTCTCGAGAGGCAGTGCAGTCATTCTAATCAATCAAACAATCAACAACAACTCTTTATAGGATCGCAACTTGGAGATCATTCAAACACATCTTGTGGAGACCCACAATATTGCTCAGAACATGGGTTCTGCTGCCAAGAGACAGGGCAAGATGCTCGATGACCTCAATGATAGAGCAGATGTCCTGGATGAGAAGCTTGAGAACATCAACGTTAGACTAGGCCAAATGATCAAAGATGTAAGTTATTCAACTCAATCATTCAATCAATCAATCAAACACTAACAACTCTTCTTCTTTTTGATTCATTCATTAGGTCCGTAAGGCAGACAGATTCATTCTAGATGTCATCCTTCTTTGTGTACTCCTGGGCATTGGTGGATTGATCTATTCATTCGTTAAATAATCAACAAGTTCACAAGATATCAATATATATATTATATAATAACCAATCAACCAATCATTCAAACAATCAATCGTACCATCTTTGTATTACCATTCCCTTTTGGCGTCGTGGCGTCCACTTCTCCTTCATTCCTTCCCTTATCAATTAGTCAATAAACTCACTATCCTTAGTGCACTTGTTGACATTATCCTCAAGACATACACATACACATAGACCATACCCAGACCAGTCAACCCAACAACAAAGATACCAACAACAAACCAACGGCAGAGACTCTGAACATTGGCTTAGTTGTGTTCAATGACCCGGTGATACTATTTGACAGTTGGATGCCCCAACGGCAATGTGTGGGACCAGAAACCACCCCCACATCTTTTATGGGCGATTTTGGAATGAACTGGTGTGTTTAATCGGGTTGCCATCATACACGTTGTTGGGTATTGATGTGTTGTGTGTTTCATTTATCATAGCCACTCACATGATTATGTGTGACGATGATGATCAATAAGTTTGATATGATGACTACCACCCAATCCTGGGATGCCTCCCATACCCATACCAACATATCCAATCAACAACAACCTTGCAAATGTACTCAATCATTCTCATTGTGTCCTCATCCAACACAAACACAAAACATATATAAATTACTCTATCTCTATCTCCCATACATTGTATTGCTAGCATAAAGTGAGTGGACACACTAGGTGGAGGAAGGAAGACTCACTTACCGCGCTCAAAGTCCAAATTCAGTCACAGAACAAAGTCACCTGGAACATCAAAAGATTAGATATTAATAATAATACAGAGTGGATAGAGATATAAGATGTCAAGCCAACCAGTTATACTATCTCCAAATGAAAAGAGTATGATCTGGATCATTTGGAATCATCCCAACCAACCCCAACCAACCCAAGTCCTAACCCTCATCAATCAATCAATCAATCAATCAATCAAACAGAGATTATAGAGAATGTATTGTCACAGAGGAAAGAGGAGGGAAAGGTCATTGSCCAAGATAGTACCAATCAATGATAAGATAAAGAAGGATGCAAAGAAGCCGACTGAGGAATTGACATTGATCCTTGGAATGAATAGGATGTTCATATTCAAACCAAATGGAAAACTGGACGAAGATCATCATTATCTGGACATTGTAGAGATAAGCAGTCCAAAATGCCAAGAGATGGCAATCCGGTTCAAGAACAACGACACGCTCAAGTTCACCACAGCCGACACTGACAACATCCTAAAGAGTCTACATTACTCATTCGTCAACACATTCCCGGCACTCACCATCGGCAAGGCATTGATCTTCACCATCCTACCCGAGTCCAGGATATTGCCAATATTCCAGGCCAACAGTAAGTATCCGGACACTCGTCCGGACACTCAATCAATCAATCACATCATACTTACTTACACTCGATCAATCGATCACAACAAAGTAAACAAGGACTCGACAGGACCATCACCTCCATGTGGATCATTCGCTATTACATACAAGTCGGTCTGCGACTTTATGGGCATTGCACCATTGTTGAGCGTGATCTGGGACATTGAGAACTTGTACCCATGCAACAATGTGAAGGAGTTCAACTTGAATGAGGTGTACCAATGCACACCATATGATGTTCGAGCTTTGATAATGTCATTGGCCTACAACAATTACTTCACATCATTGGTGTCCAGCAACTTCAAGTTGTCCACCGAGGAGATGAATCAACTTACAGAGACAGTGCGTGTCAGCTCGGCACTTCAAAAGCTTCACCTCAACAACATACAGTCATCCAAAGAGTCAATCATGGCAATGCTCGCCGGTCTATCCGAGAACAAGACCATCAAGTTACAACACATCAATCTCAGCAACAACATCCTCGAGGTATGTGTTGGGTGGACCTGGAATCATGCCACTTCCATCCCATAAACTAACATTCTACCCTCCAATGTCGACTACACAGAGCAAGGGCATAGTGGCGCTTGGCACAACAATCCAGGCATTGCCAAGTGGACTGACTTATATCAATGTGGAGAATACATCGAGTGCTGGCAAGCCAATGGAGGCATTTTTCCACTCTTTGTTGGCATCGCCATCTGTGTCAACTCTGAACTTCTTGTCGATTAACAACAATAAGTTGGAACTTGCAGGAAGTGGAGCACTATGTCGCTTCCTCTCCAAGGCAACCGCACTACACACATTACAAATGTCCAACACCGGACCAGTATACAAAGAGCTCAAGAGCGGCAACAACTCACTCAAGGTGCTAGACTTCTCAGGCAACAAGCCATCATCGAGCAAGGAGACCATTGTCGATTTGTTCAGCTTCCTCAAGCAGCTGCCAGCGCTCACTAGCATCAATCTGGCACGATTGTACTTTAGCGAACATGATTTGAAACAGTTGTTTGGACCCGCCACATCGTTGATCAAGGCGGCCAACGTCGACTTGTCTGATAACGACCTGGGCGACTCGGGCATCATCAGGCTGTGCGAGGTCATGTATCCAAACACCAACCTCAGACATCTAGCAATCGACAATAACTTCAAGACATCACGATCAAAGCTGCGTGTTCGTGCTGTTGAGGCACTCTGCAACCTAATCGAGGACAATGTGACGATCGAGTCATTGTCCATCGCATGTACCAGTGGCACGAGGGGACTCAAGAACGACCTTGTTCCATTCGTTCTATTGCTTCTCAAGAACGAATCGTTGGTCAAGCTGGACATCAGTGGCAATGGTATTGGAGACTCTGGTGCGATGGCGCTGGCCAAGATACTCTGGAAGAATCAGACACTCAAACAGATCAAGATCGATGGCAATGACTTCTCAATGGACGCTCTCAAGATCATCAAACAATCAATGAAGCGAAACAACAAGTCGGTCACATTGCTCAACATGCCGTTGTTGGATATCAACGCCATACTTCTTGGCGACAAGTCCACCACTGGTCAGGACAAGACACACAAGGCTCTGATCGAGATACAGAACTTGATCAACTCTAACGTCGCTCATCAATTCAAATATGTTCCACCGCCACCTGAGCGCACGGGCGCGTCATCTCCCGCGCCACCAGTGCCCATGCGACAGAGTGGCAGCACACTTCATGTCCGCACAGGATCAAACTCCAGCTCATTCATCAAGCCGGCCGCGGCCAGTCCAAAGCCACCAGCAACAATCGACATCACAAAGAAGGTGGCCACAGGCGTTCGAGGACCACTCTACCCAGGACGTCAACTACAACAGAGTGACTCATTCGTGCCACAGAGGGGAGGAACAATCAACGGTTCCATCGAAATGCCACCCATCGTCGCCAAGTCAATCACACAGTTGTTGGCCAAGGGCACCAAGGTGCTTGGCATCTTCAGGACATGTGCCAGCGCCAACATGCTCAAACAGATCAAGGCACGATTTGAAGCGGGTGAGGATGTCGACTTGGAGGGAGTGGAGCCAGACACGGTAGCCGGTGTATTGAAGGGCTACTTCCGTGAGCTTCCAGTGCCCCTCTTTGCCGAGAACATTCACGATCGCTTCTTCCTGGCATCAAGACAGACGGCACTAGATGAGAAGATAGCTGGCTACCGTGATATTGTTGAACTGTTGACGCCACTCGAGGCCAAGATGGTAAGGAAGTTGTTTTACCTTCTGCACTTGATCGCGTTGGAAAAGGATGAGAACATGATGTCAGCCGAGAACCTTTCGATATGTTGGGCCCCCACACTCTTCCGATCGTTCTCCTCAGACCTGTTGCCCATCAACGCATTCCTCATCCAGCACTACTTTGACATCTTTGATCCAGAGAACGCGCCAGCTGCCAAGCCCCGTCTCAGTGTAACCTTAGCCACATCGACCACAAACGAGGGTGTGGCAGCATCACAGCTATCACCAAACAGTATCAATGGCAACAACAGTCAAGTGTTTAGCAGTGGCGGCACGCCGTCGTCGACATCACCACCTGGCTCACCTTCAATGGATGGCAATATGACACTGCGAGGCAAACGATTCTCCAGAATGAATCGACTATCCTACTCGCCAAGTGTACCTCGTGCGCGAGGCAACTCATCATCAAACTCGCCCGCTTCTGAAGGCTGGAGCGAGTCTTCTCGAACCGTATCATCCCTATTCCAAGATGAATGGGAGATCCCAGTGCCAGTCAACATCAGTGAATGAGCGAGTACATTCTACACAAGTTATTACTATTCTATTTATAATGTTCAATGAAGAACAACAACATGTTGTATATTAAATTAATTATGATCACTAGGATGTTGATTGATTATGTACATGTACATGACAGACTGACTGGCAGGAAGGCTTAGTCACATCCACCACCTCCACCTCCGCAGTCTCCACCACCGCCACCACCGCAGTCACCTCCTCCCGAGTATCCACCTCCATCTCCACCACCAGAGAAATGACATCCTCCAGAGTATCCAGTGTCTATTCCAATGTTGCTGTCAAATGTAAAGTCGGATGATGGAGAGTCACTGAACCGAGCATTCGGGTGAGTCTGGTAGTATGCAATCCACTTGGCTCTGCGCTCTAACTCTGCCTCTCTCCTTGCAGCCATCTTCTTCTTTTTCTCCTCCATCTTTTGAATTCTGGCTTGGTCGTCGATTACTTTCTTGGCAGCCTCTTGTTCGTCTTCCATGTGTCTGATAGGGTTGGTACTATACCATGGCATCCAACAGAAGATGATTGACAGGAGGCCAACAGTGAGTTGTACCCAATATCCATCGGCAGGTAAGAATGTCTCTGGCTCATTCTTCATCCAGAAGTAGCAATCATTCGCTGGATTCTTCAATGAATAGCAGTACTTTGAATCTTGATAAGCAAAGTACCAGAATGTTACAAAGTAGCCAAGTGTGGCGCCTGACAATATCATGCCAATGATCCAAAAGGCCTTGATTGGACGATGAAGTCTATCAATCTTTCCCTTACATCTCTTCCACATAATAACAAATACCAACTCTACAATCCAAACAATAATGGTCATTGCCAACATTATAACAGTTGGTATAAAGGTCTTCTTGAGATCTCTATAAGGTAAACGTCTACGATCCTACTCATTCACATTCAATCAATCAAACAAACATCATTCAACAAGTGAGAGAGAATAGAGTGGAGAAAGACAGAGAGAATGAGAGAGAATGAGAGAGAGAATGAGAAAGAGAGAGAGATGAAGAAAGATGAGGAGATGAGATTGTTGAGTTCTCGGAAATACTGAGATCCTAGAACTAACTTACATCCACGGGATATACACCATCCCACCAATATTGTGCATTATTAAACTCGGATATGTACCAAGGACAGGCAATAGATACAATACAAAGTATAAGTATAATTATTACTAGGAGTAAATGAAATCCAACTGCATTGCTGAATCCCATTGTTGTTGTTTGTTGTTTTGTAGGTTTGATTGATTGATTAATTGATTGATCGATTATAACAATATTGTTATATATATATCTCTATCTCTTTCTTATATTGTTTGTTGACAATACAATACCATGGGTAAGTTGTTATTTATCTTGGTGGCTTAAGTGATGAGTTATGTGATTGATCAATCAATCCCCCCTGGTTGTGTGAATAGAGGGGAGGTGGGGCTGTGGTGCAGTTATGGGGCACGACCTTGCTCGCACATCAAAGAAGAGAGATATTTTTAGTGATGGTGTGGTTTGGGTGAAGCTTATCAAAAAAACACACTCAAGTGTTCTGATTTGGGGAGGTGTAGGTGAATGGAATGATGGAATGGTGTAAGAGGAGTATATGGTGTGTGATTCTTTCAATCTTTGCAATCAAAGATTGATTCTATGTACGAGTGAGTGTACAGATTGGTGTAATGTTAAATACCTCTTGAACGAAGGGACTAAACCAGGGTAGTGTAAGTGGGGAAGGAGATAACCTAGTCCCCATAATTTTWATAATTATCTTGATTAATTTGATAAAATCAAACCAGGGACAATCTTAGTACTTTATTTAATTACTTTTGTTTTGCATGGCTTGGTAGTTGGTGCAGTTGTTGTAGGTGGATGAGTTTGGACAATTGTTGGTGGATGAGTTGGTGGAATTGTAGGTGGATGAGTTGGGGCTACTGTAGGTGGATGAGTTGGGGCAACTGTTGGTGGCATTGTTGGTGGATGTGTTGGAGCTACTGTAGGTGGATGAGTTGGGGCAACTGTTGGTGGAGCTGGAGTGTTGCATGGCTTCTTAGTTGGTGCAATGGTTGGTGGAGCGGTAGGTGGTTGGGTTGGTGGCTGGGTTGGTGGCTGAGTTGGTGG